TTTATATAGATAACTTAATATTGTGAATTCTTCACTTTTTATTTCATCTGAGTACTAGCATTATTTTTTACAAGATACTATATCAATATAATTTTCTAAAATTACTCAGAATCAATAAAATTTTTGTATTGTATTGTTACAGAGTAAAATTTTCAAAAAATTTATATTTGAAAATTCAGAAAATAATCTTAGGCTTAAAGATCCAAAAAACAATAAAATTGCTCATTTTATCAATATCGACTTACATAAAATGAATATAGTACTGATGAATTAATAAGTCAAGTAAACAAGATTAAATTTAAAATCAAAGCTGTAAAAATTTTGGTGATGGAACATACGGTGCGAGCACGAGGAACGATTGAGTATAAGCTTTCGGTGATGCGCTGTGATGGGCATCCGAGTGGAAAGTGCACAAGTGGATGTAGACGGGGTAGTTTTATTTGTCTAAATGTATGTGAGTGTTACAAGGACAAAAAATAAAGAAAAGAAACGAGGAGCTAAGCGATGTTTCCACCCCTATGCTCCTACTATACGGTGGATGCGATGCCGAATCAATTCACGTAATAGTGTCGAAGTTATATTGGTCTCGAGGGTTAAATCGACTCTACTATGCACCAGGGTTAATGTTGTTGCTGTTATTGTTTTGTTACTGTTGGCCAGTTCATCTTCATCTTACTTTTATTTTTCTTCTTTTTCTTATTTTTCTTCCGTACGTACCTCTTACGTAGAGTGGCGAAGACTAGAAGAGCATACGCGTGGGATAGGACACGGTCCATTACCACACCTGTCCCTTTAGTTTCGGTCCCAGTAGTATATAACACGAGTATAAAGAGCCAGTAAAGCGAAACGAGAGTGTGTCTAATGAAGAGAAGCAATCACTTAGCCAAGTCGTTTTCATCCCCCAGCTCACAGTATGCCGTACCAGACTTAACTTGTGTCTGTATGTAAGAATACGCTCACTCTCTATCTCTATAATACAGATTCAGCATGTGTGTAATGATGTGAGGACAATGTAACATCTTAATGATTTAACATTCTTATAAATCAATTCATTTGCTGATACATCGGGGTTATAATGTCAGGGGATTATTGCTTAGTAATTTATCATTTACTCAATTGTCATTTTAAGCATATATACTTTATTTTTATTCTTAATTTAATATTATATTTATACCATTAATTATTATTTTTGTAAAGATGAATTTACAGTTTTATGATTGACGTGCAACACACTTGTATATTTATTTTTATATATTTCATTGTTGTTATTATTATTATTATTATTATTATTATTTTATAATTATAATGGTAATTATAATTTAGATGATTCTGCGCAAAAATAGTTTAAAAAAAGTCTGGAAGTATGAGTATGGCAAAAAAAAAAAAAAAATAATTAAGAAGAAAAATTAAGCTTACTTAGATAGAATTTTTTAGTTTAGAATATAATACAACGACGTGTTACTTCATTTTTAAAATTTAAATAGTAAAGTGACCGAGGTTTTAAATACACCTAGGTATAATATTTTAAAAACTAAACAATGCAGTTCACTGATTAAGAAATAATATTTTGCATTCAATTGGCGTAAAATTGAAGAGACAAGAGTACTTGACAGAGTTTATTTTTAGTTTTCATTTTTAAATATTTTGGAATGAATACTTTGCTCGTTTTGATTTTAAATCAGATTATTCGTGCCGCAGGGATAGGATAATCAGGTACAAGGAACAGCCCGAGTCCTGATCCTTTGAGAATAAATAAAATAGCGATAAATTAAAAATGGCAGTATATATAGAAAAGATAATTATTTTTTAATTTTGTGATTTATTAAAATTAAATAATTTTAATGTACTAAATTATTATTAATAAAATAAAATTAAATTAATTAAATAAATTTGAGTGTAAAAAAATTATATTGCATTGTCTCAAAGGATAAGAACCCACTCCGAACACTGCCCGCACGAAACATTACGATTAATTATAATAATACACACCGTATAATAATTATAATAATATAAAATATTAATTAAGAATTATTATGTTATATAGTTATTTAACCATGTAATATGGCTCAGTCTATTACGCTAGTCTTCATGCAACAACAACAACAATAATAAAAATACAACAATATATTTATTCGTGTGTTTATCATTTAATTTATAGTTTTAGATTAATTTAAATAATTATTTTTAATTGATTTTTTTAATTATTAATTATCATGTTATTATTTAATATTAATTCCTTTTGTTCTTCAACCACATTCAATTCATGTATACATGACACACGCTTATTTAAAACAAAATAAATTTATGGAATTGACTTATCAAATAATCAATTTCAATTAATATTTAAATACATTTTTTAAATTCAAATGTATTAATAGACAAAGCCACGTGTTTTTTTTATTTATTAATTAATTTATATCGTATTAGAAACTTGAGCTTGATGATTATGAGTCACATGTTTATTAACGAGCATTTGATTTATTTATAAATTAATTAATATGTTTATTTTGGATGTATATTATGTGACGAATAAATTTATCACTTGAAATAATATTTACATTAAATGTGTATTGAAAAATGTCACTAGTCTCTTGTGTTTATTTTGTGTGAAAATATTTTTGTTTTTGCATTTTTTTTTTATTTTTAATATTTTATTATAAAAAAAAACCTGAGCTTTATCGTACTTGTAATTGATGGAATAATCTATTGGCTTATTTACTACAAAGAAAAAAATATATCACAAGTCGATGTAATAGTCGCTTTGATTTTTTTTTTTTTTTCAATTTTTTTCAATTTTTTTACATTTTGCTATAAAGATATTAATCTATTTTTTAATTGCAAAATAAAAAGTGTATAACGTACTAATAATATTTACAGATATTTAGTTAATTAATTAAATATTTATTCGATAAAATAAAAAATACGCGATTGTTTTGACGCGAGATGAATTAATAAAATTTAATAATTCTTATCGGAAGAAAAAAAATTATTTCTTAATTAATTTTAACACGTGACTCATTTTAAATTCATACAAGTTCGCTAAGTTTCTTAAAATAATAAACGAAATAACATTTACGACAATAATAATAATAATAATAATAATAATAATAATAATAGTAATAATTATAATAATAGTAATAATATATAAAAAAATATTAATATCACAAAATAGTGCAGGCAGAGCAAGGAAAGGACCAAAAAATAAGGATTAAATTATTAATTGACAAAAATGCAATTGTCAATTGACATGGATTAAGTCAGGAGCGTCACGAACAATGTATATTTAAATTCTCTGTTTAACAGTTCCCTTCTCTCTTATTATGTCAATTTTCTTACTTTTATCTCTTTCATTTATATAACATAATAATTAGGACGTGCAAACTTCATCAAGTAGACTAATATTTTTTTTAATAATGTTCGCCAAGTCCTCGTCTACGCCTTTGATTTCAATAATTCCAGCGATTATTTTTTACTATCACTTACTACAGAAACTTGAACTAAATCACTTGACAGTTCACTTTACTTGAGCTTGCTTGTATAATTAATTTAAATAAAATATCAACTAGTTAAATAAAAATAAAAAAAATAGTAGAGTAAGAATCATAATGATATTAATAAAAATTCATTTACATGTTACAAAAACTAAGGCTTTTATTTATTTAATTTTTTCACTAAATCAGCCTTAATCCTTCACCTTCACATATTAAATAATCTAATGCTTGTTCATTACTACTTTTTTCAATGTTCATTTTCATTTGGAATTTATTACTCAAGTCCATTGCATTACGTTAAATAAAGTTTAGTAAATAAACCTCGTTGAAGAATATAATAATCACATGTCATGTTTTTCTTCTTTTTAAATTTAAATACATTCAATAAGATGATAGTGACAGCATCAAACAACAAATTTAGATCGTTGTCACGCGAATTAATCTATTAACCATAGACCACGTCATAGACTTAATAATCTGTGAATATTTTAGAGAAAAATAAATCAATAAATTACACTTTTAAGTTGTTTAAATACAAAAAAAATAATATAAATCTCACTGTAAAAAGACGTATGAATTTAATGTTAATTTTTTTGTTTCATTTAATTTAATTTAACAATATAAATATCAAGTAACCTAGTATCACAATGTACGTGGAGTTTTAAATTTGTGAACGGAATGGCACTGTACGGACGTGTCCAGTCAGCTATTCGTGCAAAAATATGGAATTTATTTAGTTAAATAATCTTTTGTATATAATTATTATTTATTTAATTATCATTAATATTGGACTAAACAAATCTAGTCTATTATCATTTTACAACTTTTCACGTAAAAGATATAAATTACTCATATACTTTTGGGTTTATTTTTATTTAATTACTTATCTTGCTTCATTACGACATTCATTCTCTGATTCATTTCAAATACATAAAAAAAATTAATTTATCAACAATCTTAAATAATATTAATAATTTCAATCGAACATCAGCATCTCACAGTTTATTATTTTAGTCTATGACGTGAAGTCTCTGATTATTTATCAATTTATTTAGTTATAATAGTTTTAAAGTGACCTAAATGTATAAAAAAAAAAAAACATTGGATCAGATGTTAAGCTGCTGGAGTGGTGACTTAGGTGTAACGCGAGGATACTCAACACCATAGACGTGTTTCAGTAAATCAAAATAGGTATAATTAAAGTAATTAAAAAGAAAATAGAGTGATAGATAAAGGTATCGTGATTAAGAGATTGCAACATGTTTTTTTTTTTTGTGATACCTTTGTTTCTCTTTTTAAGTGAATATCGTTGATGAATTATTTCCTACGATTATACTCCCTCCCGCCCTCCCCACCCACCCGTAAAACCCACCCACGTAACTCGGCCATTGTTTGTTATTTAATTATCCACTTGTTATTTATTTATTTATTTTAATAATTTAAATCTGTCCTTTTTTTTTTCTTTTAAGTCGTTCGTTATGTTTGTTATTTATTCTCATCCATTTCTCACCCAGTTCCATTGCCGTAGCCAATCATCATGACTACTGTCGTCCCTCGAAGCTCAAGCACGAGGACGAAGCCAGAACGTTGACTCGTCAGTAACCATGATACGATTACGACGACCAAGTAGATGATATTGATGAGAAGAGGCCGTGGTTTCACCCACCCACCCTGTTCACCCATTTTATTATTCCCCGCCCATCCCCAATCGGCCTTGCTTAAGAAATGGCCGCCTGTAATTTAAAATTATTTTTTAACTTTCTTCTATTATTTCATCGTTTATTACTCTTTTTTTTTATATCAATATTTAAGATAGTTGAGGCATTTAAATAAATTTTATATGTATCGTAAACCATGAAAAGAGTATTAGTTTTTTGCGAACCAGTTACATAAATTTCATTTTAACAAATAAAAAATAAAAAAAATATTGAAGAAAAAAAAAAAAAAACCACGTTAACATTCACTTTTTTTTATTTACAAGATCTTTTAAAAGTAAAAATTACTTACAAAATTTGATATTCGTCAAGATTTGAAATTTTGAAAAATTATAATTTATATTTTATGGTGAATTTTATGAGTAGATGATTTTGTTCGCTGGAATTCATGTCAGAGCTTATTTAAATTGTTGCTATTATCATGTCGATGTACGACCTCAACGCCCTCAAATATTTACTTTCAATATTTTTTACTTACAATAAGCAGGCGGGATCATTCAGACGCCGTACATAGTATGAAGACGTTCGCGTAGCTGTATAGGAAATTGATCGGAGAATCTTTTCCAATTATCAGCGCCAACTTGATTTTTAAAACCGTGTAATATCTAAAAATAAAAATTAATATTATCGATAGATAATATTCTACAATAAATTTTTATAGATAATTAACAAGTCATTTACCTTTTGAAATGCTTCTTTCAAATCATCTTTAGGTGTTACCCAAGACGCAACAGCGTCACAGAAGAAGACAAAATCAGGAACTACACCACCAGGATTTATTGTTATCATTTGACACATACCTCTAAATGCAGAGTCTTTTTCCTCATTATCACGTATATTTCTTAACGAAGAACACCTATTAATAAATATTTAATCTTAGTGATTACTGCAAACTTAACTTAAATTTTTTATTTTAATTAACAGTAACAATAATTAATAAATATTGTAAAAAAGCTATTTCCTTATTTGAATATACTTAATTATAAATTGCCATTAAATTTATTGAGTCTTGTATAATATTAAACAAGTGTTTGAAGGGAAGAAGAAGTAGCCCTCGAGTCATAGCGTCCAACCCCAACACATTTTTTTTTCTTAAGAAAGTAAATTTTTAAATAAAAAAAAAAATTTATAAGAAAAATAATAAATATATTAAAAAGCGTTATAAGGTCAGACATCTAAGTGTTAACTATTAATGTGAGTAGCAAATTTATAAGAACATTTGTTAATAAAAAAAAAAACTCAATAATAATTAGACAATAAATAAATCATGCATTTAAAAACTATTGGTAAATAAATAATTAAACCTAAATTACAGAGACAAATTAATTTAAATAGACAATAATTAACGTAAAAAAACCTTCACATTAAATGTGCAAAATAATTGATAAATAAACAAACAAATAATTAAATCATCAATTGTAAATATTGGGTTAAATAATAATTGCACGTTTAATGATTGGGTTTTAATTTAGATGGGATGTTTAAATAAAACGTTATAAAGTGCTAATAATAATAACAATAATAATAATAAAAAAAAAATAATCATAATAATAATAATAATAATTTAATATGAAAATATATAATAATAATAATAATAAAAAAATTTACACACCACTGTTGGACAAACTGCTGTAACATGGGGGCGACGTCTTGGGGACACACGTAACCTAGGCGACCGATCGTAATGGCTATACGATAATTAATCGTATTTATCGTATCAGTAAGTAGACAAGTGAAGTAGTGTAGTGAAGTGAACCGGAAACACAAACAATAAGACAAACTGATAGCCAACCAACAATTAACTTAGGTGAATATATGCTGCTTAATAAAACTTTAATTAAATAATTACTAATTATAATTAATAATAAATAATAATAATAATAACAACAATAACTGTAATTATAAAAATAGCAATAATAAAATTATAATATTAATAATAATAATGATAATAATAATAATAGACAATGTGAAGCACAGGTAAAACGTATGGGATACCGACAGTCAAACATAGGCAGTATATTATTATTGTGCTATCGTAGCTGCTGAAACAATAATTTAAATTAAATAGCAGCGTGCGAGCCTACTATTTAATAACTACAGCATGACAATGATTTTATTTTATTGTTGAAAGTTTAAGTTGTAATAGTCGTTGTCATTGTTATCAAGTACTGTAGTATTACAGTCGTTCAATAATGGATTGTTAACAGTAAGTTGTAATTTTTTTTATAATTGTTTTATAAGTATATACTTATAAAACTTACGACGAATTTATATGGATTTAATTGATACATTGTTATATCAATTATACTATTTAAATTTATATAAACGAAGTCGTGACATACAGGCGTTCGCACACCACTAAATAAAATTTTAATAATCAAGTACAATGTTAAAAATTATTTAAATTTGCTTGTATGTTTTGGAGACTCTGTTCAAGTTAAATAAGGTGTATGACTTCCCACACCATTGGTGTCTACTTTAGTACCTAACACGATTAGCTGTGGAAATAATAAGTTTTTTTCCTTTAAAATAATTTAATTATTGATTAAGAAAAAAAAAATTTTATCCAAATGATACTGAAAATATAAAATTTTGATGATACTGTGTGAGAAACGTAGAATAAATTATATTTATTATTAATATTTTTAAATATTCTTCGGGTCCTTTTTTTTTTTTTCATTCTAATTTATTTAAATTAATCAATTGTTCATTCAAGGAGAAAGACACGTGTTTGCACGCGATAGGTTCTAAATAATTTTTTTGACTTACCGGTATTCTCCAGAAGTGTTTTTGGTGTATTTGGCCGGTTAATGATGTCAATGAGTTGATTTATTATCAATGGAATATATACACTTGTGTCATGCCCTTGAAAATAAATAAAAATATTTATTGCTTAAAGTTCTTTTCGATTAAATTAAAAATTTAATGACTTTATTTTATGTGAATGCTTAATTTTATTACCTAGTTTAATGGCGATTTCACCAATAGCCCAAGAAGCATTGTTACATACTGATATAAAGCTAGGATTTAAATTGTCTCCAAGGATCGGCATAAAGTCAGCTAGAGAATTGATCAAATAAAACATTTAATTTAATTAAATATTCAATTGTCAGTGGTTAATGAATATTGACTATAGAAAAAATACTTACGTATACAGGGAAGTACATGCTGGAAACAAGCTTTCGTTAAGTCACCAAGCAATGCAAAACTACTTTGCCTTACTTCTGGCATGGGATCTTGCATGCACTGATAAAGTAATTGCATAATATTGCTGTTCATGACTAATTGTTCAATGTGACCGTCCAAGCCTTCAGCTAGTCCACTCAAAAGATCCAATGCAACAATCATAAAATCTTTATCTGGCGCTTCAAACTGTTCAGGACTTTGTGTATTAGCTATATGTTGATTCAGTGTTTGTTCGACTAGTGACACACACCGCCTAAGAATAAATTCAATCAATATAAATAAATTTTTAAAGCTACTTTTAAAAAAGTACTTCAAAGTTAAAATTTATTATTTATTCACCTGTAAACTGGTTCACAGTAGGGTAAGAATCCAGATTGTAGTGCTGTGGCTACCGAAGAGAGACACTCAAGAAGGGGAAATAGATCTTTATCTTCGTCTTTTAAAATATTCCATTTGTTTATTAATGGAGGCATTAGAATATTTATGTAGTCTGGCTTGTTTAAATAAGGTCCTACAGATTCTGCTAGTGTTCCAATAGCATCATAAAGTATCAATAAGTTTTTATGTTGATATTTTCCTAATAAAATAAAATAAATCCAATTGTAAAGATTAGTCAATGAATTGCTAAAACAGTTAATTAAAGTTTATAAAATAAATTACCGAATGCAAAAACTAAAGTTTCTAATATGAATCCTAAGTATGGTACCAATTCAGTACCAGCTTCTTCTTCGAGGGTTGCAAATGCCGAGCAAGCGGCCTCTTGAACACGTTTATTACCATCCAATACTCTTTTGAGTAATTCCTCCATCAGGGGCTTCAAATAAGTTTCATGAGGTTGAGCACAAACCCAATGCGCGTATCTACTCAATGTCCAACATGTTATGGCACGTACTAACGCTTTTTTGTCATTCAAGCTATTGATTAAGTATGGGATCAGCTCTGATAAATGTGGAATCATCCCTTCCATACATCCTATTGAATACATTTAATTAAATAATTGTATTTTTAATCAATAATTATCATTAATAACTTTAAAAATAAATTACCTTCAGCAATAGCTCCAAGTGCAAGTATTCCAGATTCTTTGATCTCCCAATTTTGATGGAACAATGTTTCTTTAAGAATTGGCACTAAAACAGGTAGCAAATCATTTCTAAATACTCCAGCAAGCATATCCAAAGCAGCAGCTGAACATTTTCGGAGATTCCAGTCACTGACACTTGAATCGTCGTCACATCCATCGTCGCCGTCTGAGTCGTAACCACCGTTCTCATCAGAATGTTTATTTGTAGATGGATTGAGTGTGTGTGTTTTAGTTTTATGGAAACGCGGTCTGATGTCTTCTTCCCGATCGGGTATCATCTCATCTTCCTCGACGTTAGCTTTGAGCATTATTATATCCATGTCGGAGTATTTCATACCGCTAACTAACACAGGAACGAGTCGGGGTAAGTATGGAGCCAATGCTTGACGACACATATCTTGTTCAGCAAGAGATAACCAAAATTCACAGGCTTCCAAGGCAACTGGTGGTTTTTCATCTTGCGTTCTCACCAACATATACTCAATGATATTGTGCATATGAGGAATTAAACGATCTATTTGAACCTCCAACAGCATTACGAATGCCCGACAGACATTTTTAGTTACTTCTGGATCTTCATCAGTCGCCAAGTGGAAAAGATTCTCCAAAAATGAGTCTATATGCAGCATCAGGACTTGTGAACGGCTCACAATAAACTGGTTAACACATGCAATCGCATGCGAACGTATCTTCGGACTCGAGTGGCGGAAAAATTGCAAAAATTTAGGAATAAATACATTCAAAGGCCGGTTTACTGTGTCAGAATCAAGTAATTCTGCTGAATCCTCGCATATCTTTTGCAATGCACTGAATGATCCATCGCAGACGTTGTAATCTTGGGAATCCAACATTTGACACAATGATGGAAGTAATTCCGGCCATGTTGATACTTCACCTTCATGATAAAAATTAACATTGATATTAATTTAAATAGTTTTTAATTATTTAATAAATATATTACCTTTTGATGCAATAGTTGTTATCAATATTCCCACAGTAGCTCGAATCATGGGATCCGGATCTCCAACCGCAGATAAACATTCTTGTTTTATAAAATTCGTAACTTCTGGCAAAAATTTATGGTAATGAGTCCTCACGTTATTTTTTAAAATCAGTCCACTAAGTGACCTAGTCGGCACATCAGCTGCAATAATAAATTTTTATAAATATTGTTAGTATAAGTCATACGCCTGATAACAAATTAAACAATAGACACTATTGAATCATATTTGCAATGTGAATAATAAATAAATAAATCTTACCTTCTGATGTAAGCTTGGTCAATACAAAGATAAGATAATTATTAAAGTCCGGGAATTTATTTAGTTCTTCCAATTTCTGATTACATTTGTTAAGGAAAATAGCCAATTGTCATGATAATTATTAAACAATAGTATTATAATAAGAAAAGAAAAAAAAATAAAAATAATGTTGATATTTAAGTACATAAATGTAATTTGTTTATTATTACCATGATAATAAACATTTTTCTTTTCAGCCGCATTCTCAAGATAAACACCGGAATGTAAGAAGTAAAAAATATTGATTTTAAATAAAAAAATATTAAATGAAGATTGCGAAGTCAAAAATTATTGTTATTTTCAACGGACAATCGACTGACAAACAAACTGATTGAACGTTACAATTATTTATGTAATTATTATAATTTTTTTTTTTTTATTAGATTTATGATACTAAAGACAAGTAAATGAGTATTGACAAGTAAGCAGTTCAAGGTTATCAATTGCCGCCAGAATAAGTATTACTATTGATTTAAAATGAAATTTATAAAATAGTTATATAAATAATAATGTGACAGATAATAATCTAGTAGTAATAATTATATAAATGTCTATTTTATTTGACAATAATTGCACGCCCTTAGATATAATACCAAAGCCCAGTTAGAGCAAATGTATAGCCAAATTATACGGTGAATGATAGCATGAACAAAAAATATAATAATAGATAATACAAGCCAGTAATTATTAAATATTATTAATTAAAAAAGGATACTTGTTGTACAGCACGCTGTGTTGCTGTATCAGGACTTTGCGATTCACGTAAAAGTGTTAAAATTTGTCTAAGTCCTTCCTCTTGTGGTTGCCACGCCATTTTCATCGTGTTTTTCAATAGCACCACCGAACGCAACCAGCTTTCTCGTCGCAGATCCTTCACAAACGGAAGTCTCCCATCGCCGCTCTCTCCTTCTCGGTTTACCTCCTCCCCACCACTTCTGATGGCATTACCACTACATGAACATGACCACAATAACATTACTTATTTATTTATTTATTTATTTCTATATTTTACTATCACTAATTTATCTATTAATACTACTTAATAATATTAATATATTTTATTTATTATTCAAATAATAATTATAAAGTTATATTAAAATAAACATTGTTATATAAATATTGGAGTTGAAAATTAATTTTGACAGATTTTGAAATAGACAATTGAATGTTGAAGTTGCTGAAACTGTCGCTTACTTCCGGTAACCCTGGCAACTTTTTTTTTGTAAGATTTTTTATGATTTCATGGTTGATGACAATATTTTATAGTATTTTTAATTATTTATAAGCAAAAAAAAATTTTTTTTTTATTAAATTGAGGTGATGAGGTTATTGATTAATTGATGAGTATATAGTTGCTGTGTTTTTAAGAGGCACAACTATATTACCAGCAGACGCTTGCAAAGATTTAAAAAACATCATAGACAAAGTTATATATATAGACACCATTCAGAATCAGAGGATGAAAGCGCGCGCTTTCTCTCTCTCTCTCTCTTTCTGCGCTCCTTTCTCTTAATGCCATTAATGGCTACTAGAGAGCACGTCAATCAGCAAAAACAGTCATAAGCAATAACAAAAGTAAATAAATAAATCTTTACTCACCATTCATCACACAGTATAACTATAACTATTATTTACAATCATTAAAAAATTTTTTTAGATGCTGATCGTGATAACAAATGGATCATGAAGAAGAATTTTTAAGCACATTTTTTACTCTAATTACTCAGTTATGTTTTGAAAAAGCAAAAGAATCATTGGTAATTTCAAACTTTTTTTATATTTTTTATTATTTTAATTATTTGATTAATAAAAGTCATAAGAATCAATTAAATACAGTAATTCATAAAGATAAATTATTTTAAAATATAAATAATTTTTAGGAAAAAGAACGTGAATCATGTCGTTCAACACAAATGGGACCATGGGGTATGTTATTGATGCATTTACCTCAGATAATTGTTGCAGAACGTTCTTACGCAGACTTAGGATTTTTACATACGAAAAACAAAGGATTCCTTCGTAAAGATGTAAGTGTTATTAATTATTATTTTCATCAATAGAAACAATATTTATTTGGATTCCATATCAATTATTTACAGAATTCTTTAAAAACAATTTATGAAGTACTGAAAGGTGATTTAAAAAGAGTCGAGGAAATGACACGAGGTACTAATATAATAGGTGCTACAGTAGCTGATGTTTCTAGTCAACTCTGTCAATTTATAACTGCTAGAATTCAATTAATTGAATTGTATGTATTTTTTTTCCTTTACCATAGTTCTATAACTGAACTATCTGCAAAAAAATTTTGTAACATAATTCTTATCTAATTTTAAAATTGTTTTTTATTAAAGTTATGAAAAAATGTATCATTCAAGCATCGGTAATAAGGCAATGAAATATCATGAATTATTACAAGTTATTGAAGGAATTGTAGAAACACATTCACTGTCGTGTTCTCATTTGGCATTGACTGCAATTAAAGCTGCTCTTACGTAAGTTTCATTACTATTTATTTGTAAGAAAGTATGATTATTCAAGTTATTTGTAGATTAGAATGTGAAATATTACTTCAACTAACAAGTGCGCAAGTTGAAATACAAAATTGGCGATTTTTATCATCATTAATGGCGCTTTATGGCGCTCAAGCCCGAATGTCTGCGTGGGAAAAAACTTTACAAAGTAAAGAAGTAATAAAATATCTTTTGAAGCTACTTAAAAGTACATTTTTATTTAATCAACAAATCATATAAATTAACTTTTTTGTCTAAGTCCTGGAAACTTGGATTTGGAGCGACATTTCTTAAAGCCAATCAACAACCTGCATTGTATCAATGGCTTGTAAAATTGCGAAGTGCGACATTAGCTAAATGTTCTTTGTATTTTCACACGACTTTGAGTCAACAAGCCAGTCCAGGAGAGATGAGAAATATAATGAGCAAACAAAATATCGATTACTATCATAAGTAAGTAAACTTTTTTTTTTTTAAAGGATTTTGTTGTTAGATAAATTATACTTTCAATTAAAGAATACAGAGCTTCCAAAGAAAATGGGATCTTTTAGCAGTTTTAATTATATTTGACGCAAGAGATGCTGAAAATTCCGGCTCAGGATATCAACATCCAGACAGAGAAACTGAATCAGTTGAAGAATTTTCTATTGTTGTTGGCTGTCCAAGTGTATGATTTATTTAATATCTAATATTTTAGATTTTTTATACATAATTAAATTTAAAGTCCGAATTATTAAATTTATAGGTTTTCTTACAAAAACCATCGGTACATTGGGATAATATTAAAAAGGGAATAAAAGAACACAGTGAGCTTGTCAATATGGATAAAATAATTTATATTAAAAGTGCAAAAAATGTACATACAAATTCATGTTCTTACGCAATGACAAACATCGATCCTAAAATGACATTAGTCGTTGCATATGAAAGTGGAAAACAAAAAGATAAAGACTCTCATATTGTCACTTTTATGACTGATTTGTCCACACAACTTCGGTGTAATAAAATTTATGAGAGTTTGAAATTATCTAAGTAACTTTGTTTTTTTTATTATAATTATATATAAATATATTAATTTTTGCATACTTGATGTTGTTTTATTTTCTACATGAATTTATGTTGACTAATAGTATAAATGTATTCTAAATATACAAGAAATAAATAATGAAAAAAATATCTATAGATTATTTTCACGGGCATTCAAGTCTGAATCAACGGCTAAGTAAAAAAGAAATCTAAAAAATAATAATTAATTTTGATTGAGGATTTACAAAAATTTAATTTTACCCCGTACTCTTCAAATATATTATGTATAACATACAGTACATAAATTACAAATAAAATGTCTACTCATGAACTTACGTATTCCTGTATGACTTATCAAAAAAAAAATAAATAATAATAATTTTCAAAAAGATTGTATTTTCGCCTTGACTCTACTTCAATGCCACATATTCTCTAAGTCTTGATGTTCATCCCACAATTGCTCCATCTTCGCATCATCCAGTATTCTTCTGAAAATTACTTTACTAATTAATATATATGTACTATTATTAAAATTTAACATCGCATCTTTAATATTATCACAATTCAAAACACAAAAAAAATAATATTCAAAAATAGTTAATAGTTAGAGTTCAATCTATGAAGAACTAAACAGCCATTAAAAATTATTATACAAGCACTACTCATTCGTAAAAGCAAAAATGAACTGATTCGAAGATGAATTGTCCAGTTCATCGATAATAGTCTTTCCTGAAAATAAACATTTCAAAGCCATATTATACATTTTTTAGCTAAATAATAATAAATCATATATATTCTACTGATTAAGAAGCTACTCTAGATGTAAAAAAAATTCTTCTAAATAATTAATAGCATTAAAAAATTTTATTAAACCTAGGAAAAAAATCTAATAATCCACTGAAGCAATTAGTTACATTACACTTAATGAAAAATTAGTTTTTAGAATAAGTCTTCTAACTTACCGATAAAGAACTTCTTCCCTTTGTCGTTTCATTCTTAGATACAGACCTATCAACATACTAATAGTTCCGACCACCGCTAAAGCTACTAAAACTGGTACAACTATAGCAAATTAATTATTTGTAAATTAATAAAAAATTAACTTTTTTTTCAAGTTAAAAAAATACACGGTAATAAATTAATCATTAAAAATACTTACGCATAGAGTGAGAATTATTTTGATCGTCATCAGTAAATGATTTTAGGCACTTTTTAAACGAATTCAGAGTACCATTTGTCTCTGGACACTGGATATTTAATATATTGCAAAAAAGAGGGTACAAATCGACATTGTGAAAAGGTTCTAATTTGCAATGAGCATTAAACGCTGGCCCTTTAGCAAAAAACATTGGATGCATATTTTTGTCTTCATTATCGTAACCGTGGATTCCAAATAACGACTTATCATCAACTATAAAAAAAAAAAAAATTATTAGGGTTTATTAATAAAATTTTCATGACATTATAATCGATGAAATTTATATTACTTACTTGTAATATTGAAATTTTTTTGATAGTACTCAAATGAATCGCGTAGGAATTCAAAGGCATATCCACTTTTAGCAACAACAAATATTGGTGTCATGCGTGTGTTATTACCGTAATGAAATCTCTCCGGTATTTCTTCTTTACGGTAAACGTAAAACGTTGATGTTTCATTAGCTGCCGATTTTAATTTATTATAAAGAATATCTTCTTTGCCTAAAAATAAGCCATATTTCCTTTGATAAGTGTCAATAAAAATCAATTGATCGCAAAAAACTTTTTCTACATTATTAAAAAAAAATCTCATTCTTGTTTACTCATTATTAATAATTAAAATAAAATTACCTGGATGTGGTATGATGAAGATAGTATTAGCAGTAGGCAAAAATTGACATTCCGATAAATCAATAATTTGTGAGATATTTATAATTCTAGATAAATTAACCTCCGTCATTCCGTGATCGCTCAAATGAATAACATTTACACTAGTTAAGTTATTGTCCTTGAGCTGGGTGTGTATATAGTAAGTAAAGTTATCTAATTTTTTCAACAATTCATTTATTACAGGATGATCAGTGCCATAGGCATGAGCATGATAATCTGGTTCTTCAATATATAAAATTCCTAAATTTATTGGTGTTTTCGGATGAAGAAACCATGATAATAATACATCAAACCTATCTTCCCAATTCTTAGATATGTTTAGTGGCTAAAAAGAAATAAATTAGTTGAAAAAAAAAAAAAAAAATAAAAAAATAAAAAAAATTGATATAAATATTTTAATTTTACAAACCATATAAAATGTTTGGGTTCTACCATCAAAATCAAATTCACCACCAGGCCACATCATACTACCGCTATGTCGCAAACTATCATTTTTCTCGTTGATTGTCTGAAAAAAAAATTCACCTTATGATCAATATATTGACTTATGTCCACAAGTAAACTAAAGAGCTCATTAAAGAAGTTCTAAAAAGTAAGCAACTTTTAATGATTAATGAAAATAAAGTTGTCTATTATTTACCCAGATAGGAAGTATTTTATTATTATAATGAAAAACGTCTGCACTTTTTTCTAATACTGTTCCGTTTTCATAAAACATACGATTTTCCAAAACACCATGATTTTCAATATAAAAACCAGTTGCCATGGTGTGATGATTTGGAAGCGTTCTTGTAACAAATGCATTAATCATATAGTCAACATCTGTTCCTTCTTCCTTCAATTGCTTCATAAATGGAGTTAAATTACGGTTAAAATAATCGAATCTAAAAAATGACGTTTTATAGTAATTATTTATCATATTAATATTATTAATGTAGTATAACAACATACCTGAATGCATCGTAAGATACAATAAGTAATTTAGGAAAAGGTGAAACCATTAAAATATTTTTAAAATTTAAAAATAAACAAACAACTATTACCAATAACTTCATGATGAAGTTATTCATTTTCACTTGAAATTTATAGACTTTTTTCCTAAACTTTTAAATGTTTTGATAATAATAGTGGTAATAATAATAGAAATAGTACAAATTTAGTTGTAGCATTCTGTAAAAAAAAAAAAAAAAAAAATTATCTTAACATACGATTTCAACTAAATTAATTTTTAATATAAATAAGTTTTATTTTCATGTATAAAAAAATGTCAACATTTAATATAAAATAAAAATTAAAAATACTAAATGATTATTACCTTATTTACATGCCTACTAAATCGATTGGTAATTGAGTTAAATAAATTAACATGAAATTTTAGTACCTGAACACACTCGAGCGACCTTAAATTTTATATTTACACTGATGATCAAAACTATTCAGTGCAATTTAATAATACAATTTTTTAGTACATACTTGTCAGTGTGTTATTAAATTTATGACTAAAGGCTGGTTTACATAACCCAGAATAATGAGAGGGCTAATTTAAAAATAAACATTTCATATTGACTAGACCAATAGAACTAGTAATTTTACTTTTGTTTCAATTGACTGATTATCAACAAATAACAACTGAGCTTTTGAAAATAAACATTACGAGTAAATATGTGATATTGGTTTAGAATGTTATTATTATGAATTGTAGTTTAAAATCTAGGGATCTTGCAATTTAAAACAATAAGATTTTTATGCCCTCTTTCACACTACCAAGTAAACTAAGTTATAATCAAACTACGATTTTACCATGTGCAAATTTCAAGTTCGACTTACGATATACAGAGCCGCAATTACATGTGAAATTAAATGTCATGTACACATATAATAATAATGTATACACATGTATTATTATCATTATTGTTGCAATAGTTGTTTTAAATTCATCCAGACTCCATTCTCAGTCATGAATTCGTTGCCAATTGATAGAGATTATGTAAAAAGTTTAAATTAACATACTAAATATATTTAGAAAGAAATTTAAAAAAAATAAATATTTACATAAATACATAGATATTAATAGGTAATACATGTATATAGACGCTGTAAAATTTTTTGTCAATGCCGTGGGTAATCGATAAAAAATGTTCTTGAATAATTCACTTATTAGACAAGGTGATCATATGATTCATAAAATTCAAATTAAATAATTGAATTAATTAATTTATTTTATTCTAAATATTTAGATGACACAACTGAGCTTTAGCAAGACAGGTAATGGGGAGCTGTTTCGGTCGTTGCTTCTCCAATGTCACCGACCCTTTTACCTTCAGGTTAAATATTTTATTCGCTTATAAAACTATTTATAGATTATTTACTTATATATTTTTTCCTTACAGATACTTCAGGCACACTGGCTCCCATACCCACGAGGAAGAACAAGTTGAGGTACAGTTTATTTATAAACAAGATATTTATTTATAAATGATTACTATTTTTATACGTAAACACCAATACATTTTATTATCATTAATTTAGTTGGATCCTTGTATGTCGCAAGAATACGATCGAAGTTCATCAAAAAAGTAAGTAGATTAAAAATAAAAGATAACTTTTTATACTATTAATTTATTTATAAATTTATTGTTAATATTTATTGCTGCATTGATAGAATATTATCATTATTTTCGTTAAAACAATTGAAGGTAACTATAAATATCTAATTTTTCATAAATAACGAATTTATATTTTTATTAGAATTTTACTAAAAAATTTTTTATTTATATTGCAAATAAAAATATTGAGTGAATTTTAATATCTTAACGCTTTATTCTCTAGAAAAGACATGGAGGAGTACCAGTGTCTTTGGAACTTGTTGAAGATACTTGGAAGAAAAAATCAAATAAATACCAAAGACTTGAATCACGAAATAATGCGTCAACTGGGTAATTGATTAATTATTAAGAATTTAATTATCCTACTTCCGATTGATAATTATTAATATAATTCATAGATCCGATTTAAATTCATTGCAAACGCTTGATGCACGAGTTTTACTAAAACATCCAGGATGTATCTCGTCAACTCCAGCATCTTCATTAGATCTTGAATGGGAACATGAAGGTAAAAAATTATTTTTTTCTATTTAAACTTTAAAGAAATAATACTATACAACTATTGTTTGATAATTTATTATGATTTTTAAGTTATGCCGTTACCTTTGGACGATCCCGATAGACCAAAAAGTACAAATAATTCACCATCGAAATCGTCAAGTAATGTTAGTCAACCGTCCAGTTTAACTGCGTCACCTTGGTCGAAAGTATCTACACCAAATAGTTTAGAATGGGATTCGGTTGGAGATAATGAGGCTTGTGTTGACATTGAAACAGAACAATTGTTAACAGAAATTGAAAGATTGACAAATAAAACACTGAAAGAAACTGGTGAATGGAGTGGTGCTAGATGATTAACAATTTAGCGATTGTTATGAAATGGTTGGTTGTATTTTTATATTTTATCATAGTGTTGTATGGAATTATTTATTCTATTAATAAGTGCACATGAATATAAAATGTTGACATCACAATTATTTTTTAATATAAATATGATTGATGATTCGACTGTATTATGAATTTATGAAATTTTTTATCAGTATACTGAATGTTGAATTTTGTGAAAATAATTCTGCCGAATTTATAGAATGTCTATCATTATTTATTATTATAAATTAAATCTTTTTCAATTTAAAGGCAGTGATTATTTTGTTAAATGCATTTATAAATAATTTCAAAATTAAAAAAAAAAAAAGACGTCTTCATCAAATAACTTTACAATTAAACTATTTATTTTGAAATGCTTATTACAATATTAAATAAAATATTATTTTGATACTACAATATAATTGTATAAATTATTATATTAATACACAAGCTGTAATAAATGCGTAATATTTTTGGTCAAAAAAATTAAAAAATATATGTATGCGTATGTATAAATATTTAAGGTTTGTAACTAGAAACAAATCATGTTGAAGGAATTGGAGCCATCGCTCAATAGAATAAAATTAATTTATCTCTGGGAATAATTAAATGAAAAAAAATAAACAAATTTAAAGCTTAACTAGAAACTTAAATGTTGAATCAATTAACAGTCTACTGTATGTTTGCACCAATTTGTTTGTAAGATTATATTATATAATACATATAATATCAAATAAAATGAATTAATTATCAAAAATAATAGCTTTGGAAATCAAAAAGTCAATTAGAAGAATGACATAATTGGTAATTATAAAATTATATGTGATTCATTTGAATAGAATTAATTGTGAATTATATTTTTCATAAAACAAAAAAAAAAAACGTTTTTAACAATACTTTTAAATATAAATATTTCATTTGCTATTTTATAGAAATAATATTTAGTGAATAAAATTATTCACGCCTTTGCCAAATTCAAAACGAATAAAAACAAAAAGATATTTTCCAACATGGTAACATTTTTACATTTTGTTATATTAATTAGTTAAAATTTAGTATATTTTATGTTTAAAATTTTAAAAATGTTCGTCGGAAAACAAGGAAAACAATAGCTGATACCAAGAAAACAATTATGATAGTCCAAAAGAAATCGTTAGACGATAAATTTGAAAATTGTTGATTGACAGAATTTGTTTGATGTGCAGGATTTCCTAAACGATTTGGGTCAATTAAACGTTGCCTTAGACTTTCTCTAATAGCTGTTCTTGTAGCATTAGATGATGATGATGGAGTTTCTTCATCCTTTTTATAAAAAAATTATTTTCTTGATAATTAATAAAATTTATTTACTGTAAATAAAACAAAAATGTCTATTATTTATGATCTGAATAACACTTACTTTTAATGTATTTACAGAATTAAACATGGGCTTATCCTTAGTTTTGTTACATTCTGATGAATCTTCTTTGGATAATAAATCTACAATTTTTCCACAAATATTACATTCCCAGCTCTGCGATCTATTGAATAATAATAATTATTATAATTTATTTTCATTTAATTAATTAAACACTTAATAAATATCCGTTGTTGCATTTAAATACATTTTTCTGATAAAAATTCCATAAAATTAAATAAAAATTTTTTTGAACCAATTGTACATTTATCTTCAATCAGTTTATATTTACTTGCAACAACAAAACATATTTTTTAATATAGTAGTTTATGAGATTATAATGACTTTTTAGCAAGTTTTTGTCGTTCTTCAGCAGTATAATCCAATGAACCAATGGTATCATTTCCTGGAGTTGGCATGAAAGCAATAAGAGCCAATAAAGCTGTTCTAATACTCCAAGACGGTTGCCAAGTTTCTGGATGATGTCCAGAAATACTTAGACATATTTTTCTTTGAACTTCAAATCTCCCATTCGGCTGAAAAGTTATAGAGTATTTTAATTCACCACTAAATTAAAATTTATCTTCATGATCGAAACTAATTAAAATAAATAGTTACAGTAAGTAAAATAATATTTGGTGGTTTCATAGGATATTCCGGTGGCAGAATAATTCTCCCATGATAAACTCCATCCTCAAAATCAGTCGATGGTGGTCCGCGTACAGTAAAGTGCCATTCAAATAAATTATCTTCTAAAGGCGAGGCGTGATACTCATCAGTAGCTTCATTAAGTTCTTGAGCTTCTCGCATCAATCTCTTGACAGCTAATAAATTAAAAAGAAAAAAAAAAAGACATAGTTAGCAAACAAGAATTAAATTATTGTTTCATCATCATTTTTTATTTAATTAAAAAAAAAAAAAGTTAATTCAATCGATTACCTGGGCTTTTGGTGTTATATTTTCCTTCAAATGACATTTCTATTAAATTTATGAATATGTTTCTATTGATACAATGTTTTATTTTTTTCTAACACAAACGACAAGACCTTGAAACTATCATAGGCACAATATACTTTATATACATTAACTCTGAAAAATTGATTTGTCCGTACAGTTAACAAATTAGTGATTTTATTAAACAATCCACGTAAATCTATTTAAAACTTTAATTCTCACTAGAGAATTGCAAACACTAAAAATTTTAAATTATATTTGTAAAAATATAAACGAATAATTTAAAATATTTACTTTTACGTGTCCTGTCACGTAGATAACAAAATGAAAAACTAAAGTAAGTACATATGTATTGAAGTTTATTACATATATACAACACAGTTCTTATCTCTAAGTGTAAGTATATGAATCGTATATATGTATGTATAAATAATTTTTTAATACAATGTTGGTAAAATGAAGTTTGTGATGATAAAGCTTCTGTCACAACTACTTAATAATAAATATATTTCTGAATGTATATTTTCATATACTGAAATTATAATTTAATATGCCAATTATTTAGACAATTTATTTAATTTTAAATAAATTTTTGTTAAAAAAAAATTTTAAACCATGCACACAAAAAAAATTGAAAAATCCTATTTTTAATTTTTAAAATAATCCTTTCTAATAACATGTCATTATCACATATATCACATAATAATATGAAAATTATCAAATGCCAGCTATTTCAGTATCATGAAAGATTTCCGCTGTATCCACGAATGAAATAATTAAACGTCATCACATTTTACCCAATCACTGACTGAAACGCGCTACATTTTTTTCTAGAATTTTTTTTTCTTCTTCTTATTTTTTTAGCTGTGAATGCACCTTGATGATTCTCATAGAAGGACTCGGAGCGTGTCAGTGTTTGTAAGTGTGCTGGAGAGTTGGAAGTGTGTAAGGCATGACCGGCGTCGTCGTCGGCAAATCACAAGTGAAGTGAGTATAACAGCGTTCCACTATATATATATTCGTTCGCTACTAAACAGCGAGTAAGGTAGCGTAATTAATGTAAGTACAACGCAACACATTATATTGTATATATACTTGTTGAAAATAGTAGATAAAATTATTGAGTTAACAATCCCCATTATTGATGAGATTTTTAAGTCAATAATTTAACATTTTTATGACACAATTATTAATACATTTATGTTTCATTGATAATTAGATCTAATAGGATGATCGAAGTACGGTACACCCGTAATCTATTCCTACGTGGAATTTGTATCATTTATCTTTTTGCATTTGTGAGCTTCTATGTTCAGATACCAGGTAAGCGGATTATTAAATAAAAATTTAATTATTATAGATTATTATATATTTTTAGTAAATATACATTTTTTTAAGTTTTATATACTTTATATTTATGTTAATCAATGTCTCTTTGCTCAGTATTGGATACAAATTTATTAACTGGTTTTTTTTTATCTGTATTATGTCTTGCAATAGTTTTTAATTTGTTTTATTGGTGATAACTCTTGAATTTTTATCGTAATTAAACTCAATACTTTTTATTATCTTCAATACGATTTGAGTATTTCGATAAAAATATTTAATATTTAATGCAATGTTTTACATAATTAAATATAAATTTCTTATTAATCTAATAGGACTTTATGGAGACAATGGGATATTACCAGCAAGAACACAGATAGATCTCAAAGATAAATCGTCCTGCTTGGAGAAATTTAAGCAAAAACCAACATTAGTATGGATTGCTCCTTACTTAGGATTAAATGTTGAATACACTCTTGATTTGATCGCTTTGAGTGGAGTTGTATTATCATTCTTAGGGTAAATATCTCACTTGATTTCATTAATCTGTAATTTTCTTTCAATTATATAATAGCTGATAAATTTTGTAATTTAAATATTTTCAGGTTTATTTCTCAAAGATTTTGCGTATGGCCAACATTTATGTCATTATGGGCTCTCTATTTTTCTCTTTATCAAGTTGGACAAACTTTTATGCAATATCAATGGTAATTATTTTTAATTTTATTATTTTATGAATATAATATTGGATTCTACGGTTTATCCTTATATGTTTATATGTTTTTTAATAATATTTGTAATGGATACTAGTTGCATAATCTTCAGTAGATTTGTAATATGATAGATAAATCAAGACTTAATCTAAAATTAAACATGTATCAGGTGTTACAATCAAGGACATTTGAGATCAATGATACTGTAAATGATAAACAAAAATTGCTAGTTTATACTTGTATTTTAATTTTTATATTGTATCTATTATAGGGACACTCTGTTACTAGAAACAGGGTTTTTGTCTATACTCATTGCACCATTTTGGGTCCCGAAAAAGGCAAAAATTAGCACTCCCAGTGATACTGTAACATTTTGGTGTGTACGTTGGCTTCTATTCCGATTTATGTTCTCAAGTGGAGTAGCTAAACTAGCTTCAGGATGTCCTGTCTGGTGGAATCTTGATGGTATGTATGTAATGTAATTTTTTTTAAATAAATTACGATTACTTACGTCAGTTATATGTATTGAAAGTGTTTCAACAAGTTATAAATCATTTTCCTCGATAATATTTTAATTAATTTATTTAATTTCAGCTCTGTCTCATCATTTTGAAGTTCAATGCCTTCCTGGAGTATTAGCGTGGTTTGCCCATCATCTACCATCATGGTATCTTCGTTTAACAACAGTCACCACTAATGTCTTTGAATTGGGTATTCCATTCTTGTACTTTTTCCCTAACAGAAAAGTTCGTCTGGTGGCTTTTTACATCCAGGTACTTTTATTTACTTTCACGTTTTTAATACATTCGATTCTAATTAAAAAATTTAATTTTTTTTTTTTTTTTTTTTGTAATTATTTTATGCTCTTATTATAGATTTACCAATATCTCCATATAATGGCTACAGGAAATTGGAACTTCCGTGACTTGCTGGTGATTTGTTTGTCTATTGGATTATTGGATGATCAATTTTTCTACAAGAGAAAATCAAAGCAAGAATCTTCACGTTGGACAAATCATCTCTCCACTTTTGTATGTCTTGTAGTTTATGCGGCTGTTGTATATGCAACAATCGTTTTATACAAAATACGACTACTCGACAACTGGACTATTCACACTGAAATAGGTAATAATTTATTTATCAAAGATACTAAAAGTTACAGAAAAATATCATATATATTAATTTAAAAATTTATTTCAGGATTCACACAACAACAGTTTACTTACTATCTCAATAAAGTGATTCTCGCTTCATTTATCATTGGTATAATTTCATTAGGATTTACGGTTGCTGATTCAATTACCCATTCACTTTTAATAACCAAGGGATCACTGAACACAATAATAACATTTATTACTACTGTGTTCTACACTGTTGCTGTGTGCCTGATTTTTGGTACCAGTTTGGTTCCATTTTCAAGCTTGGATCCATCTCACAACATAACTATTCCACCACAGATTAAACAAATGTATATGAAAGTTGAACCTTATCGTATTTCTAATGGCTACACTTTATTCCGGCGTATGACAGGAATTGATGGCCGTCCAGAAATAATAATTGAAGGAAGTAATGATATCGAAGGACCATGGAGAGAGTATGAATTCCTTTATAAACCGGGAAATGTTAACCATTCACTTTCATTTGTCGGTAAGTTTCTTAATAATTTTATAGTGTTGAATAATTATAGTAAGGTATATCGATTGACATGATTTTAATATTTTTTTCATTAATTAACAGCACCTCACTCACCTCGTTTGGATTGGCAAATGTGGTTTGCCGCACTCGGAACATATCATAATAACCCTTGGATTATGTCTCTTACCTATCGATTACTGACAAATCAAAAAGAAGTACTATCTTTATTAAATACTGTAGAGAAACCGTTTGGTGACAAGCCTCCAAAATACATTCGGGGTAATCTTTATCACTATCATTTTGTACCATGGAAGAATTCGTAAGTATTAAAATGAATAATTAATTTTTTTTAAATAATTCCTCAGAGTATTAATTATTAATATAACATAATTTTATGCACAGATGGAACAGAGAAAGCTGGTGGACTAGAGAAAAAGTTGGAGAATACTTCCCAATATTTAGTCGCGACCATCCACCATTGTTAGAATACCTTAAGAAATTAAATATTCTTCAAGACAAGCCGACTATTAAAATAACAAATAAAATGATGAAGACAGTACTTGATTATATGAGGATGGTAACTGAGAAAATAGAACCCAGTTTACTTGTGTGGAGTATTTTCATCGCAGGGTGTGCAATAATTATGACGACTAAAACAACTCCTCAATCAAAGAGGAAATAAATTTCTTAAGTTGAATATTCAATTTAAGTAAGCAAAAGTGATGTTAAATGTATGATATATCTTTATATAACTGCATTTCTTAAATACTTATCGTTGAATCAGTGTGTAATCATAAATCAAGACTTTAATATAGATTAAATCTATCGTGAATCTCTATCGACACTAGTAATATTTTTTATTAGTACATATAATTAAAAAATAATTTCTTTTTCTGCTCTTCCATTTAAAGTATATAATATATAATCATAAACATTAGTAATTAATAACACATAATAATTATATTAATAGCTGTAGAATATTATAATCAGATAATTTAATTCCATCCTTATTTTTATGTGTTAAAAATCATATTAATGATATAAGTCATTGTAGTAATCATAAGAATTTGTTATTACATACGGCCTATTTTTTATTCAAAATATGCTCTTATGTATTTAATAATCTCTTATATATATATATATATATCTTACATATAAATAAAACGTAAATCTTTTTTCATTTATCTTTACTAAACTTGTGTTTGGTAATTTTTAATAACAATATATAAATACATTTTTTAATTATTATTTTGATAAATTGTTAGTATCTATTACATAAGATCATTTTTCATACATGACTTTTTGAAAATACTCTGTTAAACACATTTATAATGTACAAAAAATAATAATACTTATACAAATGAATATTTATATTTTCAAGTAGCATTGTACTAATTAAATAAAATAAATAAATAAATTGTTTGAAAGTTATTAAAATATTCATGTATTTAAAACAAAAATGATTATTATTACATAAATATTAACTAAAAAATTAAATAATACCAATTATATTATTTGGGTAACAAAATTATAAAAAAATAACATTTATTTCTTATCCTACTTAAGATATTTTTTTATTTTCTACTTAACCTGGTCTAATTTTACTGACAAAACGAATCGTTTTGTTTGCTCTTGCCCATTTTCATTAATATCATATTTAATTTCACATTTAATTTCTTGCTGTGATAATGGGTCTTGTAGACTATCAGGCTCATTATCAAATTCACTACTTTGTTCATAATCCTCAGTTAATTCACTACTTGGATCATTTTCATTATCCTCTTCATTCATTATTTTAATTTTTTTTTTATCCATCTGTATACCTTCACCCTCTTTAAGAACAGTCCGATCCGGCAGTTTCTTATCCTTGGGAATTATTCGTGACATAAGGATAGGATATTTGAACAATCGTCGAAAACGAGTTTTAAATAAATGAAACGCTTGTTTACCCTCGGCGGTAAGCTTCACTAAATCCGGAGTTGCTAAGTCATCAGTTCTATTTCTCATTATTGACTGTGATTCTCTGAAATTCAATAACGCTTGATAACCAAGTAAAGTTGAATAATTCGGCGGAATAAATAGATCTTTTTTCAAAGAAGCATGCCTCCAACTTTCCGGTTCATAATCTGGCACCGGTTTAAATTTCAATTTATCAGAAGGATTTAATTTTTTAGCAGGTTTACTCACTGATTCCACCGATGGGACATACGCTTGTTCAAATCTACCAGCAAATTGTAAGCGTGTACACTTAGAGGCCACCAATTCGGATATTTTATCAAATTGTTCTTTTTCCTCATCATTTAACTTTTCTAACACATTGGAAGGCGTTTCCATATCCATATCCAATACAATTTGTAAATTTTGAACAGGTTCAGCATCTAAACGGCCATCAAATTTAGCTTTTTTACGTTGATTAATTCTTTTCGCTCCATTCTGAAACAAACCAAAGGGTGCAGGTGGAATGAAAGGCTCACTATCATCATTTAAATCAAAATCACCAAACATTTTCTGTCTGTACTCCTCAATAACTTGTGGTTTTACTGATGACTTGAGATAAATATACTCTTTATAAGAAGATAACAATTGTTTATTTTTCTCACTTAAATCATAAACATCTAAATTATCTGGAATCTCCATTTTGACGTTAAGCATTTCAAATATTTGGTCCAACTTTTTAGTGCGAAGTTCTAGTTGATCCGGAGTGTGATATACAGCTTTACGTCCAGGCTTACTTTCCGTTGCTTGTATACCTTGAAAATATCTCATTAATTGTGCGTCGATGCTAGAATTAGTACCCATGTTATCATTTCTACTATCTGGTTCATCTACTTCATCATCATCATCCTCACAATCAACCTCATCAATTGGACGTTTTCGGGGTATATTTGCCAATCGAACACCTTTAGACATATGACGTGTTATAATAGTATACCGATGACGTATATAAGTACGATCTTTTTTCATAATACTGGCAATCATACTCCACTGTGATCCAAATTCTTCATAAAGTTGGATTAATTGGCGATCTTCTAGTAAAGACCATGAATTATAAGAACTGTTTGTTTTTAGCATCAATAATTTAAATCTCCCACTCAATTGAACACTAGACCTATAAGGCATTATGTCTGCAGATATTCTAGGAAAATTTTGTCCATACTTGGCAACACTATCTAATAATAAATCATCTTCCTCAGCAGTAAACCTTCCTTTTTTTAACGATGGATCCAAATTGTACTTCCAACGTGCATAAATTTGGGTTTTCGTCCTATCATTAATATACGTACTTACACGTCCCCAAGGTATGAAATCACCAAATCGTAATCTTTCTACGGATTCTGTTAATATTTTGTTTTCATGTAATGACCAAGCCCGATCATTATAGACCGTGTTCTCTAATGTCCTGTGAAATGCTATGAAACAAACATATCCTGTTCTACCAGTATTTAATTCTTTTGCAATGGTATCCCAATCCTGTAGCTTGTGTTCACGAGCTTTGGCTTTAAGTTGTTCTTCTTCATCATTTTTCCACTGGCTGTCATTAATATCTGGATGAAGCAATATGTTCCACATAACACGACATTCATTAGGAGTGTGACGACACTTCATATCAATCGTTGATATTTTCATCCAGTCAAATTCACGCGCGCCCAAAGGTCCTACCATCGTACGCAGATCCTTAGGAGGCTGTAATTCCGAACTAGTTGTATCATTTTTGCTGCTATCTCGAATCATTTTATCAAATGTGTCACTAGCTGCTTGCTTACGTATCGCAATTCTCAAATAATTACGATCTTTGTAGGTCCACCTGATCGGCCTCCGTAAATGTGATATTAAAAGTTCGTTATTTTTCTCTTTCATCTTGGTATCTTCGTTTTTCGGAGCTGGAAACTGTTTTTCATCCTTGAAATATGGCATTCCAGCTTTATTATATGGCACTCTCCAGTTAGCTCTGCCTCCTTTTGCCAACAAATGAATTTGGTAATCAACTTCCTGACGCTTCTTTGCATTTTCTTCGATTTTGGCTTGAATAGCTTGTTCAGCTTGCCTGCAAAGCAGCATAAGATTTTCAACGGATTTTAATGATTCAACGGCTAGCTTATGAGCATCATCGTTCGGAGATTCATCATCAGAATCAAGCGTGGAAGATGGATTGTTTGAAACTGAAGGCTTACGATCAAATCTTTTATCATCGTCATCATCATCATCATTAACATTATTATCATGATCATCATCATCATCATAATAATCAAAGTCATCTTGAGACAAAATCTCTTGCATAGCCTTGATCTCCTCGAGAGTATCCTCGTTGTCAGACATTTTTTACGTTTATCGACGTTTACTCAAAAAAATCTGTCATAATAAAAAAAATATATTTTAATATCAATTGCCAATGATAAAATAGAGAATGTACTGACATTAAATTTTTAATTCAACTTTTAAAAACTATTATTACAGTATTTTTTTATAAAATTAAATAAATTACTAACCACAACCTGAATTTCTCCCGGCATGTATCTTATACAAGAGAAATCTTTTGATTGAAAACCTGTAAATTGATGAGTATTAAAATATTTCATTTATTTTTATTATAATAAAATTATTTATACAATTACCAATTTCTAGTAAATGATTCTATAGATCAATGACATTTTATTATTTAATGTTCAACAATAAAATAAAAACACTAACAAACACATCAACTGTTTAACCTGTACTTGAGTAAACAATAATTACTGTCAATAGTTAAGGTTAGTTTTCAAAAATAGTCGCTAATTCAAAGTGGAGCCATTTCTCATTAGTGAATTTTTGTATTTATGAAAAATATATAGATATATCAATTAGCACACGTGACAAATAACAAAAAATCAACATATATTTAATATTTAATGGTGATTTCTTGATCATTAACTTTCTTTATGAAATAATTCAATAAACCATTAAATATTAAGAATGTAATTTATAAAATAAAATTCTTTTTCAGTTATAATAAATTTAATTTTTTTTTTTTAAATAACTTTGATAAACATTAAAAATAATTTATCAAGCAAGAAATTATTAAATTTATATAGAAAAATGGTGACAAAACTATTATTGATTGCTGTCATTGAGAAATTATTCAGTATACTTAAAAAATAGTTCAATAATTAATTATTTAAAACACAAAAATGATTAATGATATTAATAGTATAGTAGACACCTGGCAGTTTTAATACTTTTATAAATAAATCATATTTAAATTAGCGGATGAAATTTATTAGAGAAAAAAATTCTTATGTTTATGAGTATTCGCCGACAATACATATTTTTTTAGATTAAAAAACATTTCTTTCTTTAGGTTTGGCTGAAATGCATTTGGTAATCCAAAAAATCTCATTACCCAGATAGTAAAATGACGTACCAATAGATTTTTTTTTTCTACTCCACGTTAATAATTAAATATTAATAATTTTATATTTAGAAAAATTTATCGTAAAACTTGTTTTCTTGTAAGCTAGAAGCTGAGTTTTTTTTTTCTAGACAATTTAATCTTAAATAAAATAAGCGTATATTATTTTTAGTACAATTTTTATTGATCAAAAATTAATAATCTTATCTACTGCGTGTGTTACGCCCCTTTCAATTCATCATCTGGATCATCCTTAAAATAAATTATTAGTAAATTAGTTTAATAACTGAATTCATCTAACTATTAATAGAACAATCAATGAAGTAACTTTCACTAACGTAAAAATTAACGCAAGGCAAAGGCCTCCAAAGAAATATAAATAAACCTTGTTATACTAATACACGATACAAGAATAAATAGCAGTACATTTAGAAATTTTTTTTCTTTTATATGAAGTGAAATAATTAAATATGAAAAGAATAAAAATTTTTATAAAGTTTTAAATGTATTTTCTTATAGAATTATTTTTTATATTTTAGTTTGACAAAAAAATAAAATCAAATGACTCCAGATATATATTACTATTTTTCTATCATAACGTTATTAAGATTTAAAATTTTATTAACGTATAATATTTAGCATAATATTCTATTTAATCAAGTACAATAAAACAGTTTTAATATTCAATTATTACAAACTATAAAAAACATAAATAATGCAAAAGAAAATTAACAAATAGCAATTTTTAATTAATTAGCTACAAGTAATAATAAAATTTATAATTTTTGACATATAACCGGAAATGACAGTTATTATGGTATATACATATGTTTCCTCCAAGTGTAAAATATACATATACACTCTGGATTTATTATATGAGTACAAATATGTATACACATACATATATACTTATACACAAGTATATATCACGTAAAACTGGCGCATGCGCAACAAAAAATTACACAGCCCCGAAAATGTCGGCTGGCTAAAGAATACGTCGATTAGTTATCGCAAAAATATATAATATTTATTGGCTACTACTAAAGGCACTTTAGTATCACATTTCATCCAAATAAAGTGAGTAATATTGTACAATAAAATATAATAACAAAAACTGTGGAAATAACGGATCACGAGTAATTATAATAATATATCGCGCGGCTTTCACGCGCAATCGTGCTCCAGATAACCGGCCGTAAGAGGCCTTATGTCAATCCCCGTACGATATCGGTCAGATTGACCAAGTGCCAACATGAAGAAGCTTTTTTCGAAAATTGACAACACATCTAAAGAGCCCAATAGTTACCTGGGCAAAATATTTGTTGTCGGTCGACACACAGTCACCGTTGAGGAAGTCCTTGCTGAAGGTAAAATCATCACAAGATAACATCTATATGTACATGTATAATATTCATTATGTATCTCTTTTTTTACAAGTTTTTTTTTTCCATACGTGTATTTAACTTCTTATTTCTTTAATCTGCTTCCTTATTACCTATATCAACGCCCATTTATTAATTTAATTAACGTTTCAATCATAATTTAGGACATTATTAATCCATTTTTGAATATTAATTGTACTTGTATTAATTAATTTATTTCATTACATATTCAACACTTATTAGTCCCGACGTTAATTTCTAACAATTGATTTATCGCTTCGAGTAATGTATTATCAGTAATAAATATGATAACGAAAGAATGTTTCTTTTTGTTTCAAAATCTTACTCAAATTTTTATGTTAATTATTTATTTACAATTTTCTATTCTTATTATTTTTCTTTATTCATTCTTATTGTTATTGTTATTGTTATTATTTTATTTTTTTTTTTTTTAAAGAGACGCAGATGTAAACATATGATGATATATTTTTAAACGTCATATTGTCTGTGTGTAACCGACCATTGTCCCTTAATTAATCATGATTGATTCATGACATCATTGTTTGCGAACTGAATGAAATTGTATTGCTACTAGTCAAGCTTATATTATATTATTATCTATTATTTTTAAGCATGCTATCATATTGATATCTTACTTATATGTCTGGACAATATGTATCTTTAATTTATAAGAATCAGAATGTACTTACAAATTAGATTATTTTTAATTTAATTAACGTAACATTTACGATAACTACGTATATTTACAATATAACGGTCAATGTAGATTAATAATTATAGTTAACAATTAATGATCAAACTTGTTAGATTAGATGTTATTAGAATTTATTTTTTTAGCAATAATTATTTTAAATTACAGGAGGATTTGCCATAGTATTTTTGGTTAAGTCATCAAATGGTAGATATGCTCTTAAACGCATGTATGTCAATAATGAACATGATCTCAATGTATGTAAAAGAGAAATACAAATTGCAGTAAGTATTTATCATGAATTCTTAATAGAATAGAATTTATTATTAATTTTTTTCAATCAAGAATTTAAATTATTTATTAAGATTTATAAATTACGTAGGTATTGTTTCACATGTAATATCAAGGTCACTTTGATAGGTCTAGTGTCTTTTCTTTCCATTGATTTATTTCTATTTAACTTTAATCTTATTATTGCAATAGTTATATCGTTTAGACATTTAAAAATTTAACTGTAGAGTAAAACATTAAATTTATTTAAGTGATTTTTTTTTTTTTTTTTTTAATTAAAGATACTAATTAATTTAATAAATTTTATTTTCAGAGCAATTTGAGTGGACATAAAAATATTATAGGATATGTAGATAGTAGTATTACTCATATAGGAGGTGGAGTCCATGAACTCCTACTTCTTATGCCCTATTGTAAATCACAAGTCCTTCAAATGATGAATAATAGGTAAAGAAAAAAAAAACTCATACCCATATCTATTAAAATAAATAATTTATCGATTTTTTATCTGAAATTCAAGGCTATTTTAGATAGAAACACTTGGATTAGATTTAAGTTTATTTTAAGTGATAAATTACTTTTTAAGTGAATTGATATCTAAATACGTGCCAGATGTTTATAATAAATATTTCTTTTCTCCAAGGTTACAAACGGGTTTTAGTGAATCTGAAGTGCTACAAATATTTTGCGATGTGTGTGAAGCAGTTTCACGATTGCATCATTGTCAAACGCCAATTATTCATAGGGACCTGAAGGTAAATTACATTTCATTTTATTTTAAAGTGATGACTAGTAGTTTTATTTTGTTTTCATATAATATCAATGTGCTGAATTATTTAAGGTGGAAAATATATTACTTGCTGACTCAGGACATTATGTATTATGTGATTTTGGTTCAGCTACGGGAAAAGTATTGAATCCAAGTGTCCAAGGTGCAGCAGTTGTAGAGGAAGAAATAAAAAAATATACGACCTTGAGTTACAGGGCTCCAGAAATGGTTGATATGTATTGTGGAAAACCTATAACTACTAAAGCTGATATTTGGGTAATAAAATAATAATATTTGTTTAATTCACAAGTCAACATAATCTAATAAATTTTATCTAATTTGTTTATTTATTTATTTATTTATTTATTTAGGCATTAGGATGTTTATTGTATAAACTGTGTTTCTTTACTTTACCTTTTGGAGAAAGTACACTTGCAATTCAATCAGGAAATTTTACTATCCCCGATAATTCAAGGTGAATTCTAATGCGATTGCTTTTAAATATAAACAATTTTTAATTCAAGTTCTAACTATTAATTTTTAAAATTTGTATCAACAGATATAGCAAAGCATTACACAATTTAATAAGATATATGCTAGAACCTGATCCAGATTTACGACCTGATATTTTTCAAGTGTCGTCCGTGGCTTTTCAAATTCAAAGCAAAGAATGTGCCGTACAAAATTTATTTGTTAGTTTTATTTTATTCAATCAATCTAAATAACTCATACTATTAATCTTGCTAATTGCTGGAAACGATTTTGCAGAAAGTTGCAACGCCCACTATTGATAGTTTACCTAGTGCACCACTCGAATCTGAAAGTGTAAAACGATCAGCGTCGATTAAAATTTCAAAACCAACACCAGTAGCAACAACAGTTGAAGGTACTTCCGTTACACCACGACAAAGGCCAAAAGGGCAAGGAGTAGGTACAGGTCCAATTAGTTTAACTGGTCAGATTGTTAGTCAAATATCTGGCCAAGGAAATCAAATACAACAGCAGAGTGGTACTTCAGTGTCTTACGTACAAGTTAATCAATCGGCAACAGTTAATACCTCACAACAACCGTATATAGCTCAAGGTGTGCAAATAGTACCTACAATGCCGTCAAATCAACCATCACAACCCTTGCAGTTATCAATGCAGTCCTCTTTCGCTCAAGTCTCACCACATATTACTTCTCCAAGTCAAAGTGTTTCCTCCTTTGTACCAAATCAGACTTCTCCATTTAGTCAGTCTCAGAGCCCATTAGTATCTGGGCATGCATCCCAACTGACTCAACAATCGCCTGTAACAGTTCAAGATAAAACTGCATATTATTTTGACGTAAGACAACATGAAATAAGACCAGGAGTTGCTGATGAACAATTAGAAGCTTTATTTCCATCTTCCGGTAAATTTATCAAAATTTTACCTAGTGATTATGATTCCATTAGCATAGACATTTTTTTTTATCAAATATTTTTGTTATTTTTTTAGGCTATCCAGATCCATTTAAAGATGATGCTCGGTCAATGCCACCTCCTTGTAAAATGCCAGCTTCGGGATCAACCAAAGTTCTTCCAAAACTAACAACTCCAACAAGTAGTGGATCTCCTATGATATTTGCTTCACCAACTCAAGTACCACAAAAAATAAATACTCCATTATCCCAAGCTAAAGCACCACTCACTTTCCCACCTCAAGCTTCTTCTAAGCAAACCCATAAATCTGAGAGTTTAAGTCAAAATATTAGTGCTAATACTTCACCGCCGGATAGCCCGACAGCGTCATCATCAAGGCATCGAAGAAATGTTAGTGATACAAGTGCTTTCAATAAGTACGTATTTTATGCATAATAAATTTTAATTGCAAAAATAATATGAATTAGTTAAGTATTTTTATAAAATAAAATTTATTATTATTTAAGGGTTTTCGCTAATGAGACATCTCAATTTTTGGCACCTTATGATGCTTCAGTGAGACCGCATTCAGAAGAAGATACATTGCCAGATATTAAAACAGACGGAAGGCCGTGCATCGGCACGAGCGCCTCCCATGTACGTGTTGTAAGTAAACAAATGCACGATTTTATTTTTATTATTTTCTCATTCTCTGTACTTAAAACTATGTTTTAATAAAATTTCCCAAAGGATTAGTAAGTGTTTAAAAAAGAGTAACTTCTATTTAAGTTCTATGTACTTTTTTTTTTTTTAATTAAATCATTTCATTAGATTTTTCAACATTATTTTCGATAGAAATGATTTTTTTATTTTGCACTGCACAATTAGATCGTAGATCAATTTTGAAAAATAGAGCAAATCAATAATATAATTTTATACGTGGTATAGGGTGAATTGTCTAGTGTGTCAAGTGCAGAAAGTCGATCTTTGAGTGTTGATGTATCAACTTGGAATCCTTTTGAAGATACACAGCCATTTAACCAATTAACAGAAGATCATATTTTCGGAGCTGAATTTGACAAAATTCGACGGGGTAGTAACAGCAGTATTGGTGGTGTTAAGAGTCGAGAAAGTTTAGTTATGTCTTACTCAGAAGTACCAGAAGATCCATTTGAATCGGCTCCTTTTTCATTGCCTGGTATGATAGTTGTATATTAACAAAATAAATTATATTTTAATAATTTTAATTTAACAAATAATTTATAATCTATAAATTTTTATTTCAGCGGGTAAAAAATCAAAACTTGGATCCAAGACGACTGCAATCGCTGGAGGTAATGCTTGAGATTCTTCGTTGTATATTCTATCCTTCCTCTTTTCTTCTTCTTAAAAAAAGACAAAAAAAAAATCAGAAAAGAAAAATTAAAAAAAATATACTTATCGAATTTACTTGTTGAACGTCTTTCACGTAAACAAAATGAGTAGACGTGATACTTTTAACATTTTATGTAGACCAAAATACATTTATAAATGTCTCCCCGAGGTACGCGTAAATTGAAATTTACTAATGATTTATTTATTTAGAACAATCGTCTTTTATAAAAGAAACAAAAAGTATAGTTGTGATAACGCGGGAGAGACTTAGCAAAAAAAAAAAAAGACATTCATCTGTTGATTAAATGATGAAATAGTTTGTTAGCGCAGGGAATTAAATAATTAATTAAAAAAATAATTAATGAAATGTAAAGTTCAAATATAGTAAAGATGGTCATTTATTTTAACATTCAATTAACGTTTACTTGCAACAAAAATGGCCTGCCGAGTATTTTTGTGATTTTCTTTTAAATTATTTTCATTTAAAGTATGAAAATTATCGGAATTAGTGGTGCAACTAAATATTGTTGAAATTGATTGAAAAGTTAAAATAACAAACAACGTATCATTCCATTTATATTAACTTTATTTGTTTGATCAAACATATAAATCAAGAAATCCTTTGCGCGAAAATAATATACTCGTTGCATTTCACTGTTGACAAGAAATTATAACTATATTTGCGAAATTATCTACTCAACTTCACATCACTTTTATGCATCACCAAAGATAATTAAAAAATATAAAATAGATATTACATTTACATAGTGATAAAAATAATTTTTTGAATAAGTTTAATGATAGTCAAGTGTTGCCAATTCGATTAATTCTAAATTCAGTATGGATTATCTAGTCTTACTTTTTCTTTTGAAATCATCACAAGTTTTATTTCCATCTTTATTAATGAAAAATAGTATTATTAAAACATTTTATTGCGGTAAAATTATTAGAAAAAACGTCAAATTTAAATTAATTTAAGTTATCGATATAAATAAAAAGGAATAGTAAAATTTTCATTTAAGCAAAAAATACTGTGATTTTTTTTTGCTCAGTTATTGTTACGCTCAATGAAATAAATGAAATTAAAAAATATATTTCATACTCATATATATCTATATATATATATGTATATAATATTATCAATATAAATTTTATCTTTGATTCCTTATAGTATGATATAAAAATACAATCAAAGAAAAAAACATCGAATTCACATTTCTCATAAATGTTACATAAATATGCTTTTAAACTGTTACAATTATTGTCTAATTATTCCTCTTAATAATTATTGTCATCGCGTGTCTATCATCGTTTGATTTTCGTGTATAAACGTTATGGACCAACATCATCAACAAAGTTATTATTTTATACGTATTAAATTTCCATAATATGTTTTAACGACAGAATACTTGAGTAAAAAGAAAGTACTTGCAATGTTGGATCATAGTGAATAATAATTATATAAAACAGTACACTGGGTAATACCGTTTGTGATAAATTGTCTCGGCAGGAAAGATTTTTGCTCGACTAGCATTTAAATTAAATTTTCGAAATATTTAATATATTTATCAATAATAATATTAACTATTAAAAAATTACAAAGGAAAAAACAACTAACATTTAAAATAAAAAATTATTGAGAGTTAAAATTTTTTAATTAGCTCTTTTCGAAAAAATTAAAAATATATTAAGCATTTTTCTTCTTTAATAGATAATTAATTATTAATGCAATTAATTAACCATGTATATATATATAAATAAATATAGAAAAAAAAAAAGAACGGAACAAAGTAAGAGTATGACAAACCATTTAATTATTGATCTATAAAAACTGTACTGTCTTGCGTCTTTCTCAAATCTATAACCAGACGATAAGATCGTACTTAAAAAAAAGAAAATTAAAAAAAAAAATAATAATGATTGATAGTGTAATAATAAGTATTATATTTTTTCTTGATGTATAAAAAATATTTTGCACAGAGACATTCAATCGGGGTGGATTTAATTTTAAATGTTTTATTTCAGTAGTATAAATTTTTTAGGTAATCATTAATAATTTTAAATTGAGGTGGTCCGTTGATAATTTTTTGCGTATCTGTTGTCTGGAACACCCTAATGAGCTTGGGAGGCGATTAAAATAATTTTTTTTAATTTATTCGGGCTTCCTGTTAATATGATTATGTTATAAATTATATGGGCTATTAAAGTGCCCTTATTCCAGTGTCATAAAATACCTGATTAAAAGAAACAGTTGCAAAGGTCAACATTATTTTTTTGTTTATAATAAATAAAGTGAAAAAAAGATAAATAATTTTAAAATTAAATCAACTATATTATTAAAAATAAATCATTTCTATAAGTGAGTGAGACGCACATGAATTTAAAGATATACAGATTTTATTGTTTTTCTTTCGGATGATTATAATTAAAATATTTTATATCACTCAATTAATTGTTTAATTAATTATTAATAGTTGTTACTGAATGGCGAGGAAACAATAGGATTAAATTTTTTAATTTTTCGTTTTGTCTACTTTTGTTCTCGCTGTATCTTTGTCGATTTATTCTAAAGCAATAAAAATGTACATTAGCACATAAAATGTTTGTTTGTCAAATCATTTTTCTTAATAGAACGCAGTAATTTCTTAATATAATTTTTTATCTTTATTCGTCATTCACTTTCATAAAATTAAAAAATCTTTCATTCGAAAATTAAAAATACAACAATTATCAAAAGTAAATTATATTTGAAAGTGATTACTGCGTTTTGCAAATCGTTTCCCAACCCCAAAAATCTGATTAGGACTGTTCCAGACGAAGTGATAGCGCTCATACTTTTAAATTAATTTTTTTCTTGCTTCTTCAACAATTGCTTGACTTTTATATCTTACAATCAGTACTTTTAATCTCTTTCTTTATCTTGGTTTATTTATCTTATCATCTATAAAGTAATTTTAAAACACGTTAATGACAAAATTTTATATTGCACAGTCTGTAACAGACCTAATCGGAATTTCCTATCTTTTATCTAATAAAATTAACTTTTTTTTTTTTATAAGTTACTTAAAATTGAGCGCAGAATAAAATAAAAGTTAACTAAAATTTTATTTGTAAAATAATTTTATTTTATTCTGATACTTCAATTATTAAAAAACTTTTTAACTTCAAATCTTCAATCGTCTTTTTATGAATATGTTATTTATTTTTAATCTTTAATAAAATATAATAACTTAATTTATTACATATTTTTGCTGGTATAAAAACAATTTAAAAATGTGAAAAAAAATTTAAATATACTGTTTATATTTATGAATTTATTGGTAAGGGAATACAGTACTTATTTAGGTAAGTATTTAAAGTTTCCATCTAAATCCAGATTATGAATTACTGCGTCGACTATTACAAATTAAACTTGATAAATAAAAAACGCTTCGCCGACTAATAAAATCACCAATACAATAATCTCAAAAATTCCTGCTCGACCTTGACAATATAATAATCTTACAAATATTTTATATTTTCTTTCCTTCTTTTTAAATTTATAATTAAATATTTTCAATTAACAATAGTTATTTAAATAAACAAAATAATCTAACAATAAATTTTATTTTACAGGATCAGATTTACGAAGTGGAAAGTTAGCAACAGTTCATTGGAGTCCTGACACAGAGCAGCCAGCGGCTGATGATGAAGCATCTTTGTTAACAAAATCTAGTCCAATATCACCCCAATTCGTGCGTGTGCCCGTTGAAGATCGGTCTAAATATGAAAAGCTGGCTTTCAATGCCGACGATGTGTCAAGTGACAGTGATAAAGAAATAGCACAAAGAAACCAAGAACGTCTAAAGAAAAAACGTCGCCGTGTAAAAGGTGTTTTAAGTAGACGAAAAAAAGAAGTGTCTTCTCAAGAATCTGGTCAAGCGCCTGTCGAGTATGAATCCGATGACTCAATAGGATCAGCGAGTGATCTTAAAGCAATGAATTACGAAGACGGTAATGAACTGGATGATGACCAAGATGAAAATGATGATGATCGTCGAAAAATAGACGAAACTATTTCAGAAAGTGTTCGCACTTGTGGCAGCTCGGCTTATCATGCAGAATGTGAATCTGTAGCAACTCACGAAGATGATCACAGAATTAGGAAACCAAAAAGATATCGTGAACATCAAGCGTTACCGACAATTCACGCAGATCCTGTAGTAGGCCACCAGTATGGTGAAAAACCTCTTTTACTTGATGATGAACTTGATCCTGAAGCTAAACCTGGGCAGTTACACGGAGATCCTTTTGTTGGACATCAGTATGGTTCAAAGCCTCGTTTGCTTGATAATGGTAGCTCTTCCGATGAAATAAATAAGACTAATATTGTTAAAAATGGTATTTTTAAAACTGATGAGGATGTTTTTGCTTTAGCACCTTTTCCAAGACCAACGAGTTCACGTAAAAGTAGTGATAGTAAAGAAAATATTATTAAGATAGTTGAATCAACTAATAGTATACCTAATACTCCACCAAATACCAATTTAATATCTCCAATAACGGATTCTCCAATTGTTTCTGGTACATTAGTTGACATTGACGATAGTCCAGATTCAAACGTTGTATTAAAAACTCCTGGGTTGTCGAATGTACCTCTAGAAAGCTGGAATAATTATGAAAATGATAATTTTATGAGTCCACAGCCTGTTAAATTTACAACTGAAGTAATTAGAGAAGATAAAGATCTTTTTGGGTCGTTGCCATTTAATTCAAGCTTTACGAATCCGTTTAATAAGCTTGGTAATTACCAAACAAAGACTGAAATTGCGTCTTTACCTTGTCATACTAATTCGTACTCAAACTTCAGTGTGAATAACACGACTCAAATAACATCTCAGAATAATAGTCAAGTAAATACTATTAATAGTATTCCAGGTGTTAATTACAGACAAGTAACAACTAATACAAATATTATAACTATTAATAATACAACACCTAAAGATCTTTTTGGGTCAATTCCTTTTGATGAATTTGCAACTTTGACTCTTAACAACCAACATCAGCAACATCAGCAACAACAGCAACAACAACAACAACAACAACAACGACCTACATCATTGCCGTTATCACAATCTCCCGGATTTGTAGATAATGCACTTAATACCATTTTGTCAAGCAGTGCCCAGTCTACGCAATCCTGTCAATTTTCTTCTTCAGTGATGAATATGCAGCCACAGCAACATCAGCAGTTACCACCTCAATCAGTTTATGTGATACAACAACCCGAAGTACAGCAGATTCAAACAGCGAGAATAATTGTCAATGCGACCAACAGTGTATCGATATCAAATATATCGCCGGATATTCTATCACCGATGTCACCTGAACCCCTAGTCGTTACTGATCAATCATTGAAACACAAAAAAGACAAGGCCAAATCGTCAGATAAATCCAAGTATCATCTCATTGGTGAAAATCGTAGCGATGCTATTAATGTATTATCTGTTAAAACGCCACACAAGTCCAAAGGCGTTTCTTATAAAAAGACACCTAAGTCGAAAAAAGGCGCAGTTACTGCTGGATTCAGTAATATGAGCTTTGAAGACTTTCCGAGTGATGAAAACGATGAAAAAACGGTAAGTGGATCTGCCGTTACGCCTTTCGAAGTTATTCGTGAGCCGGAAAAACGTTTCGGATCACTTAAACGAAGAAGCAATCCATTTACTTGAGAAACCACCAATGATAGTTGTATTTAAGCTACTTTATTTGTAAGTTATTATATTATTTTTATTTCTTTATTTATTTATAAGATTTTTTTTTTCTTTATTTAATGATAATACCGATATCTCATGTGTGCTCGAATTGTAGTTCACATTACAAAATTACAACTTTGTAATGGTGATATTCAAAAAATCTAACGATCACGAAAGCTATTGATTTTTCTGTTAAATTTTTTTATAAAAAATTACATACGAAGTAGGTACTATAAGACGAGTGTGAAAATACTTAACATAAAGTGTCAATTAATGTACAAAAATGATTTACCATCAAGTAGTTCGTAGAGTATACAAATATATTTCAAATATATATTTTACATTCATTTAAGTTAGTTAGGTTACTAAAGGGAATAATTAATGACGCTTTGTACTTTTTTATTAATTTTCTTAACTAACTTTCCACTTATTGATTATTTCCGAGATTAATACAGTACATCAGAGACACTGCATGGACATCGGTCCAAATTACGTTTAGGATAAAAAAAACTTGAATTCACACTTTTGCTGATTAATTACGCAGGGTATGAACTAGATAATCGAATATCACAATATTATCTTTTAAACATTAAGACTTTTTTCATTTCAATGACTGCAAAAAAGATATTTCGAATCAACCTTTACCTTGTCATTTTTTCACTTTACCTTAATTATTTATAATTGCATTTATTTAAACACCTTTACTATAATTAAATTAATTTACCAAAAAAAGTTTTGCCCATCACTCTTAATGCCATGACTTAATTAACCATCACTTGCATTTGATTCAAAGATTCAAACTTTTATTCCAGTTAATTAAATTTTTTTTTTTTATAAAGATTTTTCATCATTTTTTTTTTTTCATATTTTTTAAAGATATTTCTTTTTTAGTTTTTTTACCGAGATTAGCACACTTTTTCGTCAACTTTTTTCAATTTTTTATGAACTACATTTGACAACCATGATATCGGTCTTGAAATAATAAAAAAATTTTTTTGATTTGTTTATTTTTAGTCAACGAGTCTCATTTTGTTTTAAGTATGTGGCTTACACAACTTGAAAAAAAATTTTGAAAATAATGATTTTTAATATTTAAAAAAAAAAAATTATATTAATATATCTTTCTTCGGTTAAGATTCTGTTAATTAATTTATAATGCTATATTAACATTAAAAAGCACCGCTTTTTCATCTTATTACCTCGATAAATTGCTAAAAAATAAATATTATATTATTTCTAATAATATATATATATATATATATTTCACGAATTGTATCGTGAGCCTAAAAATACCTGACTAGAATGGTGCATTAAATTATAACTAAAAACAAAATAGTATTTATCGATAAAATAATGAAATAAATTATAAAAGCTGGTAATTGTTTTCATTAAAAACTAACTGTGTTTATTGTTTAAATTAAAAAAAAAAAAAAAAAAAAAACTCGGCATCTAGAAACCAAAAAAAGTTAATCAATACAGAAATGAGTGTGATTAAAAGTGAAAAATAAAAAAAATTAGTTATTAAAATAATAGTAGTAATAAAGTAAATACAGGCATCTATTTTTGCAGCTAAACATTTTCACAACATTTATACATTTAAAGATTTGTAAATTTCTATTGTATTAACTATTTCTTGATAAATATTGTATTTATTATCGTATTTAAATATGAAAAATAAATTTTACAAGCAGAAAATACTTAACATAAAGTGTCAATTAATGTACAAAAATGATTTACCATCAAGTAGTTCGTAGAGTATACAAATATATTTCAAATATATATTTTACATTCATTTAAGTTAGTTAGGTTACTAAAGGGAATAATTAATGACGCTTTGTACTTTTTTATTAATTTTCTTAACTAACTTTCCACTTATTGATTATTTCCGAGATTAATACAGTACATCAGAGACACTGCATGGACATCGGTCCAAATTACGTTTAGGATAAAAAAAACTTGAATTCACACTTTTGCTGATTAATTACGCAGGGTATGAACTAGATAATCGAATATCACAATATTATCTTTTAAACATTAAGACTTTTTTCATTTCAATGACTGCAAAAAAGATATTTCGAATCAACCTTTACCTTGTCATTTTTTCACTTTACCTTAATTATTTATAATTGCATTTATTTAAACACCTTTACTATAATTAAATTAATTTACCAAAAAAAGTTTTGCCCATCACTCTTAATGCCATGACTTAATTAACCATCACTTGCATTTGATTCAAAGATTCAAACTTTTATTCCAGTTAATTAAATTTTTTTTTTTTATAAAGATTTTTCATCATTTTTTTTTTTTCATATTTTTTAAAGATATTTCTTTTTTAGTTTTTTTACCGAGATTAGCACACTTTTTCGTCAACTTTTTTCAATTTTTTATGAACTACATTTGACAACCATGATATCGGTCTTGAAATAATAAAAAAATTTTTTTGATTTGTTTATTTTTAGTCAACGAGTCTCATTTTGTTTTAAGTATGTGGCTTACACAACTTGAAAAAAAATTTTGAAAATAATGATTTTTAATATTTAAAAAAAAAAAATTATATTAATATATCTTTCTTCGGTTAAGATTCTGTTAATTAATTTATAATGCTATATTAACATTAAAAAGCACCGCTTTTTCATCTTATTACCTCGATAAATTGCTAAAAAATAAATATTATATTATTTCTAATAATATATATATATATATATATTTCACGAATTGTATCGTGAGCCTAAAAATACCTGACTAGAATGGTGCATTAAATTATAACTAAAAACAAAATAGTATTTATCGATAAAATAATGAAATAAATTATAAAAGCTGGTAATTGTTTTCATTAAAAACTAACTGTGTTTATTGTTTAAATTAAAAAAAAAAAAAAAAAAAAAAAAAACTCGGCATCTAGAAACCAAAAAAAGTTAATCAATACAGAAATGAGTGTGATTAAAAGTGAAAAATAAAAAAAATTAGTTATTAAAATAATAGTAGTAATAAAGTAAATACAGGCATCTATTTTTGCAGCTAAACATTTTCACAACATTTATACATTTAAAGATTTGTAAATTTCTATTGTATTAACTATTTCTTGATAAATATTGTATTTATTATCGTATTTAAATATGAAAAATAAATTTTACAAGCAGCTCACCATTTATTAAATAAAAAAAATCATTTTTGAAAGAATTATGTAAATATTTAAAAAAATCTGTAATAATACATTTGAGTACATTTTTAAATGCTTATAGAAATCACTTCTTAACGATAAACACCTGGTCGAACTATTTATAAATAAATTAAATAGAATAATAATAATAGATATATCTATAAAAACAAACATCAAAACTTAACATCAAAAGGCGCAGTGATCGTTGAAAAATATTGATTTTAAATATCTAGTCTCTCAATAAGTGCTTTTTTCATCGAAGACTGATCCTCTTAAATTTTAGCTGTTTAACATAAATTTTTAAGTTTATTTATTATTTTACTAACGTTAAATTAAAAGTTCTACTTTTAATGCTAAAATTTGAGCATTGTATGCATGTTAAAAAAAATTGAATTAGTTGTAATGAATAAAGCTATTTTCAAGAGCTTAAACTATTATTTGTAAGTAATATTTTTAGGTTCAATATTTTTTAAATGGGCATTAATTAAAATAATCACTTATAATGGTTATTTAATTCATGTATAAATTAATATTCCTTGACCTAATTGTTGCTTTTTTGGATTCAACATTATACTGCGCCTTTATCGAATTGACTGTGAAATAAATTTTTTAATCAGTTTAATTAAATAAAGAGACAATATATAAATTTATAGAGTAGCTAAAAATTAAAAAAAAAATCTCAATTATAACAAAAAAATGATTTTCTGTATAACTTATATGAAAAAACGGTAAGTGGATCTGCCGTTACGCCTTTCGAAGTTATTCGTGAGCCGGAAAAACGTTTCGGATCACTTAAACGAAGAAGCAATCCATTTACTTGAGAAACCACCAATGATAGTTGTATTTAAGCTACTTTATTTGTAAGTTATTATATTATTTTTATTTCTTTATTTATTTATAAGATTTTTTTTTTCTTTATTTAATGATAATACCGATATCTCATGTGTGCTCGAATTGTAGTTCACATTACAAAATTACAACTTTGTAATGGTGATATTCAAAAAATCTAACGATCACGAAAGCTATTGATTTTTCTGTTAAATTTTTTTATAAAAAATTACATACGAAGTAGGTACTATAAGACGAGTGTGAAAATACTTAACATAAAGTGTCAATTAATGTACAAAAATGATTTACCATCAAGTAGTTCGTAGAGTATACAAATATATTTCAAATATATATTTTACATTCATTTAAGTTAGTTAGGTTACTAAAGGGAATAATTAATGACGCTTTGTACTTTTTTATTAATTTTCTTAACTAACTTTCCACTTATTGATTATTTCCGAGATTAATACAGTACATCAGAGACACTGCATGGACATCGGTCCAAATTACGTTTAGGATAAAAAAAACTTGAATTCACACTTTTGCTGATTAATTACGCAGGGTATGAACTAGATAATCGAATATCACAATATTATCTTTTAAACATTAAGACTTTTTTCATTTCAATGACTGCAAAAAAGATATTTCGAATCAACCTTTACCTTGTCATTTTTTCACTTTACCTTAATTATTTATAATTGCATTTATTTAAACACCTTTACTATAATTAAATTAATTTACCAAAAAAAGTTTTGCCCATCACTCTTAATGCCATGACTTAATTAACCATCACTTGCATTTGATTCAAAGATTCAAACTTTTATTCCAGTTAATTAAATTTTTTTTTTTTATAAAGATTTTTCATCATTTTTTTTTTTTCATATTTTTTAAAGATATTTCTTTTTTAGTTTTTTTACCGAGATTAGCACACTTTTTCGTCAACTTTTTTCAATTTTTTATGAACTACATTTGACAACCATGATATCGGTCTTGAAATAATAAAAAAATTTTTTTGATTTGTTTATTTTTAGTCAACGAGTCTCATTTTGTTTTAAGTATGTGGCTTACACAACTTGAAAAAAAATTTTGAAAATAATGATTTTTAATATTTAAAAAAAAAAAATTATATTAATATATCTTTCTTCGGTTAAGATTCTGTTAATTAATTTATAATGCTATATTAACATTAAAAAGCACCGCTTTTTCATCTTATTACCTCGATAAATTGCTAAAAAATAAATATTATATTATTTCTAATAATATATATATATATATATATTTCACGAATTGTATCGTGAGCCTAAAAATACCTGACTAGAATGGTGCATTAAATTATAACTAAAAACAAAATAGTATTTATCGATAAAATAATGAAATAAATTATAAAAGCTGGTAATTGTTTTCATTAAAAACTAACTGTGTTTATTGTTTAAATTAAAAAAAAAAAAAAAAAAAAAAAAAACTCGGCATCTAGAAACCAAAAAAAGTTAATCAATACAGAAATGAGTGTGATTAAAAGTGAAAAATAAAAAAAATTAGTTATTAAAATAATAGTAGTAATAAAGTAAATACAGGCATCTATTTTTGCAGCTAAACATTTTCACAACATTTATACATTTAAAGATTTGTAAATTTCTATTGTATTAACTATTTCTTGATAAATATTGTATTTATTATCGTATTTAAATATGAAAAATAAATTTTACAAGCAGCTCACCATTTATTAAATAAAAAAAATCATTTTTGAAAGAATTATGTAAATATTTAAAAAAATCTGTAATAATACATTTGAGTACATTTTTAAATGCTTATAGAAATCACTTCTTAACGATAAACACCTGGTCGAACTATTTATAAATAAATTAAATAGAATAATAATAATAGATATATCTATAAAAACAAACATCAAAACTTAACATCAAAAGGCGCAGTGATCGTTGAAAAATATTGATTTTAAATATCTAGTCTCTCAATAAGTGCTTTTTTCATCGAAGACTGATCCTCTTAAATTTTAGCTGTTTAACATAAATTTTTAAGTTTATTTATTATTTTACTAACGTTAAATTAAAAGTTCTACTTTTAATGCTAAAATTTGAGCATTGTATGCATGTTAAAAAAAATTGAATTAGTTGTAATGAATAAAGCTATTTTCAAGAGCTTAAACTATTATTTGTAAGTAATATTTTTAGGTTCAATATTTTTTAAATGGGCATTAATTAAAATAATCACTTATAATGGTTATTTAATTCATGTATAAATTAATATTCCTTGACCTAATTGTTGCTTTTTTGGATTCAACATTATACTGCGCCTTTATCGAATTGACTGTGAAATAAATTTTTTAATCAGTTTAATTAAATAAAGAGACAATATATAAATTTATAGAGTAGCTAAAAATTAAAAAAAAAATCTCAATTATAACAAAAAAATGATTTTCTGTATAACTTATATACAAAAACTAGAACATAAATTGTATGTAATTAGGTGCCTTTCTTTATCAAACTGCTGCTCGATGAATATTATTTACATAAATTATTTATTATACTGTATTATAAAAATAGTGTGTGATTTAGAAATCAGTTATAACAATAAAATAATAACAATCGTATAACATCACCAATATTGAAATTGATTAAAGACGTCAGTGAGATTTTTTGAAAATATACTTTATAAATTGAACTTTTAAAAGTTTTTATCAGAACTCAAGATTATCAGTGATAAAATAACAGATAAAATAACCGAAGTGTATTTAAATGATCGAAAATACAATTTTAGTCTTCAATAAAATTACTTACACTAAAAGTTATTTCTTCAGCTATTTTGTTTCAGTTATTATTTGTCTTTGATTGTTTCAACAAGTACTCAAGTATTTATTCAAAGCAGCTAAATTTTATGAAATATAAAAAAAAATTTATTTAAAAAATTAACTTAATATTTATAAAAAAAAAACATATTTGAAAAATTGCAGCTATTTATTACATAATTTAATATGTTAACATTCCTCGACAGTTATAATTAATAATTTTCTATAGTATTTTATTTATGCACATTTTTTTCATGTTTATTATTAACATTATCATTTTTGTTCATTTATCGCTTTATTTCGGATTTATTCACTGCCTTTACTAAATATTGCAGTATTTTTTTTTGTCAACTGTCCAACTCAAGTGCTTTTTTTTTTTTTTTTTTTTTTAGTTACGTTTAATTTTCCAATTATTTTGTATTATTTTAATAAGAAAAATTTATTTTAAAAGTGCTTTTATTTTTTTTCAAGCGATAAAAAACAATAAATGAAGAGTGAATGAAAAAACAATTGTAGTGTCTGAAAAAGTAATATTTTTTTTGATAATTGTGTGAGTGTTATATTTACACAAATAATAAGTAGAAAATTATGAGTTGTTACATTGTATTTTGTTAAACAGTATACTTTATGATAAAAATGGATTTGTGAATGAAATGCACAAATGTTTAAAAATAAATAGCGCATTGATGTATAGTTGATATATATATTAATTGACTAATTAATTAATTAAAAAAGAGATAAAATAATATATTTGTATACAACATAAGCAGCATAAAAAAATAATTATGGAAAAAAAATTAAGTTGACATTGTTTTGTATGTCAATCCGTTTTTTTTTCTGTTATTTTTTCTAAGGCAACTTTATCTAGTTTTATGTATTAATTATGAAAATATAAATAAGTTGTGATGCATTAGTTATAAATATATAATAATGATAATGTAAATAAAATAAATTGTAATGTATTTATGTAAAAAAATTAGTAATGAAATAATATAATTCAGACTATAGAATACCGAAATATGTACTGTAAAACATCTTACAGAGTAATAAATATATGATTTGTCTTGAATTAATTTATAAATTTTTAATATATATATTTTTTAAAACTCTAATTATAGTATAAATGTTTATTTTTGATTATAGTTTTTGAGATACTTATATAGATAAAATATTAAGAGCAACAAGATTTTTCACCAGAATTTCTGTGCCTCTGTCTTGCCATGACAAAATTAATTATGAAAATAATTATCCAGATGATAAAATTTGACCAAATAGAAATAAGAGCAAAGAGTAAAGCTAATCCGGTATTCATTTCATCACCTCGCCTCCAATTGTTCGAATCAGGCTCAATGTAATCCATGTAATCGAATATTGCGCTACAGCTCAAACGATTGTGGACCGCCTACACCGAAATTAGTAAAGTTAGTAATTTTAATTATTATAATAGTTACCTAAAAAAATTACAATTAACAATAATCAGATATATTTTACCACAGCTTCGCGTCCTGATGATCCCAAAACGTGAATTATTCTTTTTTTATATTGTTCACAGGTTTTGTAATAACCATCGGTGACAACGATAGAGTGAGCAAGAGACAGACATGTGATTAATGCTGCTAAGAAAGTTGTTGGCGTCCAATGTTTACACGGGGATCGGCTCTTCGGAGTTACGACTACGACATTTCCGTCTACTTCATCACTAAAAAAAATAAATAAAATAATTACAAAAGTGAGTGATGATCCATTACATCAATTAATTTATCGATTAAAAATAAATCCATTATTTAAGTTTAATTTAGTATCTTATCATTATTAATAAAGTATTTTTTATTTTAACAGTAAAATAATTGTCTTCAAATACAGTCGTAGAGAAAAAAATTTTAAAAATTATAATGAATATAAAATAATTTATTAAAATTTTTTAAAAATAATAATATATAAAATTGAATAATAAATACCTGCTGAAATTAACTGATCTTCTGGCTATGATTTTAGGTTCACTTAATTTTTTATTGATACAAGTTCGATAGCCGTGATAAAGACCGAATCCAATACTAAATAAAACAGATGGAATGACGGCATAAGTCGCAAAGTGACAAATTTTAGCGTCTCCACCTCTTAGTTTGCTAAATGCATTAACACCATAAAAAATACAATTACAGTCAGTCTCAAAACAACTGTCCAAGGTCCAAGCCCAGTATTGCCAGGTAGTTATAATGCAAATAAATGATATCACTGAGAGTAATGCAGCTGCAGAATAAAGAATCGCCAGACGTTTTTCAGCTTTTGCACTATTCATTTTTATACTAGTAAATAAATACTAAGTTATTTTTATTTTATTATTTCTCAGGTGTGATTCAATTATTATTGTTTATCATGATAATATAATTGTGTTAAAATTATTAAATTAAATAACTCAGATGAAAAATTTTATAATTTTTTGTATTGAGCTCTATTTCGCGCGTATGAACTACGCAAAAGTTCCCAGAGAACTGGTGACTGATAATTTTTCCAAGAGTTCTTACTTATCTTTCACACCATTATTTCTATTTTATTATTAAAATTATCCATGTATTATTTTTTGATTAAATATAAATTGTAATATTAAAAAAAATTTATAATATTTTGAATAATTTTCAACTGAGATGTTTATTTGTAAAAGCTGTATACTTATAAATAGTCTTTGTTTGGATAAGTGAAAATGGAACAGATTGGTCAGCCCGGTTTAAAAACCATTAATTTAAATTTAATACTTTCTAAATAATATCTTTGACGTAATAACCCACACTGTTACTTTATAAACAAAGAAAAAATGTCTGTTATAAAAAGTAAACGCTAATTAGAAAAACAAATAGAAAAATTTTAAGGTCAAACAAGATGTAAAATTGTGAGAGCGAAGTTCAAATATTTGATCAGTAAAGCATTTGTACACTCAATAGTTAAAATTACTCAATTTTTTAAATAAATAATATCAATTGTTACAGTAATAAAATATTATATTATCTGATTAATATGCTAATGAGATTATATGAATTATAATTTTAATTACGATACAATGGATTTACGTAAAAAAGTAAATTATTTATCACACTTGTTATCAATTGTAACCGTACACATTTTGCTACGATACAGCTTTTGTTATTACTCATCACGATCACAAATAAAAATTATATATCGAGTAATAAAAATGTTCTAATTACAGATCACATTAATTTAAGTTACCCGATTATTGATATAATAAAAAAATGTATACTACACTAGAATTGATGTTTTTTTTTTTTACGTATTGGCTAAAGTAAAATTATTGACTAGTTTTTCAAAATTCTATCACGAGATAAGTCTTGATCTTATCCGAGTGTGAATAGAACTGATGGCTCTGTTGGTGTATTACATATCAAGTTGACGCAGATAGGATGCGATAAGATTAAAATATATGTTTGACAGTGTACTACATTATTAAATTGTGTTGATAATTGTGATTGTTTATGAAACTTTTTGAAACACATTAAAAACCTATTAATAATTTATGCAGATAAAATTTTTTTAACTGTTAGATTTTAGATAAGTAATGTTTAGTTTGAATGTCAGTTTTTGTTTTCATAATAACTTTCAAAGTTTATAAATGAAAAATTATATTGATTTTAAATGAATATATTTTAATTTTAATAAATGATTTAATTACTATAATTTACAGTATTTTAATAATATTAACATAGCTTGCTGAAGTTTGCATTGAATTTACTGGATATTAAATCAGTGAATTTTTAACGGGCAAAAACTATTTACAAAAAAGTGAAGAATTTCGGTGCTAGCCCATCGATCGAGGAAAGTCATTTAGTTGGATCTGAAATAAAATTTATATATTCAATTATTGTTATATTTTGTCGACATTATTAAAAGTATTATTAGTAATTAAGCTCTCTTTGAATATTTTTTTGATCGAATGAATATTTCAAAAAATTAAAAATGAATTAAACACACTAGGTAAAAAACAGTACAAATAAATGTTAGATCTCATTGGGATCTTTTATTATTAATCCAATTTTTGAAACAGATTACATGTTAAATTATTTAAAAAAAAAAAAGTATAGAAACATTCTAAATATTCAAATTTAACCAAAACAAAATCCATGATTTTATGAAGTACTAATTTTGATTAATATAATCTTTAAATAATTAAAGCTATCGCAGAGATATTAGTTTTTTTTAGGTCCAAGTCTGTATAACAGTATGAAAACAAGATAAATAAACAAATAGTAATTTAATTCTTTCATTCATTTAGCATGAATAAAAAAAAAATTATAAATCTCAATTAAAAATCCTAATACGACTAGTGAAATATAATGGCAACTATATATATATTTAATACATTCAATAATTACAACTATTTAAAAATCGTAAAGTAATAATTGAAGGTGTATAATATTTGTCAATTATTTTTGTTCATTCTTATGAAATACCGTTTTGTCAAGGATACAAATATTAATGGTATGGTTTTGGTTAAAGATACTGCTCGTTCACACATACTCTTATGCTGGGTTCATATTGTGATGCCTTAACTGAGTTAATGAGTCCCGACTGTTCCATAAGCAGTACATTGATGCTAACGCCAATCCTACACCACCTCCCATCAAACATTTTGGAAGTCCCGCTGCAAGAAATAATTATTATTATTATTTATTTATTTATTTATTCAAGAACGCCAATCGGCAATATACAGTAGTAATTATAAAATTTATATTGTGGCTATTGTTATTTGCAAGAACAATGATAGTTTAAAAGAAAAAGAGAAAAAAATAATAGTGATATTATCATCACTATATTTAGAAAATTTTTTCACAGACATAATAATAATGTAATTTACTTCTCGAAAAAGTGAGTTTATCAAATTTGGTAGGATACAATCTAAAATATGGACATTGATTTTGTAATGATGAAAAAAATTTTTTTTTTATTACTAACCAGTTGATTTAAACAGCATTCCAGTACAAGTAGCAGCAATCATAGTATTTATCGAATCGTCAGTATCTCTAATTAATTGAAGACCTACACCTATACCGCTGTACATCACACAAACTACACCGAGTGTATTCGCTACCGAAGAACCATTTTTCATAACATGATTAAGTAATCTGAAAAAATAATATGAATTTTAATTATTTTTAATTACAAATTTAGTAATCAAATTAATTTAAATATTTCTTACTGAGTTCTCCTAAGCTTTCCAGTTTGTCCCTCCATTGTGGTAGCTTTTAAGCCTCGGTAAAATCCTCTCATGCCTCCAATACCAGCACCTATCATACAAGAAGCACCAATTTGACCAAAAGCTAATTCAAATCGTCCTCTGGATCTTCCTGCGCCATCAGTTATAACTAATCCATCGGAGGTAATGAATTCTGGTTGATTTGTTGGTAAAAATGCCGGATCGAAATTTAAATACGGACTATAAGGAGTTAGACGTTGCGATGATACTGAAAAAAAAAAAAAAAAAAAAACAAAAAAAAAAAAATAGTTATAGTACAATTGTAATAAAATGATAAGAATGTTTATTAAAATATTCGAGTTTAATAAATAATTTTGACAAATTAATTACAATAGTTTGTAAATATTAGACTAATCAAAGAACTACTAATTCAATTAAAGGTTTAATTCTTTGAAATTAAAAAAAAAAATTGAGAAAGAAATATTATTGGTATTTATTTTTGCTTTTTTTAAAATTAATGTCATGTGATATATATATGATAAATAATAAAATGGTTAATTAAAAATGTGATCAATGGTAAAGATAGGTTAGAATATAAGTTTGAAGTAAATTATAAATTACAAGTTATAAAAATATACTATAACTTACAAGAAATATCGAGGTTTTCATTACTATAATCGGATGTTGACGATGATTCGTTCGAGTCGTTATTATTAAATCCCATCATCTTTGTTCTAATTTACAAACGCACGATGTAGATCAAAAATTTTCATTGAAAAATCCGAAGGTAGCGAAAGGTCGTGGTGGTCGTGACTAAATCGGATGATTCAATATCATGCAAGTTATTTTTTATGGATTTTACTCAGTTGGTAATAAATAAATACATTATTTTCAAAGTTAAATATTTTTTGTATGTTATAAATCAATCACAATATACTGCAATTAATTGAGGTATTATTTATAAGAGTTTTTTTTATAAATTGGAAAATTTTAAATGTCTATTCTATAATTAAAAAGTTGAAAAAAAATTTTTTTATACCGGATACAAATTCATAAATAGTAGAAATAGTTCTAAACAGAGCAGCCACTTAATTTTTTTATTTCAAAATAATTACGTTAAATAATTAAATAAAAATTTCATAAATACTATTTATAAAAATTTTAAAGACACTGGTTGACAGACATTATAAATTTTTTTAGAATTTTATAGCAATAAAAACAAAATTTAATAAAAAAATTCCACATGTGAAAATTAAAAAAATTATTAGGTAGTGGAAATTTTTTAAAGGATTTTTTTTTGTTCTAATTTTTCTAATAATTGAGTTATAGTTTTATATAAAAATTAAAAAAAAATTGAATTAAACAGCAACTGATAATATCGGAATCTGTAAAAAATTTCAATGCACATAATTTTTTGTATATTTATCAATGTGGGAAGAGAAATTAATTTGCAACGTTTTCTATCAAGTGTTATGTTTGAAAACAAGAGATATTCAATTACATAGTTAGTAGCTTGATAGCACAATAATTTCCACAAGAAGTATATTTTTGAATATTTTGTATTTTACAATCAACTCAAGTCATCAACGGTACGTACTTACAAATTGTTTTTGTTAATTTATAACCTATTACCTATTACCTAGCAACTGATAAAGGTATTACGTGTGCACTAACATTTATTATATTTTTCAGAAATAATACTGCAATTGTTTTTTAAATACATATATAAATATCATAAACGCAAAGCCGACAAACTTATACGGTTGATATATATTTAAAAGAAAATTATTTGACGGTGAGTTTTGAATTGAATAAAAAGAGATTGAAATGGACAACGAACGTTGTGATAGAAATAATAGTGTTGTAGAATGTGAAAATATACTGAAAGTACTAAATATTAATGATAATAATTCAGTACAACAAGAAAATATCGACATAAATAATATGCCTGTGCATATATCGAAAAAAAAATTAAAAAAAGAAAGGCAACGTGCTAAAAAATTAGAAGCTGCTAATAAAAGTTCACGTGTATCAAAGAATATAAATAAAAATAGCCAACAAATATTTAATTCAAAAAATAATATCACTGAAAAAAACATAAAAAACAATATTGATAGTACGATAGATGATATAGATAGTCATAATAGTAGCAATTCAATTATAGATAATGATATAGATGATTTATCATTAGAGCAATCAGCTTTCGTTCAGTCAATTGTTAAACAAAAAAATAAATTAAAAAATAACTATATCGTTAAAGATAATAAAAACTCGTTAGAAAATATATCTCATAATAATAATATCAATAGTTTTGATTCATCAGATGATTTACAAGGATTTACTGTGGTTAAAAAAGTGAGTTTTTAATTTTATCTAATAATTTACGTATGGTAAGAATATTTAATTAATTTTTTAATATTTTTTTTTTTTTTTTTTTTTACAGGACAAAAACACTAGAGATTGGGATAAAACCCCAGAAGGGTATGGAAGAGAAGGGTTTAGATTAATTATGAAAGGTCAAAAGGCTGATGCTATATATTATTTTTCAAAGGCTATTCAATTAGATCATTTAGAAGATATTCGTCATTATATTAATAGAAGTTATTGTTATTTAAATGTTGGTAGTTATCTTGAGTAAGTATTTTAATCCTGATTATAATCTTACGATTTCTGGAATTTAATTATAATTTTTTTTTTTTTTTTTTTGTTAATTTTTTCAGAGCTTTGAGTGATATCAAATTTGTTATTTCTCGTACAGATGATCCAGTATTAATAAGTATTATGAAATGTAGACAAGCACAAGCATTCATGGGACTAGAGGTAAATTAATAAAAATAAATTAAATCATTATCATTCAATAATATTATATATTTAAATAATCAATGTATAATTAAATTATAGCATTTTAATGAAGCCGAAAAATGTTTTCAAGAAGCATTAAATGTTCTTCCAGATTGTTTGCCAGTTAAATTTGAACTTTATAGGATGAAAATAGTTCAACTTATTAATATGGGATTTTCTGAGAGATATATTTTGAAAGTATTTAGAAAAACACCATTGATTAATGTAAAGGTATGTTTCATTTTATTAGATGAAGGCTATTATTAAATAATAATTAAATTAATTATTTATTTTTAAAATATCTTTGTTTTTTTAGGATGCAATTGCTATTTTGTATGAATTGAGTAATGACTACGATAAAAAACTTGATGACAGTAATATAAGTAGTGATATTGAGACGGAAATATTTCAATCGGATAGTGATGACAATCCAAGTAATACAAGTATATTTAAAGAAGTATTTGACTATAATGATAACGATAATTCTTGGCAGGCAACAACTAATATTGAAGTAGAATATCAAACGTAAGTATTTTTACAATTTTTCATTGTATTTCAAGAAAATATAATATTTTATTTAATAAAAATTTTAATTGCTTAATAGAAAAACAAAAGGAGCTAAAAATACAAAAAAAGTTGAATCTAAAATTAATGGTGGTAAAGTAAAAACCGCCGATGTAATTGACGCAACAAAAAGTTTACAAAAAACTACTACGATTGACGCTAAGGCTGTGTGGGTCGGAAGTTTGACTCCTAAAATAAAAGATAGTATGTTGCTTAAGAAATTTTCAGAGTAAGTTAAACATTGTACTTAACTTTTTTACTGTTAAAATTTGTTTAATATTTACAAATGTATGTACAATTTTTGTGTTTAGGTTTGGTAAAGTTAACAGTGTTGCCGTTCTACCCGGTGAAAGATATGGTTTTATTAATTTTGTCGAAGCTCGTTCTGCCCAGCGAGCTGTCGAAGCCGGTTTTGTTGAATTGTGTGGAATGAAATTGCCAATTAAAATCCGCGCATAAATATAGAGAAAGTTAATTCACTATGATGTACAACGATTAAATTAAAAACATTAATATTTTGTTTAAATTAAAAATATTTTATATTATTATATAAATATGACTTTTTTCAAAGTATTTTCATGTTATTAAATATAATGATTCATTACAAAGAATGGAATATTTCTTTATAATCAATCACAAAATTTAAAAATAAATGACAAAATAAACGAATATTCTTATTATTAAAAATTTATTTCAATGTCTATATTAATTTTTACAATGATAAAATTTTAATTTTAGGAAAATAAATAAGCATATATATGATTTAATTTCCAGGTTGTTTTTTATTTACAGCTCTTAGCAATTACACATTTAACGACATAAATCTTGTTTTAATTATCATACAAAATGAAAATAAATACGTAAAGTGTGAAGCAATGTTCAGTCTAAATAATAAAAAAAAAAAGTAATACAGCAAAAAATTATGTATATTATTGTCTATGGTGGTAGTTCGTTTCATTTTTTAAAAATTGATACCTAAACATCTAAATTAAAAAACATTAACTGTAAAAAAATTCTCCCTTAAAAAAAAATCAAAAATCGTTCTTATTTAGACAATAAACAAATAGAATGCATTAAAACAAATAATAAATGCTTGTCCAATTTGATTAAAAAAATACAATTACAATAAAAATGAATGTGATTCTTATATATCAGTTACAGTAAAAAGTTGTAACACTCTAATAATAACTCCTTATTCTGGAATTATTATTTATATTCATACATTTATTTACAAACGATTCAAACAATTTCAATATTTTCCTTTTTTAACTTGTTTTGTAGAAATGATACATAAATTATCAATATAAGCTGGATTATGCATTTCTTTGCTGTAGTTAGTTTTTAATTATTTCATTTAAAATTTTTCAAAAATTTTAATTGATTTTCGTGATAACCATATTGCAAATTTTTTTACACTTACATAACACAAAAAAAAATAAATTCAAATGTTCATATTTCTTATCGTTATAAGCGCCAGGCTTGCAAAATTGATAATGATTTATTATTTTAATCTTTCACCTCAATTATTTGATGTTAATTATTCTAACAAAATTTGATAAACTATTTTAGATTAAAATTGGACATTGTGTCAGTCTAATTGTTACAATTAAAAAAAAAAAAAAAAAACCGAAAATCGTTATTATAAATAATTATTTTACTTTGATATATTTTTATGCAAAATCTAAAATTATCCAATTAGTAAAATTATAAGTAATAAATAATCTATTCACAAATTATGTCAAGACATAACTATCAATATTTGATTACCTACGTCCTGATTTATGAATTCCAGTCATATGAGAAGCACGAGAAATAGCCGATGGCCAATCTGTGTTGCAAATATAACATTTTCGTGTACAAGATTCATTAGCATGTATTCGATCCAGTACATGTGTAGACAATAAAACTAAACTCGGAATTTGACGTACTTTACAACCAGCAGACATTTTTCTTTTTGTTACCTGTGGTTTCACAATTACTGGAGAAGGTACAGGAATAGTATTTTGGTCATCAGCATCTACATCCATATTTTCATCATTGTCGATTTTTTGGATTTTTATTTCTTCACGAGTTTCATTTAATTCAAGGGCGTTGTTGTTACTGATCGTGGTAGAAACTTCTTCACTGTTTTTTTGATTCGGGATGATTCCATTGAGAAGTATATCAGAAGGAGTATCAGTTAATAGTAAGTCATTTGGATGACTTTCCGAATCTTGTGATTTACTATCGTCACTGTTATCACGACTTACTATTTCATATGAATCATTTTTCTTCTTTATTGTAATACTTATTCCAATTCCAGAATCACGATCACTGCTTTCTCGCGTATCGCTAGTATCATTTGTTATTTGCTGATGATCAACACGTACTTTACATGAAATTTTATGGGAAGCCAGTATATCACCGTTGCGAAATAAACGAGAACAATTTGAACACCTGTGCTCTATTGGTTCATGATATTGTTTTATACTTTCTTGTGTTAGATAATTATTACTTTCTTTAAATTTTTCTAGTGGAAATGATGATCGACGCAGCAAAGATTCTGGATCATCCATCAGTAAGTTAGATTTTGGTAATGATGAATTAGTCCTGCGAATTTTTTGTTTCAATATTAAATCTGGATCCATATTAAGGTACTTTGGATTCGATGGTTTCATTTCAACGACACTGAGGTTGCTAAATTCTCTTCTATGATTATATTCATCCCGACGCATCTTTTCATAACTTTTCAGCTCCAGTGGACAGAATTTACATATAAATCTAAGTGAACCATCCTCATCTCTAACTGCTGCAAATGTTCGAAGTGGTCCAGGAATACATGGCTCTTTTATAGAAGATACTTGCTGTTTTACTCGAGCGTTTATTTTACGTGCTTCAGGATTACTTCGTCGTCTGATCACTGCTTTTTTAACTGGAGAAGCAACTTCTTTTTTTTCTATTTTTACTTCTTTTTTTACTGTTTTTTCAGCTTTTATAACAGGTTCTGAGGTAGCCGGCATCATTTTTAAGGACTGTTCCATCAATGGATCGGGATCACGCACTTTATGATATTCTAAAAAGTGTTTTCTTAGATTTTTAAAACCATTTTTAGAACATAATATACAGTAAGTTGGTTCTTTTGGCTTTGATTCCATCGGCACATCATCACTAATTGAATTATTACTTTTATCATTAGATAAAATGCTACTTTTTCTTGTTCTTTTTTGAGCAATAGGAATTTCATCTAACGACGAATTACTGAAATTCACTGCGGTATCTAACAGTGAAATATTTTCATTATAATTAAACTTTGATTTTTCTCGTAATCCATTTCTAGTTGACGGTGATCTAGGTTTTTCAACTTTAACTTGCCGTTTTATTTGAGCCGGTCTTTTTAAATCACGTTTAATGGCTCGTTTCTTTGCTGATGCTGATCTTGGTGATAATAATGGTGGTGGTGGTGGTGGTGGTGGTGGTGGTGGTGGTAATAACGGCGATGCATCATCATCGGTTCGTCCAGTGCTTTTCAATACCTCTTCAACTTGTTTAGTTTTTAAATCCAATCCGTGTCCTTGCGTTACATGCATGCGATAAACACTTTTACTGGAGAAATTTCTCATACACACATGACATTGGAAATTGTAAATAGGTTTTCGCAATAAAAAGTACACTTTATGGACCTTCAATAAATGTTTAACTAAATTTTCCGATTCATGAGACAGTGCTCCACAAATATAACACTTGTAACGTAAACATCGACGATGAATGTTCCAATAATGCTCAACAACATGATTAGAGGTCATAAAAGTCTCACCACATACTTTACAATCAAGTTCAGTTTTAGCTTGCTCACGTGGATAAATATTGTCAAATTTAATAGTGATACCATGGCTTTTACAATGAGTCTTAAAAATATTCAATTTTGTTGTTTTTACATTACAAATAGGACAAGTTCTAAGGATACCATTTTCTGAATTTTGATTTTCCGGTACATTGTTTTTAGTTGGCGACTCATATGTCAACGAACTTGATGATAAGGATAACTTGGTTTGAACTTTACTTCCTTCATTAGATTTTTTACTATTATTATTGTAATTGTTTCCTACTTGTTTATTGATATTTTTACCCACTGGTGGCCGTATATAAATTCCATGAACTTTTCGGTTATGTACTCGTTTATTTTTAAGGGAATAAAAATGTTTTCCACAAGTTTCACAGCGATAGACGTTCAAATTTCGTGATCGTTCGACACGTCGTTTTTTCTGTGGTGGCTCTTGGTGAATAGCTTCTTCAGCTGCTGGCTCAGGTTCAGGAAGACTCTGTTGAGGCTGCTTACGTTTGTAACTTCGAATCAATTCAGGAGCTCCACCGTGCATAGATACTACGTGTTTCTTCAAATTATATTTGTCAGAATAAACTCTGTCACAGAAACAGCAAGTTATTCTTATACCAGGTTCATAGGCCATAATGGATTTAATAAACTCAGTTGTATCAACAATAGCTGTATCTTCACTGCGTATGTTTTTGACAGGAGCACTTTCAACTGATTTATTGTTATTGGAGACTTCATTTTCCTGATTATTAGATGAATTTGTCTCGTTCTTAGTAACGTGGTCAGATTTTTTACGGACCGGTGGCTGGATGATGTTATGTATACGCTCTTCGTGTTCTTTTAGCGACCTTATATGATTATACTGCTTACCACATGTTACACATGGATAAAGGACACGTGTGCGTTGAACGGAGAATTGGAAATTCGGTAAAGCCGTGTTTCCATTGCCTAAAACCGGTTGGTACTTGATGTAAGGTGCCGTAGGATTATTTTGGGTCGACGAACACGACTCAGTATCATGATGTGATGAACTAGGCTCGTCGTCATTTATTGGGGTTAAATTACTATTTTCAACATCACCGTTAATCATCTCAGCGTCATCGTTATTAACAGTATCATTGTCGTAATTGTAATAATCATCGGTCATCTCCGATCCAGTTTCATCGTCACTCGTCTCCGGATTAGGATCTTCTTGGAGATCCCGTATTAGCTGTATTGTTTCCCATATTTTATCACATCTTTCTAATTCAACAAAACACGGTTTTAATCCGTATGTTGCCTCTATTTCCAGTGATAACTCTAACGGATCCTGAATAAAAAATATACAATTGGATTAGCTCAGCAATCAATGTAATAAAATTTAAACTTACGAAATATTAAAAAAAAAAAAAAAAAAAAAAAAAAATTCATGAATGAATAAAAATTTTTAAATGATGCTAATTTATTCATTTTAATTACTGATAAATTATAAGTAAATATATTGGCGTACTAAAAATAATATTTATGAAACCTGTTGAAATGTAAACGAAACTCACCTGAAACTCAGCGGTATTTATAGTAACGACATTGTTTGTTTCTACATCACTAATTTTATTTGATTCTGGCTCAATGGATGTATCCACCTTATCACTAATCGATGGTGGTATCACTTCCATCGTTATTTAAAATAGTAATCATTAAAAGTAATATATATTTAATAAAACCTATTTTTAAAATAACACTCATTAGATTTTTACAACCCTCTCAATGCATCAAGCGTTCAGACATATTGGATTTCTAAAAAAAAAACGTGGCAACAGTGTTTTAGACGCTCACAAAAATTATCATTGGCTAGGTTTTTAAAATATAAAGCCGCCAAAATTATTTAACAACTACTCAGAACTTTTTAAAGCAACTATCAAAATTAAATGATTTAAATTTAATTTTTGTGTTATTAAATTTATAAATTATCATTCAACATATGATCCATTTAAATTATAAAAAAAAATAAATAACAATATAGTATTTAATATAAAATTTGGCGCTGTTGTTAAATTATTATTCTGACACAAAGTTATCATTGGATGGTAAATTTTATATATTTTTTTTGTAGTATATAATTAAAAAAAAAAAAAATGCGATAGTGTGTGTCAATTTATTTATTAAAAAAAAATACACGAAATAATTGTTTCATTAATACGTAATTTATATAATTGTTGATGACTAATAATTATTAGGGCGCATAAAATTTTTTTTTGTTTTATAGTTTACATATTTTTTTTTATAATTTTCAGAAAATTAAATTTTATTAAACATAACCAATTTTAATTTTTATTTAAATTGCAGTCATAAATGATATTTTGTTTGTAATATTTTTAAAAATTATTTTAAAATGGGGAAAAATAAAGCACAGCGTACTAAAAATAATGCAAAGGTATTTATAAATTTATATATATATTAATGCTTTATAGGTTATGACTTACAATTATAACATATTGCTTGAATTGAAATTAATTATAATTTTTAATTCAGCCTTCAAACAGTGCTCGGAGTGCCGAGTTCCTGGGCAGCGCAATGCCAAATTTCGTGGGATTTTCAGCAGTGAAAGACGGTGGATATGTACCGGTTTTACCTGGCTTATCGCTGAACCAATTGAACGAAGTCGAAATAAGTGCCATCGACTCAAACTTCCAGGTCGTCTTCAAGAAAATGAATAAAAAAGACGCTACTACAAAATTTAAAGTATATAATTTTTTTATACGTCGTTAGTTTTAAACAAACTATTGAATAATTTTTTTATTTTAGGCTCTACAAGAGTTTGCTGATTTGGTTAAAGAATCTCCACTCCAAACGGTGGAAGCTATTTTACCATTTTGGCCGAAGCTCTACAGCACACTGGCTGTCGACGTAGAGCACAGAGTACGCGATGCTGCTCAAATAACCCACGGAGTTTTAGTCAAAAAAGTTGGAAAAAGCATCGCCACTTATCTTAAACAACTAGCTGGACCTTGGTTTACATCGCAGTTTGATCCGTTTCCTCCAGCAGCCTCAGCAGCAAGTAACTCATTGCATGAAACTTTTCCAGACAAAAAATATGTCGATGCAATAATCTACTGTCAGGATGAGATTTTGTCCTATATTTGCTACAATATAAATGTTCAAACACCGCAATTATTGAACATAACACACAAGGCGATGAATCTTGCTCCTGAAATTCTGGAGGCTAAATATCAACGCATATTGATCTGCAGCTTGCAGGGTTACTGTTCTTATTTGAAACAAGCTCCACATCAGCAAATTGAAAAGACATCTAGCAGTCATCACCAAATTATAAATGGTAATAAATTTTGGAAGTTGGCCAAGCATGAAATTCCATTGATAAAAATATCATTTTTCAATATTATCACGTCGCTTATTGAAAATTGTAAAGATATTCTCAAAGATTCTGAGAAAAAAACAATAACATCAATAATGAATAGTCTTGATGAAAATGAACCTGGAGTCATTTCAGCGGTATGGGAGTGTATGTTAATAGCTATTGACAAAATTGATGATTGGTACACTTATGTCAGTATTGAGAAATTAGTTTTGCCGAAATTGTGGAGAGTATTACGCAGTGGGGGACAAGGATGTGCTAGTATTATCTATCCAAATTTGCTACCACTGATCAGCCAGTTTCCAAAGTTTGACTTGGATAAGAAGAATTTATTTTTCAACTTTTTCGATAACATGAGCCAAGGATTTATGGCTAAAAATGTCTTAGTCAGTCGGTCTGAAATTACAGCAATAATCAAGTCATACATCGAATGTCTTCGATACACTATTTTATTGAATAACAATGACATTGATTTATGCGGAAAACTTGTTAGAGAACAATTGATTCCAGCTATTGAATCTTTCATTACAGATTACACGCCGGTTAAATTAGTATTGTTCAATGAGGCCGCTGAGCTACTGAGATATTGGAGTAAAAATCGTAATTCTGAGGATTACAAATCATATGGAGAGTTGATAGTTATCTTTTGGAGTGAGCTTGAATCAATGTTCAATCGTTTTATGGACAAGGAGAGTGAAACATTTGAAAAAGTAACTGTTGATAATATTTGGGATGCTCAAATTAAATTATTGACTGCGTTAAAATGTTCTTCTAATGTTAATCGTAAAAGCTTACGTATTAAATTTGAAGACACGGATAAGGCTGAATCAAAGGAACAACTTTTTAGTCAGCAGTCTACAGACAATGTATTGGTGAAAGAGATCAATAATTTTGTCACTAAGTTGTGCATCAAATTAATCAATAATTATGATAAAAATACATCAAAGAATATTGATCCGCTGAGTCGATTAATTTGCCAGTTTGAAAGTCAATTTTTATTTGAAGAAGTTTGTAAAGTATACACCAATGGTGATAATTTATTGGAGTTTTACAATAAAACTTTTAAAGTTTGGCTGGGGGATAATAATGCTAAAGTAAATGAAATTGTTAAAATAATATTCACCTTATTACAATATATGAAGGATGAAGATAAAAATAGTGTTTTAAATTCATTAACGAGTATGAATAATAGTAAAGTATTAAACTGTGCTATTAGTTGTGCACTGAATGATAAAAACATGAATGACCAAGTAATTAAATCTTGGCGTAAAGACGACTATACTTCAGAATATTTATCTCGGCTTACAGAAAAAGTTATCAGCGATAATTGTGAAGAGAGTAAAAAAGTATTACTGCAATCTTTTAAATCGTGTGGTGATGATTTTTGTATCAGCGAGCAGGCAGTCTGTGGTGTGTTAAATGTTTTGTGTGATTACTTGACGCAATCTGAAGAAATAGCCGAATCATTGATCACCTTTACATCGCAATTATCATTGCTTATTTGGAATTATAAAAAATTAATTCCTGCAACATTAAAACTGTTCAAGACGTTATTTAAAATGAGTAATAAAGATTCTTTGTCACTTGATTTAAAAGAATCAGTACAGACTAGTTGGACAACCGGACTGATGTCAATTTATCATAAAATAACTCCAAATGAATTGTTCAAACTTCAAGAGGAATGTATGAAAATAATGTATGAGAAAATGTACTCTAGCGATTTTAAAACAAGTGATGGAACTGATTTGGTATTAAATTTCTTGGAAGCTTCAAACAATTATAATTATGATGAGGCTCTAACGTCCTTGATTAAATTTAATAATAACATAGAGAAAAATTCATTGGACGAGTGGGTTCCTGCAGTGAAAAATTTTATTTTACACACGGAAATAGTCTGCGGTAATTTTAATTCTGTAAATCCAATCAAAAGTGTGTCGTTGGAATGTCCGATTAGACTTTCAAGTGAACCAGAAGAAGAAGAAGAAGAACAAGGAATGCCAGAAAAAATGATGCGTTGTTTAAAATGGTCTTTATTTACTACCAAACTTATCAATAAATTAATAATGCAATTAAATGACGAGTATGAAGATGATGAATTTGAATCAATTATTAAAAGTAGTCTCGATAATTCTTCTGAGCAATTAAGAAATATTTTACTGATAACTAGTCTTGGTAAATTGTACAACGATCACTATAAATTTTCCTGTAACGCCGACGCAATCAAGCAAATTTACGTTTCACTTCATTTTGAGTGTAAGAGTTTGCGTGAAAAAATACCACTCAATGTTTGGAAAGAAATAATTTTAGATTCACTGGATGTCGACAAGTATTGGACTGAATGGGGAAGTATTTTTTCACTGTTTTTGCAATACTACGCCGATGATAAAATTTATTTTTCAGAAATAAAATCACAGGCTAGAGTAATACTAAGTGAGTACACTACAGAAAACGGTGAAAATTCAGTTAGCTTGATACAAGATGTAAAGGCAGTAATATTAGCGCAACTTATTTTAAATGATGATGATGATGATGATGATGATGAAAGTAACACTCTTTCTTTAAATGTTTTGGAGAAGATAATAAAACGTAACCAAGTGGATAAAGAATTCTTGCTATTCAACCGAGACATTAGTTCTGTTTCGTGGTCAGAATTTATTTTGCCACTTGAATTAGTACGATTATTTACAAAATCCTTGCAAAAAGTTCCAACAAAAATGACCACTGAGATGCGAGATGCTGCAGTAATTTATTTGTCATCATGGCTCATGTCTCTGAATAAATCTATAGCTCACCACAAAGATTTAAAATTACAATGCTTTGTTGTAGCTCTCAGTCAACTATTTTGCGCTATAAAAAATTTATTAAGCAGGGTTACAGAGAAAGATTTTGAAGAAATACGTACAGGATTCGTGGATGAATGGAATAATATTTTCGCCGATGACATCAACCGTGAGATAGCAAACACTTGGATGTACTACGCAGATTTGTTCAACAACGAAACTGAATTTTTAACTTCAATTCTTATGTTGAATTATCTAGGGAATGCTATCAAGCTACTCGATGGAGCAATTTTCTTTAAAGAACCTACTGATGCTCCGATTACAGTCACCTCCGATGATTTGATAAAGTTCTCTTTGAAACTTATATTATCACCAATTCCAAGTCTTCAGTTGTCTGCTCATCATGCTCTGAACCGTTTGATTCCAACACTCGTAGAGCAAGACAAAAATACAATTGAACAGGAAAACTTTGACGCTACAACACTGAATATTTACAAATTTGAAGATATTATTTTACAAACTCAAAAAATAGTTGATACAATATTATTAGATTTCAAACTATGTGATTCAATAACTTGTACTGTTAAACCGTATACAGACTCTTATACTTACACTTTCGGATACATTCTGACTTGGCTTAATGTTTTGGAAATGTGCAGCCATGCTCATGCTGATTTGCGTTATCAATACGGAGAAATACTCAAGTAAGTATTTAATACCATTACCATGAATTAAATTTTAAATTAATCAATTAAAACTAAATTTTTATTAATTATTACAGAAATGATTACTTCTCATCATTGATGAATAACGTATTCCGATTGATGCCGGCAAAGATGCTTGAATTCACAGATAAACGAACTCCATTGTTCGAGTTTGTAAATTTATTCAAAGATCAACCTTTGTTAAACTTAAATGATAGTTTGACTAGCTCTACATTAGACCACGTAGTTTGCTGGGTTTATACAAATTGTTTGAGGTACATGCCGGTGTTAGCAAGACAGTGGTGGAGTGAAGTTGAATCCCGTGTAGGAAGTACCATGGAAAAAATTACGACTCTTTATGTTAGTCCTATTCTATGTCGAGAGGAATTGACAGTGAACAAGCTTAATGACGTACCTAATTTGACGGTAAGTGTATTTATACTTGAAATAATTTATAATTGAGATAATAATGAATTTCCAATTTATAGATCATTGTTTATCCAACGGTACGAGAGTTAAACGCTGTTTATAGGATGGATGACTCAAAGTTGGAATTGAAAATGATTTTACCGACAAATTATCCTCTGGGTACTGTCACTGTTGAACCTCGACAACATGCTGGTGGTGCGGCTAACTGGAAAAATAGCCATATGCAGCTCTCAATATTTCTTAATCATCAGGTAAAGTTAAATTAGTTATTTTAATAAAAAATTGGTTTAAAAATATTTTATTTACAAAAAAAAAAATTTTTTTAGAATGGATCAATCTGGGATGGTTTGATGATGTGGAAAAATAATTTAGATAAAAAGTTTTCTGGCGTTGAAGAGTGCTACATTTGTTTCAGTATATTTCATATCAATACTTATCAAATACCAAAGCTTTCATGTTATACTTGCCGAAAAAAATTCCATGCTCCTTGTCTGGTAAGTAAAACATTCTTATTGCTACAAGGAAGGTGTCAATTAAATATTAAAATGTAATTAGAAATTTATAAAAATTTATTTCATTTTAGTACAAATGGTTCAGCACAAGTCAGAAGTCAACCTGCCCAATATGCCGAAATATATTTTAATTTAAAATAAAAAAAGTTTTTATAAAAATCGATTATCGATTACTATGTTAAAAATATGTGTATAAATATTGAATAATAAATATTATTATATAATATTAATCGATTGATAGATGGCAACTTTATTCCATTGAATAATTCATTCTGAATGTTATTTCAACACTTGATTAAATCTACTACGTCATACGTGATTAAAAAAGATTATAGGAGTCATTGACTGAATGACTGGTCTTTTCAGTGGGGACACAGTAATGGTATATTATTAAACTTCCACGGTGGAAGTTCCACCACTTTTACTGTACGATCTTTATATAAACTCGTCGCGTTTGTGAGACTTGCTACTATTCTGAGTATAGTGTTTAGTTGAAAATGTTTTAATAAGTTTTTAAAAATTTAAAAATTTTGAATATAATTGTTTGTTATCGCTTCAATTTCAATAGTGTGTTTCTATTCAGTGTAATAAATTTAACAGGCGACCGCACCCAATCTACTAGTGTCCACCATTTAGTGTGTTGATTAATTTTATTTCAATATATTAACTTTTGTTCGTAACATTTCATTAAAAAGCTAATAAAATTTATTTAAAAAATTATAACATTTCTTTCGATTGTTTTGTTCATTTTAAATCTTAATAAAAGCAAAAAAAAATTTAAATAAGCATTTAAATGTTTATATATTAATAAAATTTATAATTTTTTTTTTTTATTCTAATAAAAATTTGATTAATTCATCGTAGCGTTTCGTATGGACATTCTTTCGGCATACAGCTGTACATTCTTTGAAAATTGACCAATATTCTAGTGTGTATTCACAATACAGATATAATTGAATTGAAACTAGAATAACAAAAAAAAATATGTACAGTAATGAAGTATACAGAAATGCATAAAGTTGATCAAATTTTTCTTTATGTGCGTACCAAACGGTTAAAGTTATTGAGAGAATTGTTAGTGTGGTTAACAAATAGCTTGTAGTGTTTCAGAAAGCGAACACCGATGATCGGTTGACTTACGTCGGCAACTCGGAATTTCCCGATAAAATTTCGATTTAAACCAAAATTGAGATTGTGACTTATAGTTCCGTAAGTTGAAATTGTGGTTTTGTCCGACTGTTGAAGATTGCAAGAGGAATCGCGTGTCAAATTCTGATCTCGTAACATGGATCGAGGAAATACACTATTTTGAGCACCACCATCAACAAGAAAACGGAGTCCAGAAATCCGATCAGTAACAAATACACACGATCATCGTCGACATTGGAATCATCATCATTTGGTCTCAGTTCTTCATTTTGATCTTCATTCGGCACATTATTGGATGGCAAGCGTGAATTAATTGATAATTCAGAATCATCATCTAGACTAATGATCTTCTTCTTCAGGTTTACATTAATTCCATAATGAGAAATAAAATCGGCGCCAAGGATTGGTTCACTAACGTCAGCAATCATTAAGTCCCACTTAAAATCGTGTCCCAAACCCAGGTCGAGTTTCTTCGATGTAGTTCCATACACAAACTTATTGTTGATAGATGGCGGTAGCAAAAATTCATCCTGAACAGGCTTTATTCAAGTGGGTACCAGACTTTGAGGATATACACTACGTTTGGAACCTGTATTAACCAAAAATTTTATCTTTGAATGATTGTCAGTGACGAATAGACGTTCATCTTTTGAATCGCAGAATTTTTTTTTATCAAACTGTTCACCGCTTTTTATTTCTTGATGTAGGTCAGTATCGTTTTCAGTGAGTGAGTGAGTGAAAGGATGAGTCAGGAATAATGCCATATCTGTCAACTGAGTTGTTTGTGTGACATCTCTCACTATTCTGCAGAGGAGGTTGAATTTTTATTGTACAATTTCGTTGGCGATTTTTTTTTATTTCATCAGATCTATTCGATTTCTTAAAAATATTCCTTAACCAAGTAAACATTTTAAAAAACAACTTTTCACTATTTAACTATATCTTTTTATATTTTAGTTTTTAATATACTTGTTTATTTAAACTTATGGTATATTCGGATTGTACTAACTTTCATTCACAATAATAATTAACTTGATAGTTTTTACATACTAGTATGTACACACTGCTTAACTCTTTACCTTCCAGCCAAATCAAACTTCTTAACTATGTACAACTCCGAAACGTCAAGCAGTGTCTACAACTTGTTGCTGACCATGTGTGTGAAACGGAAGTTAGAGCGCATGCTCATTTGCCGTGTTTTTAAGGCGGCAATGTGACAGTTCGGTTCGGGCAATACAATCTTAATAGGCACCCATACATATACATTATTCACTTACGCAAACAAAAAGTGCCGAAAAAGATGGCGGATATTGAGACATGCGCACGAAAAATTTTCAACTATGAAAAGGGATATGTCATAATAATGGCGGGTTTATGTGAAAAGAGTGAAAGGGGATTCACTATTCACTTTGCGCACGTGCCAACTTATCCCCACCTCTATTACACTATCTATTGTGAAGGCTATATCAAGTGTTTTTGTTGTTAAACGCATGACCACACAGCCATCACATATATAGTCTTCCTCACTTCTCCCCCTCCGGGAGAAAGAGTCAACTTATATGGTCTCGCTGCACTAAGCGTGAAGGTCAATTTTTTTTACTTATAGATATTAATATCTGTTTTTTATTTTTTATAGCAATTTTATATAAGTTTCACTTATTTTCAAAATTTAAATAAATATTTGTTAACTATATAATAGCTTTTATTTAAGTTAAAAAACCCGGTCATTGACACTGGCCTAGTTAATTGACACTTGCAATTTTATTCAAATTAAAAAAATAAAATGTTCTCAAAAAACCAATTATCTTAAAATTTATGATTCTTAAATTATATTTATTAATTTATTAGAATCGATTTGTTTTATTTAATTAAAATAAAACTGCAACTGTCAATAATTGGGTCTATTATCTTACAATAAAAACGTATACAAGAAATTAAAAAATCACATTACATATACGGGGTAACAATAAAAAAATTTTCATACTACTATAAAATCAGTTTACTTGCTTTTAATTAATTCATTTATATTTTTTTTCTGTCCGGCCAGAATGCGCCAACTTCCGGGCTGCTGTGCTAAACAAAGTTGGCTCATTCCACCTCTGTCGAGCAGAATTATGTACATCTTAGGTAGTAAATAAAAAATTTTATTATATTCCGACTTAACTCGCCGAGCTGTGTTAGAAAATACATATGGTTCAAAAGTTTATATATTTATGTATTTTTATATTAATATATATAATTATATATTTATATAAGTACATAAATATTTATATATACAGCTTCGCTTCGGCTGACAATTACAAGTGCTCTGAAACATTTTTCACTTTACTGGCCTAGGTACATGATCCACAGATTCGGTAGAGAATCTGGCGCCAAGTTCCGTTCAAATCCGTTGTAAACGGAGCGCCAGACTACCGAGTGTGTTTACTGTAAGCAGAACGGTATTTCGAGGTTGCAAAATTTTATTTAATTCTACGGTCATTTTTTTTCCTAAATTTTATATTATTATAACAGTAATTCATACTTTATTTTACTGATATTAATTAATTATATTTAATTATAACAATTAATCTACTTGAAATTATTAAATTTAATCAGCACAAACTATAGCAACGCAAAAATTTCGATCCTGACTTTTTTTCGATGGGCAAAGTGATCTGCCACAGACTACATAATTCAATAGTGCATGGTAATCCTCCGATAGATGGATTTCAATTTTTTTAAAGTTCTAGTAAATAGAATTCACGAATTTCATTAAAAGTAAAATATTTTGCAACCGCGTACACTAAATACGTTCCAAAATTTTTTTTTTGAATTTTTAAATTTACAACAAAAATTTTTTTCTAATTTCGGAAAAATCATATACAATCATATCGGTTACTTGGATTTTTTAATTTTTTTATTTTATATCTTTTTGTAAAGAAAACAAAATTTTTTTTTCTTAATAGTCTTATGAACGTGGACTTGGCGCGATTTTTTTACAGTGAAACTGTTTTTGTTCGGATATATTATTACTTTGTCTCAATTTTTAAACTACTTAAACTTATTCGAGACTTTAAATTTACTTATTCCCAGTACAGGGTTTAATGCTACCGGGTATTGTAAGGATCGGGCTCATTCTCACTTGACAAGAGTTCAGGACTACGAGGAAGATTATTAGAAGTAGGAATATTCCGACACTGACCTTTATACTTACTGTTGAATCTTGAGTTGGCGATTTTGTTAAGGAAGTACGAGCACCAAGGCAACTTTTGATAAAAGGCTTGATTTTTTTTTTTAATATGAAGTTTAAATGTGTCTAAAGAAATTCTGAAAATTTGAAGGAGATTGCCCGATCATTTAAATAAATAATTAACTTTAAAGTTGAGCAATTTAACATTGGTCTTATGGGGTCACCTTCAAACATTGATACATTTCGGTATTTTTCTCGTAAAACTGTCGGTGAATATTTTTAAAAAACTTATGGATGAAAGTAAATATACTAGTGATAAATTTAATTCAAAAACATTTACACTTGCCCGACTAATTAAAGTGTATTAAATAAAATAAAAATAAATGCCGCCACTAGCCAATGTTAAATTTATATCTATATATTGAGAAAAATCATATGGTTACTACGTTCCCCTTACCGCGCTAGAGTTGATATCTATCCCCACCCCGCCTGGCGCTCGTACTTCCTTAAGCTAAAACTTACCTTGTACTTCCCTTCCCCTGCTTCTTGGTGTATCTCTGTCTTCCATCCTCTCAGTGCTTAAATCTAGTAAGAGATTAGTATATAAAAGTATCCTTAGTAAATTCTGTGAATCTTTTTTTTTTTTCTTTTAACTCGTAAAATATGATCTATTTTTTCTTATAGAGGTTTAGAGTATAAAATAAGTTGGATAAATTGAAAGAAATAAGCATACAATTTTTTTTTAATATATGGTCAGATGTTTATTTGAATTTCATAATTTTTTACTCTATACAATTTTACTTACAAATATGTATACAATTTCGGTAAAAATATTGGAAAAAATAATTTGATAAAAATATTAAAATGATGAAACATGATTATATAAAGAATAACATTAAAAGTTTAAAATCGGTATATTGAATCAAATAAATATATAAATTACAATGAAACTTTTTAATGTGCTTGATTATTATTTTTATGAGAAATCATTTTGAAATGAATTTTATAAAAATACAAAAATGATTTATAAAAATGCTATAAAAACTGTCGAGGAATAATAATTTTAAAAAAGTAAAGAAAATGGTAAATTCTGGCAAATTTTTTAATTTAGTAGCTTAACCAAGGAAAATAATTCTACCGTTTGTAAAATCTACTAATAGTCCGTAATGAGCAAAAAAGTCAGCACCTAGAATTGGTTGATCAACGTCAGCGATTGTGAGGTTCCATTCAAAATTTCGCCCTAATCCAAAGTCTAAATTCATGGAAGTGATCCCATAAGTTGCAATATGGGTATTATTTGCAGCTCGAAAATTGCGACTTCGATCTACAACGGGTTTGATACGTTGAGGGATAAAAGATCGAGGAAATACACTGCGATCAGCTCCCGTATCAATTAAAAACCTTATTTGTGAACGTATTTCTATAAAGAATAAACGATTTCCTGCACGAAATGGATAATATATTCCGTTTAATTCTTGATTATACTCTCTAACACTTTCATTCCGTACGACCTCGTAGCCTTGTGAACTTGAATAAGATGATAAACCACCGTTGCGGGTTTGGATGACAACTGTAAATGTTTATCACACGTAAATATACATATAATAGCATATATATAATGTTTCAGGTTTGAATTAGTTATACATGTTGATCTCTTACCTTCCTCAACCGGTTGATGACCTGATGATGATGATGATGATGAAGATGATGATGATGATGATGGTTGTAATGGAGATCTCCCTCTGAATATACATTGCACAATAATAATGAAAAAATATCTCAAGATATTTACTGATAACTGAAGTAGCCATTTAATTAATTCTGCACAAATTAATTTAATTAATTGTTGAAGAAGTAGTAAATCAGAATTAAACATTTTTAATTAATCAATAAAAATCTTTTTAGTCAATTAATTGTTAATGACACTCCAATTGAATTTTGTTAATGATGTCTATACACTTTAACTATCAAGAGTATTATGTTATGCTGACGCAATTATGTGGGTTACCGAACGACGACTGAGCTAATGTGATGGCACGCGTCTGATCCCTTTTACATTACTGTGGTCAACCGCTCCCCACTCTCACGGTAAATGCCTAACTGATTCTTTGTTGAGAATATTTTTTATTTTTGTGATAAGTCAGATTAAAATTTCATAAAAATGTAATAGTTTAATGGAGGAAATTCTTTATGGTCCAGCCGATGATTTTTATAAATTTGTAATTAAACTAAAAATTAATTATTAAATAATGTGTTAAAAATTGGGAAAAATAAAAATCATGTTATTAGACTAACTTTTGTCTTATCTAATTTTTACTAAACCACCACCCTTTTAATCAAGTTGACTAGTATACGTTGTGCGCAAGCACATGTGTAAACTTGCTATGATATATTTTCGTGTCATTTGCATTTATTACACGTAATTTCAAACAATATCACGTTATGAGTAGTTTGCTTATATATGCATGTGATATATTTTCATATTTTACATCTTAAGTATAAGTGTACTCCTTATCGTATATTTTAGGATTTTTTTAATTATATAGAAAAAAGTATTTATAACTAATATTCCAAATCATAAACTAATTATTATTTTACAAAGATAAAAATAACATAAAGAAGAATGAGAGTATATCAGTAGTAACTCGAAAATTTCAATTTTTAGTTATGTACAGGAATTCGACATTGTGTATGATATAAAAAAAAAATTTACATCAGATTGTGCTCCAATATGAATAAAAAAATATGAACCATCTTAAGCTGTGATCACAGCTACGATTACCTCTCTCTCAAACTATCATTTATTCGCTCTCTCATGATAAGAGGCCACGAAAGAGAAGCCAGTAGCAAGTGAGAAGAAAATAATAGCTGAGTAAAGTGACTCACCACGGAGTATTTCAAGGCTCATCATCGGCAAAATTTTTTATGCTTAAAATACTGTATCGTGATGATCACAATCCATATGGATTCGGACATTGCATGTCGGTATCGCGATGTTATTTCTATATTACATGTCCCATTTGTCCAAATCTTACGACAAATTGAAGATAGTATTAAATAAAATAAGATATTCAAAGCATCAACGAGAATTACGTTTTATTCTTAAAGTGAGAGAGTTATAGTCTGTTTTCTAGAGAGGGGGCCGGAAAAATAGTGGAAAGGGGGGCTTGCCTACACTACCACAACTAAACTTTCATTCATACAGCCTTACAACACTTTGATTGGTCTATGAGTTATACAGTCGAGTCGCGTTATGAGCTCTTATAGTGTTTCTCTCATCTTAACGTGAATTTAGTTAAAAAAAAAAAAAAACAAGCTGGGCTCATAACGCGACTCGACTGTAAACAAACCATGTAAAAGATGAAAATGTGAAAAAAACTCTTAGCCCGTAAATTTTTTACAGCCGTGGTTAACAATCTTTTTAATATATTTAATGGAAGAATTCAAAACATATTTAACAATCTCGCATGCATATACATATGGAATAATTTGTCTTCTCAAATTTTTCTATTATTAAAGAGGAAAAAACGATTGAGAAAGATATTTCTTAGAGTAATAGGACGTAGTTGACTAAACAAAGTACTGGGTGGGTTAATGTAGACGCTCAAGTCATAAAATTGTGTCACAATAATAATTATTTTAGTAAAATTTTGCATTTTAGGCGAAAATTTAAAATGTCTGTTGAGTAGATAATCAAGTCAGAAATTAATATCACAGATAGAAAATGTTGTCTGGAAAATGGCTAACAATAACAAAACAGATAGTCATTTTTCAGATTTTCTGCTGTTGTATAAAAAACAGGTAGTGTTATGGTGCAGTTTTTTTTTAGAGCAAAATAGCACAATCATAGTATTTTTTGGGTGATAAATTAAACATGCGAATCAAAAGGCATTTCTTTAGAAGACTTATGCCGACGAGTAACGCAGATATGACGAAACCGATAAAGCGAGTGGTATATATACGTTTTACTTCTTATGTGTATTATACTCTGCTGATACTTTGCATAGACAATTTAGCGCTTAGCAGGGTGTAAAACAATTATAAAATATTTTTTTTTTACATAGAAATCTATCTAAATGGAAGTATTCGTAATATAAATAAAAAAAAAAAAATAGAAAATTGAACATGTACAACGTCGCACCGCAACAATTTTTTGGTCAGATTGTTAAAGTTACATATTATGTTTATTTACCATTAAATGTATAATAACCACAAGTATTTAATTTATAAATAAAGTTATATTTGTGTGATAAAATTATAACATTGATAAAATTGCACAGTGTAAATTGTACAAATTACAATTGTATAATGATACAGTTGTACATTGATACAAATGATACAATTTACAAAACAGTGATATCGGTCCGTTTATAAACATATTAGATATACGGATTTTGTGTGATTAAATGGTGCAAATTTTAAATCAATTCGGTTGACACTAACCGAGCCGTTTTAAGCTAAAATTATTTCGAAATACTTATAAATTATCAAAAAACGCGGACTTTTGGAAGAAAAAATAATAAAAAAATGTGGCTTAAAAAATCAAAGATATTCGAATTTCACCTCCAATAATAGCTTAAAAAATGTATTTTGTAGTCGAGTATAACATATACTAAAAAAAAAAACAAAAAAATAAGAAATTTCGTTCTCCAAAAAAACTCAAAATTTGTTTAAAATGGAAGAAATATAAAAAATTCAATCTTCCAATTCAATGATAAAGTATTAATTGTAGTATACTTTATATTGTTACTAACTATTGTGGGTATGTATAATTAAAATGTGAGTTACTACTGCACTGATAGAAAGATTTATTTTTATTAAATAATATTTGTTAATAGTTAATAAATCATTTATTAAAGACCACTTTTTAGTATCAAACAAATATTTCTTAGTATTTTAAATTATTTGTTTGTATTTAATAAATCTGATATTCATTTATTAAATATTAATAAATCTTTTTAAATACTAACAAATATTTGTTAAGGACTAAAAAGTACGGCCGCTAATAAATGATTTGTTGAATATTAACAAATATTTTTAACTATACCAAATCCTTCTATCAGTGTGTTGCTATGCAAATAATGCCGGAGTTAGTAATGATCATGATGAGGATCCGAGTTTTCGTAGCGTCGGTCTTCGCGGTGACCAGCTATTGTGGATCCAATATATAAGCGCGGACTGCAATTACTACTTCATTCTAGTAACCCTCGAGAAACCGATAACATGAAATTTTATATTTAATACAATTTTACTCAAGTGACCATTTTTTCATATAACTCAGTGAGTGCTGCGTTAAGATATACATATTACAAAACATAACTTAGTTCATAAATTAAATATTTGTGGTTACTACATTTAACATATCATAAAAATGTTTCCTTTTGCATCATTATTGTGGGGAGCATTAATGAAATTTATTCAAAATGATTTGATTACATTAATACTCCAATTATTAGTGAAATATATATTTGTTTTTGGTCTGAACTTTATAAAAAAAAAAATATTCAACAACGAAGGAAACCCTCCTGAATTAAGAATATTATCGACCGTATATGATATAAATATTGGAAGGATTCTAGTTGACAGAGTTGCTAACTACAGTCTCTACCCTTTATCTTGGGTACCAGATCGAGAAAGAATAATTCAAGATCATGGTCGTAATATTCGAGCCGCAGACAACAGCCCGATCGCCACATACGGAACCATGGGTATTACTTTAAATTTTGGAATCGGACAAGATTATTATTGGAACATCATAATAGCTGATGTAAGTTCACCAGTCCTCGGCAGAGATTTTCTCGGTCATTATGATCTGGAAGCTGTTGATTTGAGATATAATAGGATATAATTGTCAAAAAAATTATTTTAAAAGTGCTCCGTGCTTCATCGGACGAATTCTTACGCTCATAATTTAATCAATTTCAAATGAGAATCAAAGCTTATGTTTCGACGGTACTTTGATAAAATCTCTTATCTTTCATTTAAAATACATAAAAGATATGTGGTTTTACCAAAGTAAGACCAAGACCTAGAATCTGTCTTCTTCTCTCTTTAATCCGTCAGCACTCACGTTATGAGCATTTTGCTCACGCAACAACATCCGACTTATAGAGCGACGCTTTAATGCAAGTGAGACACTAAAATTCACATGAGTTCTGATGGGTTAATATCATCTTTTCTTCATTGACAAAAACCAAGACAGCAAGAGCAAGACAAATTTTGCTCATCACTAATTTTGAAGATCTAAATAGCTATTTTATTCAATAAATAAATTTATTTATAACAAAAATTAATTTTTTCATTGACAACAAATTATATCATTTCTTTAAACTAAGAAATATTCTATCATACTTTATGTATATCTTAAATTAAAAAATAGAGTATAAAACAGCATTAGTTTTTAGACAAAAATAGTGTGTATCATGGAGCGTTTTACTCTAAGTCTTATGGTACGTTATAATATGCTGAAACGACAAAAAAAAGTTAACGGTGGCACGCTTCGCATTCTCTTCACCGCAAAAAAACGCTTCCTATCTACGAAACGATAAGTGGCAGCATTTAATACATCACACACACACACACACACACACACACACACAGTTTCTCAATCATGTATGTAATATACTTGGGAAGAAGATCAAATTCTGAGGGATACGAGTGTATTCGTAGGAGACTCTACTCCTTTAAGGAATTGGTGTCACTTACATATAGGTTTTTAATATCTAGCTGAACGGGTTTGACGATCTGAAGGTCAGAGTTTGATCAGAACGATAGAATACTTTTAGTCATTAGTCAGAAGGTGGTGTGATGCTACTGATATTACTACCCGAGGTAAAAAAATAAGCCTACTCCCGTTATGTTAATAAAACCATGAATTTCATCTTGTGCAAGGTCATATTTTTTTACTTAAATATTAATACTGTTTTTTATTTTTTATAGCAATTTTATATAAGTTTAACTTCTTTTCAAAATTTAATAAGTTTTAGTAAATATTTGTTAACTATATAATAGCTTATATTTACAATAAAAACGTATACAAGAAATTAACAAATTACATTACATATACGGGGTAAGAATATTTTTATACTAATGTAAAACCTGTTAACTCGCTCTTAATTAATTAATTAATTATTTCTTTTAATTTAGAAGTTTTCCGGCCTCTTGGTATTGGTTCTCGATGTAATATAGTATGATAAAAATATAATAAATAAAATAAAATGTAATTAAGTACTTTAGAATTTTTTTATTTAAAAAGTACGAGTTTATATTTAGGGAGCTATTATATTAACATACATTTACACATTTACTTTATTGATATGAATTCGTGACGATGAGTCATATTTATCTTGGCATTGAAATTTCTTTTTTTTATACAGCTATTACCTGATCATTTTTTTTTTCATTAATTCACCGATATGATTTTTTAAAATATCTGTTTATATTTGAAAATTAATTATTTCTCTTTCAAAGATCACGTACTTCTGAAACAATCACCATTAAGTCTTTGTAATCTAATCTACTTGTTGAGTATTATGTCAAACACCTGTTGCTCTTTTCCACACGCCCGGCTTTACGCCAACTACTATATTAATATGTATTCAATAGCATGCGCCGGCTTTTTATATTTGTATACATGAATAGATATATTATGTATCTCTACACTACAAGTGTGCTCTGAGAAAGTACTGTTAATGACTTTATACCTGCTATTAGCTATTACTCTACAGGAGTTAATATGACAATAAAAAATCATGATATACACGATAAATTAATTTCGTGGACCATCAAGTCTTAATATTCTTTGATTTGAGATTAAATAAAGAAGATAATATTGCTCGACGATACACTATAAAAATGTGGATATATTAAAACAATAAACTTCATAAGTTTAGGTTTAGATTTTTTTTAATCATGAATGTGTCAATTATGGATATTGTTAAATTATAAAAAGTTAATGTAATCAAAGTAACTTTACATTAATACATTCAAAAGATGTATCTAATCTTTAAATTAACATTCAGTATTAAAACATTACGTTCTATTATTAACGAATTTGAAATTATTTTGGAAAAGCTCTCTTTTACTGTTAAAAAAATACATACGTACTCGAACACTCATATATCTGCTCTTTCTGACCATTTCTATAAATACATTCTACGAGAATCAAGGTCAAATTTATATTTGTATAAAAGTATGTGCATATTAAGAAAGTTTGACTGTAACTATAATGAGTAAAAATAATGTAAAATTTTTTTTTAATTTTAGTATTTTCAATATTTGTCAAAATTCTTTATTTTAATTAAAAATAATTTAATAATTGATGATTTTTACTTATTCAACAAAGTAAAGTAATAAAATGACTTTCGTACTGATTATACCTATTACAGATACGTGCATGAGCGTGTGAGTTAAACATTTTTCTCTCTGTAACTATATTTCTATCATTTTCTTTGTTCTCAGCTGTTGACGCGACGTTGTCAAATCTTTATTCAAATAAATAGCTGACGTTAAACGAGTAACAAACATAAAATTTAACTTAAAATATTCCAAAATTTATATCGCTAATATATGATTATTAAATTGTTTTTATAATTTGCAATAGTCCAAGTTTCTTGTTTATAATTTTTTATCCGTTAAAGTTGATATGTTAATATCGAAAAAATAATTAAAGTTTTGATAAAAGTTTGCCCGTCATAAGAGCCCGTATATAAAGAGATAAAATGTGATTTTTTAAATTTAATATCTAAGTAACTAAACGGTGAATCTTTTCAAAGTTTTCGATTAGATAAATGACGTATTTATTTATACGTGTACTTAATTTCAAAGCTCAAAGCTGGAAATTATTTTTTACATTAGATTCGCTCGAACCTCCTTAAGAGACTTTACTGCCCGTTCTGAAAAACTCAGCTATTTAAGCTAATATCTAATTTAACATTAGATTTCTTTTTCACAATTTTTATTTCAACATATAATTTAGTATTGAATAAATATCTTGAAATATCTTGAATAATATCTTATTGTCTATCAGCTCACATAGGTGCTTTAAAACTCGGATGTCATCGTATTCGCTAGACACACATAAATACACTAATTACAATATTATATACATGGATGAAGTAAAAGTGTTATATTTAAGCCAAGAGCAAGGAGCATTCGGTACTGACATCGGACTGCATGAATGACTCATGTGTTGAACGGGCTATGTAGTTGTATTGGTTGATTGGTTTTTTCATTTTTTAAGTTATAAAATATAAATGAGGAATTATAGCTTTCTCTTGCCTTTAATTTAAATTTGAATTTATAGGAATTCTACTGTATGTCTAGTATTAAATTTTTCGGTCATAGCTAGAAACGTTTAAATGCCATCTCACATCTATTTAAATACAAGTTTATTTCACGTAGAAAAAAATTTATATTCGTAAGATATTTCACGTACTAGATTATGATTATAACTAAATAATATTTCTTATGTAATAATTCGGCAAGTCAAGTGGTACTGTAAAAAATAAAACAAAAATATATGTTTAAACGAGTTTAATAATAATAATAATATACTTGACTCAGGCATGATAAAGTTCTGATTCAGAACTTCCTTGATGAGATTAAGTCCCCACCGAGTTTATTTTATACTTACAAAGTGAATGGAGACTGGAGAAGTTAGTTCATAATATAAGTTGCTGTTCATTCTGTGTCGTGGACGAACATGGGACCAGAAATGGCTTATTTAAATAATACTAAGTGAAATAAATCAGTTAATTATACATAAAACAACAATTTTTGGTTCATATTAATAGTGAAAAATAAAAGTATTGTTAAATTTTACTCAATTCTAAATTAACGTTAAAAGTTATAAAAAAAAAATCAGGTTTGTCGCTAACGGCCACGCCTAATTCGTAACCGTCTGCCGTTCGGTTCGTTTTATAATGTTAAATTCAACTATTAAAAATTATACTTACTTTCAGAGAATGTGACTTTATTCATTAATAAGATTAATATTATATGAACATCACAAAATGGTTTGATATTTTTATAGAAGTGCAGTATCGTGTATTACGTGTTTTTCCTTTTACTTGCATCAGTGAATAGAAGCCTCTTTATTTAATAAAAATATCAAAGTGCACACTTATTTTAAAATTAAAATAAAATATTTTTTAGTGGGATATGTTTTCTTATAAACTAAAATATGATCTAATTTAATTAATTATAATTTAAAACATTTTGTATGAAATTTTTTTTATTGGCATGAAGTTGAGAATGATAAAAAAAAGTCCAAAGTACAATATTGTATAAAGTTTATCAATGCTGGAGTTTTACATGATGATTAGAAAAAAATTGTAGCAAAAAAGTAATCAGCTGTTTGATAATTTCGGTATCACATATTATTATTAAATGTAACTTGACCTTGAAATATTCTTTCTTCATCTTTTAATTTATTATCAGTATAATATATTATCATCGGTATAATAGTTTTTTTTTTTTTTTTTTTTGTATCAATTGTAGCAATTCTTACTAATTTACATTTATATGTTTTTTATATTTTATTTTTATGTTTGAATTTTGAAAAAGTCTCATTAGATTTATAATAAATGTGATACCTGTATTATTATAATTATTATAATTTTATTAAGGTCATCAGTGGAGCTCCAGAATACTCGAACTTTTTAAGCCAAATATATATTTACTCATTCTCTTCATTGTTGAGAAGAATTCTTCTGTTACGAATGTCAACCAGAATGTCGTAGTAATCCAAAAAATCTGCACCGATAATTAGTTCGGCGGTGTCAGCAATCGTAAAGTTCCAATTAAAAACTCTACCTACTCCAAAATCCAATCTCACTTTAGTGGTTCCGTATGTTCCAATTAGAGTACTGTTTGCTGCTAAAAAATTATTGTTATGATTACGTTTTGGTATTATACGCTCAGGAACTAGGTAACGAGGATAAAAACTACGACAAGCACCAGTATCCTATAATAAAATTGAGATGAAATGTATGTGGCATCAAACTATTCGTAACGTGATTGGTCGAATATATCATAAGCATGAAAATATATGCAAACTCTATAGTCAAGGCGCGCGCTTGCGCGCGTAAATTCAAATTCTAGTCCTATAATAAAATTGAGATGAAATGTATGTGGCATCAAACTATTCGTAACGTGATTGGTTGAATATATCATAAGCATGAAAATATATGCAAACTCTATAGTCAAAGCGCGCGCTTGCGCGCGTAAATTCAAATTCTAGTTGACTAAAAATTCCATGTCCGAAATGTAATCTTTTACAAATAGACAACCGTTTCGATTAACATTAAGTATAGGATTTAATTGTAACAAATTTCTTTGAAACAGTACGTAAAATGGATTCATTTCATAGCGTTCGTCAATAAATTCCGAATATTCCGTTAAAAAATTATTCATTCTATAAAACTCCAATAATTCTTCACTGAGTAATAGAAATTCATAGACCATTCTCCAATTGTTAGACATTTTACGATCTACATGACAAAATTATAAAAAATGATTTTATTAATTAATGTATGTTATGTATAAGCATTTAATAATTGTTAAGTGAATAATTTAATTCTTTATAAATACCTGAGGTTGTTAACATTATCTGATTATGACACTATAATTGATATGTTTATCGAGCGGAAGAAAAAGCAATTATGAAACAATTTCATTGAGTAGTACTCTGGCTCATGCCAGTACCCCTTCTCTGTCACCTAACCAACCCCCACTCTTTCATATTTTCTCGCGCTCTACCAGTTGTGACATTGAATGTATTCTATATGAGCCTTTTAAAGACTCTGATTTTTTAACTCACATGAACATGATTGAATGAAAGTATTCTAACAAATGAAAGATTAAGGTAGTCGTTCTGCTGAGGGCATAGTGTCAGAAAATTCTAAATTTTTGTATACTTATAAAGGGTATTAAGATACAATTACCATTCAAATTTGAAGCTGATTAACCGTCTTAAATTCAAACTATTTATGATAAAAGCTCGGATTTTAAATTAAGAATACGCTCAACAGTTGTGTGCACACATATATATGAGTAATGTGTAAGTAAACCTTTTCTCGTGTACAGTATCAGTTAAAAATATAATTTTTACAGTAACAACCCTCTCTTAGCGCGCATATCATCCATAACTTTTTGACAATATTGTAGCAGAACAACTATTTATAAATCAAAGCTTTTTTTTTAAATTTAGACAAATTTTTATTACAAAAAATAATAATTTATATTTTTTTAGCTATATTTTGCATCTGCTTAAATGTTAAGGAAGTACGAGCGAATCTAATGTAAAAAAATAATTTCCAACTTTGACCTTTGAAATTAAATATACGTATAAATAAATACGTCATTTATCTCATCCCAAAATTTAAAAAAGATTCACCGTTTAGTTACTTAGATATTAAATTTTTAAAATCACATATTTTATCTCCTTATACACGGGCTCTTATGGCGGATAAACTTTTGTCGAGACTTTAATTATTTTTTTCAATATTAACCTCCCAACTTTAACGGATAAAAAACTATACACAAGAAACTTAGATTATTGCAAAATATAAAAACAATTTAATAATAATACATTACCGATTTAATTTATGAAATATTTAAAGTCAAATTTTATGTTTGTACCTCGCTTATCGTCAGCCATTTATTTGAATAAAGATTTGACAACATCGCTTCAATAGCTGAGAAAAAAGAAAAGGATAGAAATATAGTTACAGAGAGAGAGAAATGTTTAACTCACACACTCATCCACGTCTCTGTTATGGGTATAATCAAGCGCGCTATTGCCAAATCTGTTTATTTATTCCGGCAAGTAATAAATATCAAAGTCATTTTATTACTTTACTTTATTAAATAAGTAAAAATTATCAATTATTAAATTGTTTAAATTATTTCAAATTAAAATAAAGAATTTTGACGAATATTGGGAAGACTAAAATTAAAAAAAAATTTTTAAACTATTTTGATTCATTAGTTACGCTTGAACTTCTTTAAAAATTGATTTTTTTTTTATATTTTACAGCAATTTCAAAAAGAGCAAATCGGAATTTAAATTTTGAGCTTTTTTACTATAATACAACACGCAAGCGTTGTATTTGCTCATAACATAATTTCTGATTTATGTGGAAAAAAAAGAAGCTGCAACCTGTTGCTACATAGTACCTGTTGCTATTTGGAGTGTCTATATAGTTAATTAAGCGTAATGGCAGTAACCATAGCGAACTCTATTGGATATTAAAGTAATTAAAGTTGGGTAAAACAGAAACCGACCATTCTCACTGGATAACACGCAAGTATGCAGTCTACATTAATTAGTTCGTTTAAAAATATTGTAGAATTCATACTAAACAATTGAGATTACTGGTTACAATTAATTATTATTAATGAATAATTTATATTTTTATGTTTTAGGACATTGTAGTAAATAATTTCATAATTAATCTTAATCAATAACGTAAGATAAGTTCAGCACTTACTTTTGCTAATATTGAAGATATTCCTGTAAGTATTAAAAAAAAAGGTCATCCGGCAGCGGAAATGGAAGTAGATTTCTTTTCCGTATACAAAACAGTAATGAAAATTCGAAAATTCTAAAAATCAATTAACTTATATTCAATTTTTTTCTATTCAATTTTCAAATATTTTGTTATAAAGAATAACATAAACTATTTCAATTTAATTATTCCTCCATGCGCCAGCGAAATTTTTAAAATATCAAGATCAAGCTAAAATTTTAGAAGATTTTTTTTTTTCTATCAAAGAAACTTTTTAGATGCATTTACTCAGAAAAAAAAAAAGAAAATCAATTTTTTTTTTCTGACACAGTCTGATATATCCATAAATATAGAAATTTTTGAACCATAAGTCTTTTCTGAACCAGCTCGACGAACCGAGTCAGAAAAATTTTTCAAAAGTTCCGTCGTGAGGACAAATGCAATTTGTTAGATTTCTATGAAATCTACTAAAAAATTTAGGTACAAAAAATAATGAATATTAAGATAAAAAAATTTTATTTTTTGATTATTGGATTACATGATTATTAAATATTAATTAAAATTAAATAGAGACATTCAAATAACAATTTATAAATGCATAATTTGTCCATAGTTCATAAATAGCAATATATTATTTTATAAATAATTATTAAATATTATACCGATTTTTCTTTTCTTTCAGTTCAAAAACCTGAGAACAGTTTATCGGAGAAAAAGTTACAAACAATTATTCTTTGATAATTATATTTATATTGTAAATTTGATTTTACTTTCAATAAAATAAAGAGTATTTTTACCCTTATGAACCTAACATATATAAAATGTATAAAAAAATAACTTAGATTATAAGGTAAAAGACCCCATTAGTGGTACCTTTAACCCCTATTAGTGGCACTTTCTCTATCAATGAAAAAATGTTCTACTTGGAATAAAAATTAAAAATTTTTTTGATCTAAAGATCTTAAAGATTAGAAATATTATATTCATTATTAAAATTGATGATTTAATCAATTGAATAAGTACCAAAATCAAAGAAAGTGTCAGTAATGGGGCCCCCGCCACTAATGGAGTCTTTTACCCTATTATAATTCAAGTCAAGAACTTCATTTCTTTAAAATTTTTAAATTCATATATGTGCCAATATATTCTTAACATTTTAACAAAGCAAACATCTCGACATGAATTACTAATATACTTTTAAGAATTTCATAATAAAATTAATCATCATTAAGTAGTATTTAATACACTTAGTGACCTTATTAAATAATTAATTCTCTTACCATGATTCCAATAAGAGATACATTACAATTCATGATTTTTGTCACTTGTGTATTACCAATAAACTAACCCTTCACTGGTATATACAAATGGTAAATTTATCATTTTCTTTTGTATTTCATTACAAACTTTATCAAAGTTACTATATACCTATATGCTTCACATTTTATTATTTCCTGTGGAAATAATCATTTAAAATAATAAATTAGTTTTATCACGTTTATTAATTAATGAGGAACGTTTCAATTTGCTAATTTTTGTTCGGAAATTTTATATTGAATCATAACTAATTTTAGTTTTTGAACTACTCTTTCTTAGCATAAATTGCATATTAATTGCACCAACGATGTAAGTTCACCAACGATTGAATAAATGTTGCTAACTAAAATTATTACCCTGAGAAAAAAAAATGTTTTTGTCCAGAAAAAAATTTCTTGGCTCAAGAATCGTTTAAAATAAATTTCGGTTTTTTTGATGAAAGAATATCAATATATATATATCATAATAATAAAATATTGGCATTAATTTTGATAGATTAATAAACGAATAGGGTCACTTGAATTAAGGAAAAAATAATTTGATTAATTCGATCAGATCTTGAGATAAAAAAATATATTCTTGAAAATAGTGTCGAAGAATTGCAAAAATTACTAAAAAAAAAATAATGAAACAAACTACAAAAACAGTAAAATAAAACAAACAATCTGATTGTTTGTAATATTTTTCCAAGTAATTACTCCAGTTAGATGAAGTATGAGTTGATTCTAGAAGTCTGCCAGTACTGAAGTCCAGAATGAATCTATAGTGTGTTAGAAAATCGGCGCCAATTATCGGTTGTTTAACATCGGCGATTGTGAAGTCCCAGCGGTAATCATGATTTGATCCAAAATTTAAGATCATAGTAGTTGTTCCATAAGTTGCGATTTCGGTGTTGTTTGCAGCTTGAAAATTATAGTTTTCATTACGTTGAGGTATGAATCGTCTTGGTAAATGAGATCGAGGAAGTACACTGCATTCAGCACCAGAATCGATTAGAAATTGAGTTTCTGAGTTTTGATCGATTACGAAGAAACGTTTTTGTTCAGTTAAGCAAGGAATTTCTATAGTGCATAATTCTTCATTGTTGTATTGATAATTTTGTTGCTTTTGATCAATAGGGTCATCACGGCTATCTTCAATTGTTTCTAGGAGTCTGCCAGTACTGAAGTCCACAATGAATCTATAGTGTGTTAGAAAATCGGCGCCAATTATCGGTTGTTTAACATCGACGATTGTGAAGTCCCAGGGGTAATCATGATTTGATCCAAAATTTAAGATCATAGTAGTTGTTCCATAAGCTGCGATTTTGGTGTTGTTTGCAGCTTGAAAATTATAGTTTTCATTACGTTGAGGTATGAATCGTCTTGGTAAATGAGATCGAGGAAGTACACTGCATTCAGCACCAGAATCGATTAAAAATCGAGTTTTTGAGTTTTGATCGATTATGAAGAAACGTTTTTGTTTAGTTAAGCCAGGAATTTCTACAGCGCATAATTCTTCATTGTTGTATTGATAATTTTGTTGATTTTGATCAATAGGTTCATCACGGCTATCTTCAATTGATTCCAAATTTTCTGGATTATTTGTATTAATCAATGTCGATTCAGATGTAATATTCTCTAATAAGTTATCTTTAACACCAATAAGCGAATATTTTAAATTGGTAATCGATGAATTGAACATATTAGCGTCGTAAAAATACAGTATAGTTATACAGATACAATGTTTTGAGATCCAAACTGTAGATCACTGATATACTTAATTTAATATAGCACTTAATGGAATAGTTTCAGCAAAATTTTGTCAGTATGGTTGCGATCTCGATCAATAGTCACGTGACAATTATCCACCGATGGAGAAAGTACCAATGGACCAGTACCTTATTGTATCTGTATTTATAATGAAATTATTTGCTATAATAAATTTTTAATTTACTCAGATTAACTTTGTAATTTTTCAAAATTTCATAATTTAATTGGAAGTCAAATCATACTTCTTGATATGAAAGAAAAAGTCGATGATAATATAGAGTGTAGGCACTAATAGGAGACAGAAATATTTCGTTATGGAGACACAACCTACACACTACCGACTTGCTTGATAATCCGTGAGATAATGATAACGATTCACCGTATACTATAGGTATTAATAGGTCCGATTAAACCCCCCCCCCCCCCACCATGACTCAGCATAAATAGGTTCAAAATTGCGCTTGATTTACAATGAACAGTTTTTTAACATGGGTATTTAGAGCGAGAAATTAAGGTGAAAGGTAATGCTTACATGAGGGCTTCAGAATTGCGAATGATCTATTGAGCTTTAATTGATTTATGTAAGCCTCGTGAGATGCTAACTGTTCAATTTTTTTAATATAAAATAAATAAGTATCTCTTATAATTTCTTTAATATAAAATAAATAATTATCTCTTTTGCTGCTGTTAGTGATTTGTGGAAAAATTGAGGCATAGTTAAGAAACTTACAGAGATTTTACTGTACTACTGTAATGTAAAGATATTCTGAATTATTTTGTTTTTTTTTTTTCAAAGAAAAAAAGATGACAAAATAAAAAATTAAAAAAATTCCCCAATAGAAGTTTATATCATAAAATACTGATCATTTATTACTATTAATTATAACAAAGACTTAATACATCATAACTTAAACACGAGAATGACCAGGCTTATGCTTGGCGTACACAGCTTTCAACAATTCAGGAAATACTGCTCTAAAATCAGTTATAAACATTGTATTTTCTTCTTTAGGCCATGTCACATAATCTTTAAAATTCTTCATCAAAGCTTGCGCAGTAGATTGATAAATTCTCGAAATACTGGTTCGATGAACTTTAAAAAGGACACTTAGTGCAGAGAAAGATAGTCCGGTTTTAATTCTCATAAAGAAGATTAATAATCTGTTGTCTAGTGATATTTTCTGGCCATAACCTCTTTCAGCTTCTTTGAGTACATTCAGGATAATGTTAAATGCGTCTAATCTCAAACCAGTGAGATCTAATAGTTCTTGATCGCATACTACAGAAGACATTCCGAGAAAACCGTCAGGAGCCTTGGAAATAACCGGACTATTTAACTTTTCAAAGTCAGGCCCTAGTTCTCTGGTACCATATCCTTTTTCTACTAATTTTAATTTTGGTTGTTTAGCTAAATAAAACTTTTTTATTAAAGGAATATAAGCTTGTGTTGAAGCATCAGATCTTGAATTATTAACATAATTATTACAAATGAATGTAAGTGGAGCAGGGTCTGGAGGTTCTAAAAAATTAACTTGTGTTTCTTTGTCCGAATAAACATCTACGGGCTCATCTTTAATGTCTAATTCACTTTTGATAAATACCAAATTGTAATTTTCTTGAGGTTCAATGTTCTTTTTTTTATTATTGTTATCTAAAGTTTCCATCTTTTTTTCCATTTGTCGCTTCATAGTCCGCTGAAATCTGTAACAAAATTTATATGTATTACTAAATTATGCTTAAATTAAAATCAAATTTAATTGCTTAATTACCGATTAAGAAGAAGTTTTTGAGTCACTTTGTTCATCTGTTTTCCATAATATGCTTCTGGAAAAATTGTAGGTACAAAACTGGGACTGAGCGGATGTTCTGATTTCTTGTTGCCAATAAAATGTTGGCTACAAATCCTAGACCCTTTGTTCGGCTGCCAGGGAGTTCCATCCTCACTAATAAAAAAAATAATCAATTTAAATAAGCAAAAATATTAAAGATAACTTTAAATTAGAGATAATAATAATTACATACTTTACTCTTCTTATTGCTTTAATCCATTTTTCGGTTTGAGGTTTTTTGTGACTAACGGTAGAAAATGAATAAAAATGGACACCTCCTTTTTTCCCATAATTTCTGCAACCAGGTACGCAACAGCCTGATCCACTTAATTTTTTTGATGATATATATTCCTCCATTGTTTATTGTAAATAAAATTGTTTAATATTGATGTTGATAAAATTTTACAACGTGGTTGGTTGTTATGTATCAGATGATTTTCCAGTAGGTAATACGCAAAGTCACCACAGCTAGCGCTGACTACCAGATCGGTTATTATTTGCCGTTCGCAAGTGGAGCTGCTTTCTATGTGTAAAATGACAGTAGTTGTATCTTTATTCTTCTCATTGATTGTCAACAAGCGTGACAGAGATACGAATACATAACTTTTGACAGAGTGTGCAAGAAAACATAATACAAATAATAAATATTATTGAGTAAAAAAATGAATAAATACAATAAGTTCTGATTTAAAATCATTTGTAGCGAAGAATAAAAATTAAATTTACTAATTTACGTACTTAGTTTTTTTTATATCAGAAAAGTTTAATTTTATTTAAAGGAAACACTTGAGTAATATTTTATTTATTAAATAAAATTTCATAAATAAAAAGGTAATAATTTATGACACTCAAGTTAGAAGACGTATAAAAATTTTTGATTTTTTTTTATCAATTAAATTACAACTAAAAAGATATTTCTAAAAAATTGCACTTATAGTTTTTCAAGTTTTTTACATATGACAATTTTTTTTTAACTATTTAATTGAAATTTTTTCAATAAAAAATTTCTAAAAATTTTGAAATGTCAGCTAACTTGATTTTCATAATAATTTAATTTATTACTATTGTGAAACTTAACGGATATATTTTTGAAAACAGAAAAAATACACTGATTACATTTATGTAAATAATTAAAAATTTATTATTTTAGAATAATACATAAGACAAAAGACCCAGTCATTGACACTGGCCTAGTTATTGATACTTGCAATTTTATTTTAATTAAAAAAAAAAAAAAACAAATTAACTCTAATAAATTAATAAATATAATTTTTGAATGATAAATTAAAAAAAAATTATTTTTTTGAGAACATTAAATTTTTTTAATTAGAATAAAATTGCAAGTGTCAATAACTTATCTGTATTTTTAACTATCTAAATTGAATTTTTCAAAGATCCAGCAATAAAAAAATTATATTTACTATCGAATAAAATGCTTCAGTTTTAAAAACAACTTAAAGAGGTCGATAGGTGCTTGAAAATCTTATAAAGTTAGTAAGAATACATAAATAAGTGATTTATATATTTTTAAATTTAATTACTCACGTGTCAATTTAAATATTCCGCGCCGTTTAATTAAATATACAGTAGTAGTATAAGAAAAAGGGAAACTCCCCTTAAATGCGTGCGCATAAGTACAGTAGCCATAATAGAGATAATATCCGACGTTTTATCATCAGCTCCTAGATTTTGTAAACCTTTTTTATTTCACATTATTAATTAATTTTAAATGATAGGTAAGTCTTTCATCAAATTATTTGAATAAAAAAAATTGTGCTTATTAATTAAAAATTAAATTAAGTCATGAAAAAAAAAATTACATTATTAATTAGCGATAAGTGTTTGTAGGTTATAAGTTTATGATATTTGACATAATCATATGCGAATATGATAACAATAAATGTTGATAAAATTTTCAGATAATTTATGAAAGTAAATAAAAATGGCAGAAAATAAAAGCAGCTCAAGCGGGGAGGAGAAACCAGTAGACAAGTCACCGATGAGTCAATGTTACGAAAATTATATCCTCGTTGACGTGGGCGCAAATATGACCAACAAAAAGTACAGTCGTGATCTAGACAGTGTAATCCAACGAGCTAAGGATGCTGGAGTACAGAAAATAATGGTAATCGGAGCAAGTGTACGTTCGAGTAAGGAAGCGTTGCGCTTGACAAGAATATACCCAGGTGTCCTCTATTCAACAGCTGGAGTTCATCCTCACGACGCAAAATCTTGGGAAGACTCAGACACATTGAATGAACTCGAGAGCATCGCCAGTAATCCAGAGTGTGTCGCTATCGGAGAATGCGGTCTTGATTACAATCGAGACTTCTCAGATCCAGAAACGCAGCGCGCTGTTTTTCACAAACAAATAGAATTAGCTTGCCGACTAAACAAACCGCTGATTGTTCATGAGCGTGGAGCACAAGCAGACGTATTAGAGGTACTGAGTCATTATAAAAATCGTTTGCCACCGGTAATGATTCATTCGTTCGTCGGGATGGCTGATGAAGCACAATTATATATCGATCAAGGTTTTTACATTGGTATCACTGGTTATTTGTGTAAAGATAAATCGGACAGCGGTGTTCGACAAATTCTTGAGACTGGCAATGTGCCATTGGATAAAATATTAGTTGAGACTGATGCACCATTTATGTATCCTAATACTAGAGCTAGCAAACTTCCAAGTCATGTAAAAGAAGCATTAACCGAAAGGTCAATGACTTTTCTTCATCGTTATTGCACTTTTCAACGTAATGAACCTTGTGCCTTGCCGGCAATTGTCGAAATGATAGCTGCTTTTATGAATAAATCACCAGAAGAAGTAGCTTTAGCCACTGCTTTTAACGCTCTTAAGCTATTCGGCTTAACTCAATAATTTCACTAACAGTTGAAATTATATTAAATCTTCTATCTTTTTATTTTAATAATTGATATTTGATTCTAAAACTCTTATTAGGGGTGCTCGTCGGTGCTAATATAAATAAATTTTTTAGGCAGCTTATCAATTGAATGCTGGTGATATAAAAGAAAAAAAATTGATCGAACAACATTAAATTAAATATTTGTCATTGGTATTATTTTAATAAATTTATTGATTTTTATGTTAATTCAATACGTTTGGAACTAACCAATGTATTGTATTGTATTTTAAAATTTTAAAACGCAACATGTTTTATATTTTTAATATTTCGAGTATATAATAATTCGCCAATAAACTATGTGAATTTTAAGCTTTTTTTTAAATCAAATTATACAAACATTTGAAAGCGTGATAATTGTGTATAACTAACTTGTTTTTTAATATAATATGTGTTTTGTATGTAAAATTTATTATTTTTTTTGTTAATTAAATACTCAGTAATTAGTTCCGTCATCAATATCAATCGATTGTTAATTATAAAAATTTACTGTCAACTTAGTTTGAATGAATTTTACAAATAGTCAATATATTTTATTGTTAATAAATATTAACAACTATTTTCATATAATAAAATCATCTAAACATAATCTCGCAATTAATTTAAAATATTTATTTTAATTCCAAATTGATTGTTGTCATGAAAGATTAAAAACATTAGAAGGTAAATAGGAAACAATTTATATTTTCATATACAACAGATTGAAAAAAATTAATAAGTATAAAACCATGATTCATTTAAGAGTTGATACTCGCTGATAATTTATCACTTTTGAGCTTGATTGCTTGCGAAATGTATCGTGATTTTTCCAAGTTAGTAAAATTATCCCACATAGATGATATAACTGGAATAACTGTATAATTTAGCTTGGATTTTAACAGCTTAATCCTCAGCAGCCCAATTCCTGTCAAACGTAAAGTGTTGCGAGCGTAAAGACTTGGTGAAATATACATGAAAAGAAGTCTGCAACATAAAATTAGTTTCCTTTTATATTAAGTTTTTTATTTTTTTTCTATTTTTCAATTTAAAAGAACATTCAATTGTCAGTACCGTCTATGAATGTAGAACACAAGTTTTCTACATTCTAAATAATAAAAATAAATTTAGTAGACATCTAACAATTTTTCTTATTGAAAAAATTATTTTAAAAAAATTTCACTTGTAGAAAATTTAAAAAACTTTAAGTGCAATTTTTTTTAGTATTTATTTAATTAAAAGAAATCAAAAAATTGTTAATTGTCTCCTGATTAGAAGATTCTTTTTATGATATAATTATCCATTTAAATTAAATCAATACTCACACTTGACTATCTGGAATCAATTGGAGGTCAGAAAGATTCAGAGGAGATTTTTCATCGTCGGGATTGATAGCAATTGGAAAACCACCCTTCCTCATAATAACAACGTGATCTATTAATTTAACAAAATTATTTTTTTTTCATCAATAAAATTTAATAAGAGCTCAAAACAATGAAAAATCTATTTCAACTTACCGATACAAAGTTTGAATTCAGTCTCAACATGAGTTTTAATATACTGTGGACCACCGAGAGATAATTCGAGCGCTGATTTCAATTGATAATTATTTCGTGGTGGTGTCCGAGTATTTCTAAATGCTTCGAGAATATCATCAGATAATAATTTTCCCGTATAATCGGGACTAAAATTTGATACTGCGTGATGTAATAGCAAAAGGTTTCCTCCAATTTCAAAGAAAGCCTCCGTTGCTATATTTTTACTACGACAATTTTCATCTTCAAATATTCGATTTATTAATTCTGGCCAATAATAATCCAATGAGGCTAAAAATAACGCTGTTTTAACCATCACAGAATGTTTAAACTGAAGAAGTTTTTCGTTTAACAACAAATCTTTCAGTGAGTCCCAAAAAATGGGTTTGTAGTCAGCTAATGACATCGCACATAACATATCTAGTATTTGAAATTGATTTAATTTATTAATTATAGAATTATCTTCATAACATTTAGCGGCAACGTAATCCAACAATGATGTTGACACAAATCTTATTTTATTCAAACTCCCCAAAATGTTTAAGGCTAAATCAACTTTCACATTTTTTGATATTACCGTTTGGATAATTGATTCTATTAATGCTTCGTTATAAACATCGTGATCTCTGAAAATAAATAAGCATATATTTTAGTAATTTTATAACAAATAAAATTTATATTGATATTAATTGATAATAAAAAAAAAAAAAAAAAAATACTCACGAATATTTAATTTTTAGTGCCATTTTACGTATAATAAATTCTAATCTTGAAAGATCAATATCGTCTACGTTTTGAATAATTATTTGTTGGAGTTTTTCACTGAACTCAGAATATTTTTTGCTATCCTTTATATTATATAGAGTTATTAGGATATCTACAGCATGGTCAGGATGCTTAAGTTTGAAATCACTACGCTCTTTGAGAGAATTCATAACATAATTTATTGCCTCGTTATTATTATTACCACTCAATAAATATAGAAACTTTAGAGCATTTACCATTGCGTCAATATTTTCAGTGTCAAGTTTTGTTTTTATTTGAACCTCAAATACAATTGGTAGTGCCAGTTTCAAAGTTTCAACTAGTGGAGTTTTAACTTTTACTCTTGTCAATAAATAGTGTAAAAAACTCATCTGCTCTAACGTCAGGCTATTCAATGACTGACGTATCATTTGAAGCAATGATTCTACGATAATAGATGTTACTGGTACATCAAAATGCAATAGTACTTTAAGAGCATCAATGACATTTCCTTCTGATAATCCCCGCAAATTTTTCTTTATTACTTCGCACAATGCTATAAACTCTTTTTTCTTTTTAATTGATTCGATACACCCTTTGTTCTCTTTATCAATCCTACATAACGCTTTTAGAGCATTAACCGCTTCGTGTCCAGAGATACTCTTGCTATTATTTACCATTTCAAAAACTTGTGAACTAGACACGCACCATTTAAATTGGTTTCTTTGCTTCATTATGTCTGACATTTCTGTGAACTCCGATGGTTGTGGTTGCAATATATTACTAGTGCCTGTATTTAATAAGAATTATTATAATAAAATTTACATCATCTCAAATAAATATCACATAGTTATATTATTAATTGATCGTCTTACCTTTTTCTGATATGAAATTGTTGTGAGAATTTTGTAATAATCTCACAGAAGTGATAAAACGTGATGACCCCAGAAGATTTCTAATTGTCATTGTCATATTAAATATCCTATTTATACTTTGTGCCATTTTTTTATTTATATTTACAATTTTGTTTTATATTTTTTTATTTATAATTGTAATCAAGCCGGATAGCCAGTAATAACCTCAAAAGTGCTTGTGATTTAATAAGAAGATTTTTTGGATGATTGTTGATATTAATAAACTTTACAAAATTTTAAATCTATTTTGTTTATTTTCGTAAATTTCATATTCTTGTTATGTTTTATTAAGCTTTGTTAAAACATATACTTAAATGATAAACGAGTATTCACATGTGTATAAATCAAAAATTTTACCGAAACTCGCAACCTGTATGACCGATCAAACTGAAAAAAATTCCGATCAGATTTAAAAAAAAAAAAAAATAATAAAATATCAAAATATTTTTTTACATCGACATTAAACGTACCTTTAAATTCATAAAAATTATATTAAAATATATTTTTTTTATAAAATTTTTAAACACAACTTTTTTGTTCTATCACTAAAGTATTTTCCTTAATTATGTAAATAAAATTGCACGACTCATGATTTTTTAATTTTAAATTTAATTTTTATAATGAATAATAAATAAGGAAATTAATTATTTAAGAAATCTATTTTTAACTCCTTCCTGAAACAATATAAATATTGTAAATTGTAATATATATATATATATATAAGTTGTTTATTTGCCGTACAATTATAAAAATTGGAGTTTCATAATAAATTTTCACCGAAAAAACAAGTTGCTAGTGACATCTATGGAAAGCTTATGGAACTCGAAGACGATTATTTCGAGGTAACGGTGTCACCTGGCGCGACTAGGCCAGCTTACACCTAGACACACACCCATTTAGTTGTTTATAAACTGTCATATTAGAGAGGTTAAAAAATTATTGGAAACAACGAGTCACGTGAATCAGCTGATAAATTTTTCTATCATTAGTTAATTATTTAAAAATAGTAAATATAAACAACCAAGATTCAAGATAATAACAGTGTAAAGTACTTAAAAATAATAAACTGAAAATGTCTGTGACGGAAGAAAAAGTTCAAGAGCTTGATAGGAGTTTTTTAGAATTTATGAGTAAGACTGATAATGTTGATCTTGCAACTAAAGAAATATATGACGATCTTTTGGACGAAGTATTAATGGGTTTTGTTTTTGACGTGCATCGTACCATAAAAACAGGTAGTTCGGATGTTGAAGAAGGTATTCCAGATGATGAGTCGTATGCTATAGTTGGTATGTTTTGATGTATTACTATAATTACTCATTATCTAACTAAAATTTAATTTTATGAGCAATAAATTATTTATAATTTAATTATTTAGATTCACCGGGGTTGGATGTGTTTGGTCAGCATCCAATTAAAAAAACCCAAGAGTGCAATTGTCCGAATTGCGACCGAGGAGTCGCGGCATGCAGATTTGCAACTCATTTAGAAAAATGCATGGGAATGGGCCGGAACAGTTCGAGAATAGCGTCAAGAAGGATAGCCAATAGTTCAAAAGATATGAGTAATTTTAGCGGCATTGTCAGTGACGACGACGATGATGCTGATTGGAGTGTCGCCAATGACAAAAGAAAGCGCAGAAAAGACCGCAATGGGATTAAAAAATCAAAGCAGCCAAGAAACTCCCAAAAAAATGGTGACGCACAGTCTGGCGAGCTTCAGATGAGTAACGAAAATTCTCCGTCCAATTACGACAATATGTCATTAGAGGATAAACGAGCATTGCTGGGTCAAATATGCGGAGTTATTTCGGAGCATACAAAAAAACTCTGCACGCGCTCTGTTCGCTGTCCTCAACATTCTGACGACCAACGGAAAGAAATGAGAGCGAATTTGGAGCTCAGTGAAGGCTCACGAATTAATCAGGATAATTTTCAGATAGACGTCGACATGTTTGATGAAAATGATGGACAGCAATTGCGAGAAACTCTTTCGAGATGGGAGTGCGAGGGCTCTAATCAGTCTAGTCCGGCTGATTCTGCGTCGACTACTTCTAATTCCTCGTTCACGAGAAAACGCGAGGGGAAGTCTAAGGGCAAAGGCAAAGGCGGAAAACGAGACCGAGTGTCCCCTATTTCTCAAGGCGACTAATTCATTGATTATTTTTATTCATATCATAGTTGTTAAGTTATTGTTTTATTGGTATGACTCTAAATAGCCTAGTTTGATAATTTATAAATAAAATTGAGTGTAAATAATTATTTATTGATCGGCGATAAAATAGTGTCAGGTTTTCATTTCATATGAAAATAATAATTATTGATTTTTATCAATACTAAGTATTGGAAGTAATTATGTGTTATATTAATAAAGATTTGTAGATTAATCACTACCGTTAGTGTTATAGTTACATTAAACGTCATTTATAATGAATATTAATTTATGTATTTTGGTGAAAAGGGTTTCAATCATGAAAATTTTAGTTACATTGATTAAAATTAAATTTTTTTTTTCTATTTATATTGTAATTTAACACTGATAATTTATTTATACTTATTCTGCAGGATAAAATTAATTGATTACTTAACATTTTTTTTTATTATCAAGATATTTAAGACGATCATAAAGTTGTATTCAAAGTTTATTTTTATATCTCACTGCTAATAAAAAGTTAAATCATTTGAAATATTGAATTTTTTTTATTTTTAAAATAATTTTTCTGATTTTAAAATGTTTTTATTTAAAAGTAAATTTTTAAGTGGCAAAAAATAAATAAAAATTTTAAAATATTTTTTTTAATTTGGCGGGCTTGTTATTCATTGGTACAAGATGTTGAATATGGTATATTCCGCATTTGCTATAAGCTCTGTAAAATATGTAAGTAGTAAGTATAGATATTTATTTACATTCACAAGCAATAAAATCATAATAAATAGTAAAAAGAAAATTTATCTGAAAGTTTTATTAATAAAAATTAACTAAAAATGTTGGAAGTACAATTAGAAAGTGGAAATTATTTATTAACAATTATGAACTATGATAAAGATATTTCTATAAGCAAAATATGGAGTGATATTGAAGATAAAGTAAGTATTTTGAAAATAACCTCAATATCAAATCGTTTACAGAACGTATGTGACAATTGAATTAATTTTATTCATAACTAATTAAATTTAGCTATTACTTGACGATTTTTTAATTTTCTTTAACAAACAAATTTGTTCCAAAAAATTGTTTCTAAAAAATTGCATTTTTAATTTATTAAAATTTCTACATGTTAATTTTTTTTATAATTGTTTTTTTTTGCCGTAATTTATTTGTTAAAAAAATTCTTAAAATTATCAAATAATTGCTAAATAATACTAAAGTTAGCCGACGTTTTTAATTTTTTGATTTTTCTTCATTAATTATCTTCATTAAAGTGACATTTTTTAAAAATTGTTTTTGTACTAATTTTTTTAATAAAAAAAAATTTTTTTAATTTTCCGATGTCGGCTAACTTAATTTTCATAATTGCTAAACTAATTTTCATTTTATTTATTTATTTTAGGGTATATCACAGAAAGATTTTTATATTTTGAGCAATGGACGTATTATCTATGACGACAACACAATTATCTCTGGAAATGTAAAAATAATTCCACGACTTCTTGGCGGTAAGGGAGGATTTGGTTCTATGCTGAGAGCAATTGGTGCTCAAATTGAGAAAACAACAAATCGCGAAGCATGCAGAGACTTGAGTGGTCGTAGACTGCGAGATATAAATGAAGAAAAGCGTCTAAAAACATGGATTGAAAAACAGGCATTGAGAGAAGAAGAAGCTGCTGAACGCAAGAAAAAGAAACTGCAACGACTCTGTGCTGAGCCTAAGCACGAGTTCAAGGATAAACATTATGAATACGAAAGGTCAGTGCTCGGCGAAAAAATTGATGACGCTGTCGAACAAGGTTTCAAAATCGCTGTTGTAAACAATTTGGAGTTAGAAGAAAAAAAAGTCAAAGTTGCTAAAGGTGTCAAGAGGAAAACTATTCTTGATGACGATGATAGTGATGATTCCGACGGATCGGACAGTTCTGATAACGATGCTAATGTCAATCCGAAAAAAAAGTTGGCGTGTGAAAGTAATGAATCTTCTGCGGATAATCAGCAGTCTAGTTCTTCAGATGAATCTAATGATAACAATGATAAAAAAGCAACAGAAGAAAGCAACGATTCATCTTCAGTCGATAAATCTTCAGACGCTGATCAAGCAATTATAAATTCTGCCATAGATTCATCGAAGGAATTAAAAGAAATATCTAAGCAATAAATTGAATATTTTATTAAACTAGAATTCTTATTTAGTGTTTTTTTTTTTTCTATTTCTAGAATAACAATTGATTATAATTGAAAATGTGTAATAGCTGAAAAAGTTTGAAATAACTAAAATGAAAATGTAAATGTAAATTCAAAAATAATCTAGTTGAAAAGGACAGTATGCTAATACTTAAATTAAAAAAATTTTTTTTGATAAATTTTGATTTATAAGTATCAAAATAACTTATTTAATTTTTTTATTTTTCTGTCACTGTTATATTAAATCAAAGCTAAAGAATTTTTGAATGCATTTTTAGAAAATTTTTGTTGAAAAAGTTTTTTCATAGTATTATTTGTTGAATAAGAAAATGAATATAATATTTTTTAATAACAAACTAGCTCAGTTTTAAATTAACGAGGTTGTTATCTTGACATTTTAGTAGCAACAGAGCCAATTATTGATAGAATGCACTTTTATATTACTCTTTCGTAGTTGTATTGTTCTTAAGAAATGAGATAAGCTGACCTTGGTGCTAATGCATTAAGATTTGAGCTACAGATTGAGTGTAGTGTTCACTCAGTTATAAGCGTATTTGTACCATCAATTTTAAAAAATAATAATAAAATTATTTATTGTTTTACTTAAAAATAAAATGTACTGTCAAATTTATTTTTTTATCCATTGTATTATTCAGTTTGTGCTGTCTTGTAATACTGGTAAGTCGATTTATTGATTTACTTTCATAATTAAATTTAAAAAGTGAGTCATTTTATTTTTGGCTGAATCATTTGAATAAGTTAAAATTAAAAAAAAAATTATCAATATAGTTTGGATAACAATATTTCATAAATAAAAAATATGTAATAGTGTTTTATTTTATTCTATTGGAACACAATTTGATCGAAACCAAGCTGATATCGCGAAACACCCCAGTTGGATGCTTTTGGACCATGAAAAATGTGGAATATCGAATACCGATCGGATAATTGGTGGAAAAAATGCTTCATTGGGAATGTACCCATGGATTGCAAGAATTGGATACAGTAATGATTTAACTGGGTCTGAAATTTCATATCGATGCGGCGGTACTTTAATTAATAAACTCTATGTTGTAACTGCGGCACATTGTGTCTCTAATTTACCTGGCAGGTATTGTTTATTTAATGCATTAAAATTTTTTTTTTTAATTTATAATTTTTTGAAGATATTCAGGTAATTGAAGACGTGAATTATTGAAAGGGTTACAGTCAATTTCATTGTATTTAAATAATTTATTTTGTTAAATTGCATTTTTTTCAAAAATCAAATGTCTTCAATTATGAATACCATGTCTAAATTTTATCTATTGATTAAAAATTATTACTGAATTAGCTTCAGAGTAACGGGAGTAAGATTAGGTGAACATAATTCGGAGACTAATCCAGATTGTGAAAATGGTTACTGTTCGGAACCTGTTCAAAACTTTAAACCTATTCAAATGCTAGTTCATAAGCGATACAATATACCGCATTTTAAAAATGATATTGCTTTAATCAGATTAGACCGACCTGTAGATTATAATGGTTTGTATTACTATTATTTTTTTTTTTTATTGATTGCGTAATTATCAGACTGTCAATCCGTACAAATTTTTTTATTGAATTTCTAACTTATTTTTTTTTTAACAAAAAATCAACTCTGTATCTTTTATTTTCATTTGCACAAAATATTTATTTCATAAAAAAAAATATTTGTTTTATTCATGTTACTTTTATTAAATTACTCATCAATGTAGGATTTGTGATGCCTATATGTATGCCCGTTGGAGAATTATTAGAAAAAAATCTGACAGGAGGAATAGCTGAAACTGCGGGATGGGGAATTTTCGACATCGGTAATTACTCAGAATATTTTCACTTCAATTTACAGCTTTTGTGTAATAAAATTTTTTTATAACAAATAATAGAGTAATAGAATAACGTTTAATATGTTTCTGGTATGCTTCAATTGAGTTATAGAGTTTTTTAAATCAATTGCTCAATACATAAAACTCTATCCATGAAACAAACTTCTGATACAGTATAAATAAATATCTGTTTCAATCAAATATCAAATCAATTTTATTAAATAACAGTTGATTAAACCTCCTATTATTTTATTCATGTGAAAAAGTAAATATTTTTGTTTTAGATTATATTTGCAAATATTCAATTTTTTTTAATTATAAAAAATAAAAAAATAGATATCGATAACTAAAAAATATTTTATAATTGACAGACCATCCAAAATCGAGTGTGATTCTACAGACAATAAAATTACCGATTTTGGAGACGTACGAGTGTGTAAATGCCTTCAAAAATCAAGCTCAAGTTGACGAATTGCAATTGTGTGTTGGTGGTAAAGTTGGCCAGGACTCCTGTACTGGTGACAGCGGCGGTCCACTAATGAAAGTCGAAGCTCTAAATGATATTCCCAAATATTATTTAATTGGTATTGTGTCCTTTGGAGCTAAACATTGTGGACAATCTCCGATGCCTGCTGTGTACACTAGACTTACACGCTACTTAATTTGGATTTTAGAAAATATCTCACCTTAATAAAAGTTATACTTAGATAAAAATTTATTCAATTTATAATTTCTTTAGTTTATAATTAAATTTAAAATAATTTGCAGTCTACTCAGAAATACAATTTGATAAACTTATATGGTGTTTTTTTCAAGTATTATACAAAAAAAAAAAAAAAAAAATAGTATTTTAGTCTTACAGAGTAAAATAAATTCTACTGGATATATATATTTAATTAAAAATTATTTTTAGTTATTCTAACTCGTTATCACCTTTTCGGTCATTATTATTTTTAGTGTTGTGATGAGATTGATTTTATTTGCAACTAATAAGATACACTTGATACATAAAAAAAAAACTGATTTTTTTAAATTATTGAAAGTAAATTTACAGTTGGAAATTTTATAAAACGAGATAGAAAAAATTATGATGGCACTACTAATTTTGTTGGATAAATTTACAAAGAAATATCTGTCAAGATATAATATTGCTAATTGTTTATTTGGTGGATTGAAATAACTGAAACTTGAAAAAGAAAATCTCTAAGGATTTTGAAAATGAATCAAGACATGTATTTTAACGAGAAAAAATTTTTTTTAAACAAATTTCGATTTTTTTTCGTAGAATAAGGATAATAATTATAAGTGATGTCATAATTTTTAAAAAATAAATATAGATAAGATAATTAAAAAGTTTATTTCAGTAACGTTACCCGAGATGACGGATCCAAAGAATTTTACTTTATTTTAAAATAATATATTACATGGTCAGTTTCACCTCGGCCAATAATTACATGTGATCTGAGACATTTCTGACTTTACTGCCCTAGGTATGTAATATACTATTCTGTACACTTATTAGTGTAATATTTTAAATAAAATTTATTAACATGAAAAATGACAAATTAATATTAAAATCGGAAAAAATTGTAAGAATACATTTTTAGAAAGAGTTTTTATTCATAATAAAGTATATATTGAAGAATATTATCTGTCGGCAATAGTTAAAAATAAAAGGGAGTAATCAAATTTTGGCTGCTTGAGGCATATCGCCCACGATCGATACATCAATTAATTTGCAAAAGGGGCACCTGGCCTGCTACGTTGGTAGCCCTCATCTGATTCACCCTAGTTTGGCCTTAGCTACTTTAATATATCAACGATCCGGCCTGTAACTTTTAATTATCGGAACTATGCATAAAAAACTCCTATATCCCCCACTTGCCAACAATTAAGTGTTGTTAGGCGAAGCCTCTGTTTTTATTGCTTCGTTGAGCGAGCGTTAGTTATTTTGTGGCTTCTACTCACTCTATAAAATTATATCACTTGTCATGTTTTATTAATTTCATTGACAGGTATGCTCAAATTTCCAGCCGAATTTTTCATTGGTGCAATATGCAATCGGCTTTTTAAAAAATTCATTTTTTAAAATGAACCGTAGGTATGTGAAAAAATTAAACAGCGGTTATATACATATAAATAACTTGTAGCTTTAACAGCAATCTTATCTTTGGAGTTTCATGAATCAGGAGTTAACTGCGTGCGTTAACTGGAGAATTTCCAGTGCAAAGTACAACATTACATTAGTGAACAATGTATGATGAGGGCTCTCTCACAAAAGGTAAAGTTAGGGTCATAAGGGCTCCTTGATATAAGCTTGAGTCGGCTGGATGAGATCGTTATTATGACGCTCGTTCGTAATAACCGTCTTTAGGTGTTGGCTTGCCTGTTTTAAGAATATACTACGGAGAATGAATCGTGGTGCTGGCACATTACTGAACTATTATTGTAACGAGGTCCTTTTTAGTCACGTTCCAAGTTTTACCGACTCATAACACTTTGAAAGAACAGTTTTGGTCATCAGACACGTGCTGCTTCTTCTTCAGTCTTTATATACAAAGATCATCATTTTATACATTATTTTCTTATTTATTTATAAATAAAAATTCTCTTCAATATTACCAGTATATTATTATTAACCTTTTTGAAATATTTTATATAAAATTAATCTAACGTAAAAACGGAAAATAAAACTTTTACTTGAAGATTTGAATCAAAAAGTTGTTTAAGAATGCTGAAATTATTTTCAATAAAAAAAATACATTTTTTTTTTTTAACTTAGAAAATATTTTACAAATATGTCAAGATTTAAAATTTTTATCAATTCGATGGTCTAATTAGCAATTTGTCTAACTCCGTATTTTTTTCGAGGGTGATTTTTTAACATTTTGATGTAGCAATAGTCCAATTATAAATTATTTGAACGGTTTAAACCAAAATATTAAACCTGTAATAGATATTAATGATATTAAATGGTTTTTTAAAGTGATAATAAATTTTGAACTAATTGTTTTTTTCGTACAAATGGAAGATTCTCTAAAATGGAGTTAGACAATTTATTTGCTAATTAGAACGTCGAATTGGTATTCGACGGATTTAGTTAAAAATTTGCTCTCCTGTTCTTGACTAAGTAAGTGTTGATCATTATTAGTTATAATTATTCTGTTCAATCTTTCAAAATTGCTCATTAATATTAAAGGGAACTCTTGTGTTTTTTCAAATATTTATATACCGACAACTAAATTGAAATATTACCATTAAAGCAACGTAACTATCGTTAATTCACCAATTAGTGTTATCGTAAAACACGCAATTTATCAACTGAAATAACCAGACTCTTAAATAAACGACCGGATTATTTGATTTTTAATACCGCAATAATAATTTTAAGTATATAATGTATATACAATACCCGAACCGAAGATAATGGCATTAGGGTGCAATACATATAAATTTGAAGTAACAGCAAAGCAGTTAGTGTTGGCGTATATTAACTCGCGCAAACGCGTTAAGTTATTAGAGAATCAATTACTTGTTCCTATTGTTTATGATGACCCCGAGGCTCTTCTTGGCACTTCTGCTCTCTCCTCACATCGATATCTACTGTCGTTTAAAGACTAACGTTTTAACGATCTCTACTTTTTCTGCTTTGCTTTTTTTTCCCATTAACATTTTGTTAAATAATATTTTCATGATGATGTATAGTAGTTTGTTTCATTTCTTCCTTGCTCTGCTCTTCACCTTTCATTCGAAGTCTCCTCAAGTTTATTTTATTATGATTTTTTTTTATATTAAAAATGTTTAGTACATTCGCGGTGTAAGTTATTTTGATTTTACGATCTTTTCAAAATTTTTATCATTAAAGAATAAATTGGTTTAAAACTTTCAATATAATCTATAACATAGAGACAGTATTCTATTTGAGACCTTAAAAAAAAATTATATATTTTTTTTACTGCTAAAAATTCAAATTTTTTTTTTTTAACCTCAGTTCAGCTGAGTGCTATAGGTGTACAGAACATGTGATAGTAGTGGTAGAACAATATGAGTACAAAAAAGCATAAAAAAGTAGTTTTTAAATAAAATTAAAAAAATTTTTTAAAATATTGATTTTTAAGTAGCTTCAAAATATAATTACTCTATATTATAAAATAAATGAAGAAAAGAAAAAGTTAGAAAACGGAGAAGAAAAACTAAACTTTAAAACCATATGCATTTTCTAATTCACGTTAACAAGTTAGAAAATAGAAAAACTTTTTAAAAGTTGTGTAGATAAATTAAATAGTAACATTTCGGTGAAGTATACTGATAATAATAATTTAATATAATTTATTGCAAAATAATTTAGCTATTTAAAATCTTATTATAAAATTGTTTTACAATATTTTTAATAGGTAGATAATCAACTAATGATAATAATTTGAATATAATAATAATAATGTTACGAATAGTATATAAATTGTATGAGAATAAACAAATAAAAATAAACATTGGTAAGAACATATACCTCAGGCATATAAAAAAATCGATAGAAGAGAGATAGGTGTTAAAACACGGCAATTAACAACAAGAATGACTGCAGAGAGGGACGAGAACGACGGGGACCACCTTCTCAGGCACTCGCTCGCGGTTAGGTGGCAAGATTTACTGCTGAACCTACGCGTATTTATGAACTACGCCTTTTACCTCCCTTGCCAAGCACGCACTTACTGTCTTTTCTTATACATATTGCCTTTACTCAACTCCGAATAACTAAGAAAGATTATTATTTTATACTTATGTTTATGTATGACGCTCAAAGTGTAAGAGAAGAAGCATCGGTGATCACAATTCGGTATCAAGAACAACTTTCATTACAATTGTTTTATGTTAAAAACAAGATATGCTAAACACATTATAAAATATATAAATATATATTTATGGAGTTTATTCTCGCCACTAATTTATTTGATTAAATATTTTTTGAGCCAAGTAATAAAACTGTCTACTTTATTAAGTCGGGATAGATTAATAAAATCTTTTGATTAAAAATTTTTTAGTTTTGTGCAACGTTTTTTGATAATGCGCTTATGTTAGTGGTTGTGTATACAAATTAGGAAGTGTATAAAGAATCTGTACTGCGAGCGATAATTTGATTGGACAGGATAATGAGATAGTCGTTACAGTAATACGTATGAGGGGAGTGCACGTGTCGTAGTATACGGTAATGCTCTCACGCGTCATCATCCCCCCGGTGCCTTGTATACTGGCTCCATTACACATTGTTAATGTAACCACGGGAGAAAACAAAATATCTAAATGTCTAATGCGAAACAACGGCACGTGCGATCTCACGTTTCTATAAAAAGTGTCATAGAGCTGGATTTTAAATTTCCTATTCTAAATTATAAATGGGAAATTATTCCTACATTTTTGTTATTTATTAAATTATTTATCCAAGAAAAGTTTAGAATTAAATATTTATGAGCAGATTAAGGAATTTATCAATAAAATTGTAATTACTCAGTATGATTTAAAAAATTTTTCCTTAAATTAATTATAAAAAATATTGAGAATAATTATTTTCTACATAAAATAAAATATGTAAGAAATATATCTAGAGAAGATTTGTCGTACATGTTTCTTCTTTGAAAATTTTTTTATCCTTAAAAAATTATTTTTATATTTGATACTTTTTTTGTCAAAAAATTGACGATCATCTTTTTTCAATATTTATATCATAAAAAAAAAGATCTTTTTTCTTTAATACATTTAAATTAAGATTTCGATAAAGTATATTTTTATCTTTCAATTCATTCCTT